ATTTGGACCAACTTGAAAACTGGGCCAAAAATCAAAAATCTAAATACATGTTTAGATTCAGCATATCAAAGAACCCCATATATTCAATTTTTGTTAAAATCAAACAAAAGTTTAATTTTGGACCCTTTGGACCTTAATGTAGACCAATTTGAAAACTGGACCCAAAATTAAAAATCTAAATACACGGTTAAATTCGGCATAACAAATAAATAAATGTGGTCAAAGATTTTACAAATCTAATGCGCCATACTGTCGATTAAAGATTACTTCTTGAAATTTTTCAATATTTGAAATTTGAAAAAAAAATAATATTTGAAGAATAATTCTTTTTAATTTCTGAAATCTGAAATGAGAAAAAATTGACCCCCCACAATTTCTTTTTACCCCCCAAAAAATTCTTTCCCTCAAGATATGGTCATAATCTCAATTCAAATTTCCAATGGAGTTGTATTTGGATTACCTCCCTTACACTGTTTTAAATTATCTTAATTGTTCATTAACCATTACTTTATACATAATTTAAAAGCAGTGTAAGGGAGATAATTTCAATGATGTATTTGATTTATCTCCCTTACACTGCTTTAAATTATGTTTTGTACTAAAGTATTTGTCCATTAACCAGGACAACCTTGTTTTTCCCCCTTTTTTGCCCCTAATTCTTAAACGGTTTGAGCCATAACCCCCCAAAGCAAATCCTAACCATCCCTTTGTGGTATGGAAACTTGTAGTATAATTTCAGAGAGATCCATACACCGTTCCAGTTATTGTCTGGAAACTAGAAAATGCTTATTTTTGGCCCCCAATTCCTTAACTGATGGTACCATAACCCCCAAAATCAATCCCCACCTTCCTTTTGTGGTATTGAACCTTATGGTAAAATTTCATAGAGATCCATTCACTTAAACTAAAGTTACAGTACGAAAACCAATGTGTCTTCGGACGACAACGACAACGCCAACGTCATACCAATATACGACCACAAAAATTTTTTTGCGGTCGTATAAAAATTGGTACCCACAAAAATTAATGCATCCACAGTACATAGCAGAAGCTTGATTGCTAGTAAAGGTCTGAATCAGTTGTTCTGAGGCAAAACAGCATCAACTTAATTGATGGTGCATTTTATTTACTGCACGGTCAAATATTTTTATATATTCTGTAATCTTCTTAATGTTTTTTTTTTTTTAAACCATCTGTTTTTTGTTGTTCTGGTAATTATAATATATCAGGCACTGTCATAGTTTCCAAGAAACATGAAACTTTTGAACCTTGTAGAATTTTAACAAATAACAAATCCATAATTTTTTTACAACCTTGTTTTATTTGCCACAAACAGGCTAGATACCAGCCCATTCTAAGATTTTCACTTCATCAATAATCTGGTTTACATATTATCGTATTAACAGATCTGTACGAAGTGTGTTTAATACAACACCACTTCTACTGGTGGTCCAAAGACAGTGAATACTGCACAAAGGTTCCGAGACCAGAAAGATTATCAAGTTAATATTTTTGGTTTATTTCACCATAAATATTGTATACCAGATACTTGTTAATCTGTTTTTTACCATTACTCTCAGATAAACAACTGTGATAAATAAACTTGAAATTTAATTACTTGCATAATTTCATATAAATCTAATGATGTAATTTGTCAACTTAAAATTGAAAGGATCTTGAAGAGAACAGGCAGGTAGTTCATAGTATGGTTGTAAAATCCTTAATTGTAATAATTCAGTGATGTATGAAACAGAACATGGTCATACCCTTGAATACAGCAACAAGATATTTACACTAAATGTCATTTGGTATAAAATACAATGCCCTAAATTGGTTTCTTTTTCGTCAATCTTAACAAATACTTTGTTCACTTAAATAATGCCATGAATTGATTAAGTAAATCTTTCAAATTGTTCTAATAAATTTATCTTTCATAAAAATGCTGCAACATTGTACATTCAATACATATGTGTGCATTCTTTCTAGTTTTTATATCAAAATATTCAAACATAACTTCCCTAATTATGGTTGGATGATGTTAGAGTTTGTTCCTAACATGGGAAGTTCATGTAGAAACCTTTAATTCATTAATCCCCCAATTTGCAATTAAAATATCTTCAAAGGTTATTAGAACTGTAGGGGATAGAAAAAAATGGCATATTTTTACAGGAAAAAAATTAAGAAAACTTTTAAAAACAAAATTAAAGAACTGTTAACAGAGCTAAAACTCCTTCCCCTGCTTCCTCATTTGAATAGATATGGCGAAATCCATTTATCACAATGGAAAATTAAAAAAAAATGCTTAGATGAATAATATATATATAGAATGTGCACAATACAATTCATTAAAATCCAGTCAATGGTTTAGGAGGAGTTTAAGATACAAGGTGACTCCCTCCTTCTGTACATATTGCAAACTGAACTATTTGCAATGGGAGACCCCAAAATCATTGTGAAAAGGAAAAATAAAAATAGAAAAAAGGTCAGTGCACAATGTCAATGAAAACTTCAAATTCTCTGAAAATTCCATTGAAATCTATTCCCTGGTTTAGGAGAAGCGGCAAAATACATAATGTTGCAGAATGAACGAACGAATGCAACAATCGGTATAGAATAGATCCCCCTCCACTGAAGGTTTATACAGATGTTGTAGTCATTGGTTTTCTTTTGAATGCATGATAGAATCATTAATGTACAAATATATATATATAACTTAAAATATGAATACATTCAATGTACATAATTGTCATATATAAGGCATCAACCATTTAATATGCGAGAGTTGGCAAGGAATAATGTATTTTTTTGGGGGTAAATAACTTGATTTAAAATTGAAGTATATTTTTGCATGTCATGCTATAGATAGGAAAAACAATTATAAATACACATTTTCCAATTGGCATTAGTTCACCCGTTTGCCCATGTAGTGGAAAAAGGTTTCTCATTGCGGATGGAAGTTTTCTTAATCAACATTAAATTCCACAAGCCCTTAAATAAAATGGTTGGTGCCTTGATTTAACATAATAAATTCATTGAACAATGCACTCCCAATCCTTAATGCTGATGAATTAAAAACGATTAGCACTTAAACATTGGTGGAATTTGTGACTTTTGAAGAAAGTAAACATTGGTATGCAATAATTGCTTATTTGCATGCTTTAAAAGCCAAAATTGTGCATGTTTTTATTTTATTCAAAGACAATAAGTTGAACTAAGTACAAGTCAATATAAAATTTGATTTACTTTTTAAACATTGGTGCTGAAATATTGACCAGTTAGTAACCTTGGTGACTGGCCAAAAATAACATCCTGTGATCTTTCAAATTAACATAATTTTTATTGTCTAGTTCCTATAGCAACTTAATGAAATGTTTATCTTAAAGCAGATAAATACAATTTTGTTTTTATCTGCAAAATACTTTTCATACATTTATTAGCAATGCCCATTTTTTAGGAAGACTAGCAAAATCTTTTTTTCCATGAGCTGTGTTTTAATTTCCAGAAAACCACTTGTAAAACATGATAGAATTCAATATCATAATATTTATTTTTTTAATAATAAAATGTATGAAATTAAAATGATTTTTTTGAAGAGGTAGCTTTTAAACAACTTAAAATAGAGAATGACTAGGTCCTTTCTATCAATTTTCACAATGTATTAAGGATGATAATTGATGTCAGAAATGCAGTTTGAATTAATTTTCATAATTTGAATTGAAAAATGTTCAAGGAAAGTCTGGCAAGTGCAGAACAAATTCTTAGGACAGAACATTTAAAATATGTTTTGAATTCATAACATTAACATTAATGATAATATAAAGTATCACTTGCATGCTATTTTTTTTTTAGACAACTTTGAAGTTTTATTGTTCATGACACTAAAATTATATGGCATATATGAAGGCATAAATATATCTAATATCTATTTAAATTACTTTTTTGTTAATTTAATTGTTTTCCTCTTATCCAATTACTTCCCAAACAACCTTAATTGATTGCATTTATAGTACATTTTTATAGAATTTCTCAAAAAATTTTAATCATGCAAATTCCAAAATTTTGTCAAGCACTTCTTTTATATGCAAAGAATTTCTGAAGAATGGAATATAGTATAAACTTCATGCAAGTTGTGGATTAAATAAAAGTAGATTTATCACAGTTAATGTATATGTTTCAAAGAAAGGGATATTTGGTGGGGTTTTATTATTTTTCTTTTAAGCATTCTGAATAATTCAAGCTATGAGAAAATGTAAATTTTAGTTATCACAGAAATGAGGAGAAATATCAGCATATCAATCAGATCTCTTGAAATAAACCTTTTCTACTGTAGTCAATCCATATGATGTGATACAATGAATTATGTAGTACTTAACTGGTTTCTTCTAAAATATATCAATTTATTTCTAAAGGAAGAGGTAGGAAAAAACCACCTTTTTGGCTTTAAATTGGTAAATCAAAAAGTATGATAAATCTAACAAGCAATATCTTCATCCTTCAGATGTTCATAAGCTATTAGTTTGGCTGATAATATTATTAATATTTTGAATTTTGTCTTGTATATTGGCATTAAGGCTTCAAACTTCTTGCATTTAGGACAAAAACTGCAACTGCCAAAATAGCCTCATTTTGAGATCTTGACATTGATATGAGCCAAAGTTTTACCTAAAAACATATTTTAATAAAACATGTATTTTATAAAGATGTTAATGGTTGTAAAATAACCTCTGGTGTAAAGTCTTGGCTCTTATCTATTTTGTCCAAAAACTATGCATGCACTGGCAATTTAGGTCAAATATGTCAATTTGGACAAGTTTATGACATCAAAGTGACCTTACTGCACTAAAATTTCAAAATTAAATCAACCAATTCATTTATTAATAAAATAAAAATGATTTTGAAAGGCTTGAATAATTTCACTATTTTTGCAATTTTAGGCACTAAATAGTGGCTTTTATACCTCCTCCTAAGAAAATTTGAAGAAGAAATAAGAGAGAGAAAAATAATTTTTCAAACAATTTGTTTGAAGTTTAATGCTAGCTCTCGTTGTTCTCTCAGTCTACATAAATTGTCTGATCTGATTTTTGTAAAATCATAATGAATTTCTTCTTGAATGCTTGGAACTTACATAATGTATTTAAAACTGAACTTATGACGTCATTTTTCAGTTTAATATACAGGTACAAATAATGATAAATAAACTGATTTTTTTTATAAACAATTTAAAAACTGGTAATACCAAAAACTTCCATATGGAATGTCACAGGTTTGAAGCTGAAAATTCTAAATTATTTGCTCTCCTGTATTTTGTGCCACAACATTAGTTTCGTGGCCGTTAGTAAGTGGCTCTGTAATAATTTATTGAAGTCTTTTTAAAGGCATTTAATAGTCATCCAGATCAAAATCTTCGAACATATCTTCTAGGTGTGGGTCTAATACTTGGAAGTCAACCTGATACCGTAATATACCTGAAAGATAAAAGATTAACAGATAAAAATGTGAAAAAAAAAAATTCTTGTGGTCTTCAATCAATTCTGGTAATTTACTGCTTTTACTGCAAGTACTTCAAATCATAAAATATTTCTATTATTGATAAAATTAGTCTTCATACAATTTTCTACAATTAAATGAAAAAGCACCTTTGGGCTGTTCCATTAAAGCATAAATGGTACCCAATAGGCACTTTGGAATTGGGGTAAATATGTATAGAATTTTTGAATTTCTCTTACACTTTCAATGTATAAATACACCCAACCAAAGAAAAATAAAATGCTTCGCTGGGGCGCAGCTTGATACGACCGCAGAGGTCGAACCCTGAACAGTTGGGCAAGTATGGACACAAAATTCAAGCTTGATACAGCTATGACTTTGGATTGTCATTAAATATTTGACACAGCATAGGTTTCTGACACAGGATGAATGTGGTGTAAGAACTGGAAAAAATTTAATTTACCTATTATAGTGGAATATCCATAAACTAAATTGTTTGTTAATTTCAATATATCAAAGAATATGTAGAATTCAATGTTTGATGTAATGTAATAAAGTTGAAATTTGGACCGTTTTTGTTCAATGTGGACCAATTTGGTAACATGTATAAATAATCAAAAATCTAAATACATGGCTAAAAATAAACAAAAATCCTTAATCAGCATCATTTAACAGTAATATCTAAAAATGGAAATTACATCATAAAGGTATTAAAATAGAAAATGACATCATAGTCATGGCTAAAAATAAACAAAATCCTTAATCAGCATCAGCAACATTTAAAGTAATATCTAAAAATAAAATTCCTTTGTAACCATAAAAGCCCATTTAAATACATCATAACAGATATTAAAATAGAAAATGACATCATAGTCATGGCTAAACATAGCAAAAAACCCTTAATCAGCATCATTTAACAGTAATATCTAAAAATGGAAATTACATCATAAAGGTATTAAAATAGAAAATGACATCATAGTCATGGCTAAAAATAAACAAAATCCTTAATCAGCATCAGCAACATTTTATAGTAATATCTAAAAATAAAATTCCTTTGTAACCATAAAAGCCCATTTAAATACATCATAACAGATATTAAAATAGAAAATGACATCATAGTCATGGCTAAACATAGCAAAAACCTTAATCAGCATCATTTAACAGTAATATCTAATAAAATGCTTCGCTGGGCGCAGCTTGATACGACCGCAGAGGTCGAACCCTGAACAGTTGGGGCAAGTATGGACACAACATTCAAGCTTGATACAGCTCTGAATTTGGATTGTGATTAAATATTTGACACAGCATAGGTTCTGACACAGAAAGAATGTGGTCTAAGAACTTCAATTTTTTTAATTTACCTATTATGGTCCAATGTCCAAAATCAAAATACATGGTTAGATTCGGCATATCAAAGAACCCCATATATTCAATTTTTGTTGAAATCAAACAAAGTTTAATTTTGGACCCCAATTTGAACAAACTTGAAAACTGGTCCCATAATCAACAAGAGTGCACACGCTGAAATGTCTCGCCTTCTTTACTTACCACTGATTTTATGTTGATAGTCCTAAATATAAAGCTTTACTACAAGTAACACATAAACTTAACATGATCCAAGAAAATGAGGTCAAGGTCAGATAAAGCAAACAAGAAATACATGTACACCTTACAATCATTCAATAAACCAAACATAGTTGACCTATTGCTTATAGTTTCTAAGAAACAGTCTTAACCAAGAAAACTTAACATTGACCAATGAACCATGAAAATGAGGTCAAGGTCAGATGAACCATGCCAGACAGACATGTACACCTTACAATCAATTTATAGAAATGAACTGTGAAAATGAGATCAAGGTCAAATAAAACCTATGAGACTGACATGTACATCATAAAATATTTCCATACACCAAATATAGTTGACCTATTGCATATAGTATTAGAAAAAAAGACCAAAACTCAAAACTTAACTTTGACCTCTGAACCATGAAAATGAGGTCAAGGTCAGATGACACCTACCAGTTGGACATGTACACCTTACAATCATTCCATATACCAAATATAGTAGACCTACTGCTTATAGTATCTGATATATGGACTTGACCACGAAAACTTAACCTTGTTCACTGATCCGTGAAATGAGGTCAAGGTCAAATGAAAATTGTCTAATGGGCATGAGGACCTTGCAAGGTAGGCATATAGTAAATATAACTATCCTACTACTCATAATAAGAAAGAAATTAACATTACAAAGAAACTTTTTCTCAAGTAGTCACTGAACCATGACAAGAGTGCACACGCTGAAATGTCTCGCCTTCTTTACTAATCATTGATATTATGTTGATAGTCCTAACTATAAAGCTTTATTACAACTGTCACATAAACTTAACATTAACCAAGTAAACTAAACATTGACCAATGAACCATGAAAATGAGGTCAAGGTCAGATGAACCATGCTAGGCAGGCATGTACAGCTAACAATTCTTCCATACAACAAATATAGTTGACCTATTGCTTATAGTTTAAGAAAAACAGACGAAAACACAAAAACTTAACACTGAGCAATGAACCTTGAAAATGAGGTCAAGGTCAAATAAAACCTGCGTGACTGACATATAGATCATAAAAAATTTCCATACACCAAATATAGTTGAACTATTGCATATAGTATTAGAAAAAAAGACCAAAACTCAAAAACTTAACTTTGACCACTGAACCATGAAAATGAGGTCAAGGTAAGATGACACCTGCCAGCTAGACATGTACACCTTACAATCATTCCATACACCAAATATAGCTGACCTATTGCATGCAGTATTAGAAAGAAAGACCAAAACTCAAAAACTTAACTTTGACCACTGAACCATGAAAATGAGGTCAAGGTCAGATGACACCTGCCAGCTAGACATGTACACCTTACAATCATTCCATACACCAAATATAGTAGACCTATTGCATACAGTATAAGAAAAACAGACCAAAACACAAAAACTTAACTATAACCACTGAACCATGAAAATGAGGTCAAGGTCAGATGACACCTGCCAGTTGGACATGTACACCTTACAGTCCTTCCATACACCGAATATACTAGACCTATTGCTTATAGTATCTGAGATATGGACTTGACCACGAAAACTTTACCTTGTTCACTGATCCATGAAATGAGGTCGAGGTCAAGTGAAAACTGTCTGACGGGCATGAGGACCTTGCAAGGTATGCACATACCAAATATAGTTATCCTATTACTTATAATAAGAGAGAATTTAACATTACAAAAAATCTGAACTTTTTTTTCAAGTAGTCACTGAACCATGAAAATGAGGTCAAGGACATTGGACATGTGACTGACGGAAACTTCGTAACATGAGGCATCCATATACAAAGTATGAAGCATCCAGGTCTTCCATCTTCTAAAATATAAAGCTTTTAAGAAGTTAGCTAACGCCGCCGCCGCCGGATCGCTATCCCTATGTCGAGCTTTCTGCGACAAAAGTCGCAGGCTCGACAAAAATCTAAACACATGTTTAGATTCAGCATATCAAAGTACCCCAAGAATTCAATTTTTGTTAAAATCAAACTAAGTTTAATTTTGGACCCTTTGGACCTTAATGTAGACCAATTTAAAAAACGGGACCCAAAATTAAAAATCTAAAAACACGGTTAGATTTGGCATATCAAAGAACCCCAATAATTCAATTTTTGATGAAATCAAACAAAGTTTAATTTTGGACCCTTTTGACCTCAATATGAACCAATTTGATAGCGGGCCCACAAAATAAAAAATCTAAATACATGGTAAGATTCAGCATATCAAAGAACCCCATATATTCAATTTTTGTTGAAATCAAACAAAGTTTAATTTTGGACCCCAATTTGGACCAACTTGAAAACTGGGCCAAAAATCTAAAATCTAAATACATGTTTAGATTCAGCATATCAAAGAACCCCATATATTCAATTTTTGTTGAAATCAAACAAAGTTTAATTTTGGACCCCAACTTGGACCAACTTGAAAACTGGTCCCATAATAAAAAATCTAAACACATGTTTAGATTCAGCATATCAAAGAACCCCAAAAATTCAATTTTTGTTAAAATCAAACTAAGTTTAATTTTGGACCCTTTGGACCTTAATGTAGACCAATTTAAAAAACGGGACCGATAATTAAAAATCTAAATACACGGTTAGATTTGGCATATCAAAGAACCCCAATAATTCATTTTTTGATGAAATCAAACAAAGTTTAATTTTGGACCCTTTTGACCTCAATATGAACCAATTTGATAGCGGGCCCACAAATAAAAAATCTAAATACATGGTAAGATTCAGCATATCAAAGAACCCCATATATTCAATTTTTGTTGAAATCAAACAAAGTTTAATTTTGGACCCCAATTTGGACCAACTTGAAAACTGGGCCAAAAATCTAAAATCTAAATACATGTTTAGATTCAGCATATCAAAGAACCCCATATATTCAATTTTTGTTGAAATCAAACAAAGTTTAATTTTGGACCCCAACTTGGACCAACTTGAAAACTGGGCCCATAATCAAAAATCTAAACACATGTTTAGATTCAGCATATCAAAGAACCCCAAGAATTCAATTTTTGTTAAAATCAAACTAAGTTTAATTTTGGACCCTTTGGACCTTAATGTAGACCAATTTAAAAACAGGACCCAAAATTAAAAATCTAAATACACGGTTAGATTTGGCAAATCAAAGAACCCCAATAATTCAATTTTTGATGAAATCAAACAAAGTTTAATTTTGGACCCTTTTGACCTCAATATGAACCAATTTGATAGCGGGTCCACAAATAAAAAATCTAAATACATGGTTAGATTCAGCATATCAAAGAACCCCAAGAATTCAATTTTTGATGAAATCAAACAAAGTTTAATTTTGGACCCTTTTGACCTCAATGTGGACAAAGTTGATAACGGGGCCCAAAAATCAAAAATCTAAATACATGGTTAGATTCAGCATATCAAAGAACCCCATATATTCAATTTTTGTTGAAATCAAACAAAGTTTAATTTTGGACCCCGATTTGGACCAACTTGAAAGCTGGGCCCATAATCAAAAATCTAAATACATGTTTAGATTCAGCATATCAAAGTACCCTAAAAATTCAATTTTTGTTAAAATCAAACTAAGTTTAATTTTGGACCCTTTTGACCTTAATGTAGACCAATTTGAAAACGGAACCAAAAATTAAGAATCTAAATACACGGTTAGATTCGGCATATCAAAGAACCCCAATAATTCAATTTTTGATGAAATCAAACGAAGTTAAATTTTGGACCCTTTGGACCTCAATGTGGACCAATTTAAAAACGGGGCCCGAAATCCAAAAACTTAATACACGGTTAGATTCAAGCATATTAAAGAACCCCAAGAATTCAAGAATAAAACCCCATTGAAATTGATCAAGAAATAAGCAATTTATACGAAGTATCTTCTTTTGCACAATACTGTGCAATTGAATATTTCTTGCTATTGTGCAATACTGTACAATTGACAATTTCTTGCTATTGCGCAATATTGTGCTATTGGATATTTCTTGCTAAATTTGCGCAATACTGTGCAATTGAAGATTTCTTGCTATTGCGCAATACTGTGCAATTGAAAATTTCTTGCTATTGCACAATACTTATTATATAATAATTTACACATCCTGTTTGGTGTGTATCTCCTACCATATCATTATTATTTGCTTTTAAATATTAATCAGAAATAACCAACTTAAAATGGAAAATTTTAAAAGAAAAAAAAATGGAAAAAAAGAAAAAAAAAGAAAAAAAAAAATTCCCCCCCCAAATTTTTTGAACCCCCTTATGATTCATCACCCCCAAACTCAATCCCAGCCTTCCCTTTGTGGTATGGTACCTTGCAGTACAATTTCAGAGAGATCCATACACTTGAACACAAGTTATTGTCTGGAAACTAGAAAAATGCTTATTTTTGGCCCCTTTTTGGCCCCCAATTCCTAAACGTTTCGGGCAATTACCCCCAAACTCAATTCCAGCTTTCCCTTTGTGATATGGAACCTTGTAGTACAATTTCAGAAATATCCAAACACTTACACACAAGTTATTGTCATGAAACTAGAAAAATGCTTGTTTTTTGCCCCTTTTTTGGCCCCTAATTCCTAAAATTTTGAGGCAATTACCCCCAAAATCAATTACAGCCTTCCCTTTGTGATATGGAACCTTGTGGTACAATGTCAGAGAGATCCATACACTTACACACAAGTTATTGTCTGGAAGTTACAAAAATGCTTATTTTTGGCCCCTTTTTGGCCCCTAGTTCCTTAACTGTTGGTACCATAACCCCCAAAATCAATCCCCACCTTCCTTTCGTGGTATTGAACCTTATGGTAAAATTTCATGGAGATCCATTCACTTAAACTAAAGTTAGAGTGCGAAAACCAATGTGTCTTCGGACGACGCCAGACGACAACGACGACGACGACGACGACGCCAACGTCATACCAATATACGACCAAAAAATTTTCAATTTTTGCGGTCGTATAAAAATAAAAATTTCTTTGCAACCATAAAAGTAAAATAGAAAATGACATCATAATCATAGCTAAAAATAACCAAAAATTTTTTTTATTGGCAAATTTTAAATGGAGTTTATTATACTAAAACAATAAATTTGCAACCATAAACATGATAAAACCCCATTTAAACACATCATAAAAGTATTAAATAATTCAACTACATCATAAGGCTATAAAAATAGAAAATGACTTCATAGTCAAGGCTAAAGGTAAACAAAAAACCTTCATCAGCAAAATTTTATATTGGCAAATTTCCAATGAAGTTTATTACACTAAAATTGTTGGCAAATTTCCAATGCATTTATTAACAATAAAGTTATTGGCAAATTTCCAATTTACATAATTTAAAAGCAGTGTAGATGAGATATTTAAATGAGTTTGAATTACCAACCTTACACTGCTTTTAAATAATGTTCTTTACTCAATTATTTGTCTATTAAAATGGAAACCCTTGTTTTTTAACCTTTTTTCCCCTTATTCCTTAAACATTAGAGCCATAACCACCCCCCCCCCCCCCCCCCCCCCCCCCCCCCCCCCTCCCAAAGCCAATTATTACTTTCCAATGTAACCTAAATTTCCAATATACATAATTTTAAATTTCAATTCCTCATGATATATAACCGTATCATTATTATTTTCTTTCATATATAAATCTGAAACAACCATCTTTAAATGGAAAATTTTAAAGAAAAAAAAAGGAAAAAAAAAAATCCTACCTCCCACACATTTTTTCAACCCCCTTTTGATTCATCATCCCCCACCTCAATCACAACCTTCAATTTGTGGTATGGTACATTGCAATACAATTTCACAGAGATCCATACACTTGAACACAAGTATTTGTTGCAAACTAAAAAAATCCTTATTTTCTACCAATATTTGGCCCCTTATTCATAAATGTTTGAGCAATTAACCCCAAAACTCAATTCCTACTTTCTCTTCGTGATAAAAAATAACTAACTTAAGATGTAAATTTTAAACAAAAAAAAAATGAAAAAAAAAAATTACCCCTTTTTTTACCCCCGCCCCCCTTATGATTCATCACCCCCACCCCCCTTTCCCCCCAAACCAAGCTCAATAACAGCCTTGCCTTTGTGGTATGGTACCTTGTAATACAATTTTAGAGAGATCCATACACTTGAACACAAGTTATTGTCTAGAAACTAAAAAATGCTTATTTTAAACCCCTTTTTAGGCCCCTTATTACTAAACGTTTTGGGCAATTACCACAACACTCAATTCCAGCTTTCCCTTTGTGAAATGGAACCTTGTAGTAAAATTTCAGAAAGATCCATACACTTACACACAAGTTATTGTCATGAAACTAGAAAAATGCTTGTTTTTTGCCCCCTTTTGGCCCCTTATTCCTAAAATTTTGAGGCAATTAACCCCAAAATCAATCCCAGCATTGACCCTTTGTGATATGGAATCTTGTGGTACAATGTCAAAGAGATCCATATGCTAACACACAAGTTATGTCTGGAAGTTACAAAAATGCTTATTTTCGGCCCCTTTTTGGCCCCTAATTCCTTAACTGTTGGTACCATAACCCCCAAAATCAATCCCCACCTTACTATTGTGGTATTGAACCTTATGGTAAAATTTCATAGAGATCCATTCACTTAAACTAAAGTTAGAGTGCGAAAACCATTGTGTATTCGGACGACGACGCCGGACGACGACGACGACGCCAACGTCATACCAATATACGACCTCAAAATTTTTTTGCGGTCGTATAAAAAGTGCCTTCCCTAGGTACCACTTTTTAATGGAACAGCCCTATGACGATATAAGTCACAGAGTTGAACTGTGAGCTGTTGCACACAAATGTTACCTCTGCTAAAAGTATCTGTTTAACAGAAAATTGACTTGAAAAGGCATCACAGTATAGCATGATCAAATGAAGCTGGATTACAAATTTCAGAAAGCACTGATTTATAGCTTCCTAAAAAAATATTATGTGACTGACAGATGAACAGACTTTCAGAGCGGTGGTATAATTACATCTTACATACAAGTGTGATTAAGATGCATGTATAACAATAAATGCACATGGCTTCAATGATGGTCACATAAACCCATACATTTCGATTGTAAATTTTCATGTTATAAATTATGTCACTGAACTGAATGAAAAGTGTTTCTTTTATTCATATTGATATCAATTGGGTTGATGAGGATATTTTTCTTTTTTAATTTAGACAATAAAATGCTTTGCTGAGCACAGCCTGATACGACCGCAGAGGTCGAACCCTGAACAGTTGGGGCAAATTTGGACACAATGTTCAAGCTTGATACTGTCTGAATTTGGATTGTGATCAAATTTTTGACATAATATAGGTTTCTGACACAAAATAAATGTGATCAAAGATCTTAAAAATCTATTGAAATTTGAAAAATTTTGAAGAAAAAAAGATATGAACCCCTTAAAAAAATTGGAACCCCCCCCCCCCCCCCCCCTTTGGAGCAATTACCCCCAAACTCAATCCAAGCCTTCCCTTTGTAGTATGGAACCTTGTAGTACAATTTTAGAGAGATCCATACACTTAAACACAAGTTATTGTCTGGAAACTAGAAAAATGCTTGTTTTTGGCCCGGATTCCTGCATGTTTGGGGCAATCACCCCAAAACTCAATCCCAGCCTTCCCTTTGAGATATGGAACCTTGTGGTACAATGTCAGAGAGATCCATACACTTACACACAACTTATTATCCAGAAACTACAAAAATGCTTGTTTTTGGCCCCTAATTCCTAAACTGTTGGTACCATTACCCCTCAAATCAATCCCAACCTTCCTTTTGTGGTATTGAACCTTCTTGTAAAATTTCATAGAGATCCATTCATTTAAACAAAAGTTATTGTCCGGTAACTAAATTTGTCTTCAAACGACATCATAGCATTATACGAACCCAAAACTTTTTGCGGTCTTATAAAAACAGTGCTTCTTTTTGCTAACAATTCAAAATTGGCTAATTTTATTTTTTGGACTTCTCATTCTTACCTCCTATTCCACCAAATCCTCGGACAAATTGAGCTCCCTCTTGCGATCGATCTGTTATTATTTCTAATGTTGCTCCTGTAATACAAATAATGAATGTGTCGATTAAACTACTATGCTTTAGTGGATGAGACAATTCGGGAATGAAAACATAAATGACAACTGACAGAATGTCTGATGACCTTATTTTGTAACTATTTCAGATTTTGACCCCATATCTCCTTTCAATTATATAGTTCTTTAACAATTGTATCTTTCTAAAACAAACACAACATGGATTATCATTTAACAAACCATAACAAGTTAAATCATTTGAGATTAAAAGGGGAGGATTTAGTACTCAAAAACTAGTTTAACCCAACCACATCTTCATGTGCTTCTTTCAAGTCAATAAACTTTACTATTTTTTTTTCGCTTGAAATTTTGATACTATAATGCAAATGTTGAAATTTAAATTGTAACCCTTTAAACATGCAACTATATAAAAGTTGCAAAGTCAATGGAGCATGACTGGGGGGGACGGGCCAAATAATCTACATAGAAATGAGATGAGGAAATCTCAATACAACTGCAGACCAAATATCATTGACAATATAATTGTGGTTTCCCGATTTCTGATCAAATCACAAACTTTTTTTAACTTCTGACATGTTATTGAAGCATTAACCTGTATAATGTATTTTGCCATTTAGAGAATTTGGTCTTCATGGGAGATATTTGATCGTCTTTGTTAGTTCCTTAATTTTCTATTCTTTAGAGTTATACATATTTTATGAACTCTATTGTAGGAGACTATGATGACCTCTAGATGTCATTTGGATTTTTATATCATTGGGTTGGTGTCTAAATCACTTGTACCAAATATCTCCTTTTATTTCTGAATCATGCAGAAAGCTTAATGCTGTCCTAACTTTTTAACACCAGAAAAGGCACAGGTCTGATAGTAAAAACACGTTTTACTTTTTGTCGAAGCCTATTAACTCGTCTAGACGGCTTTGTATTTTCACATGCACTTTCCAATTTTATATCAGGGCTGTTCCACAAAAACATACATTGGACCAAGGGTCCGGAAACGGTCATATTTGCCAGTCATGTCCTAAGATGAAAGTATTTGTCCTAAACGAGTAATTGGGATTTAGGACAAATTTTATTTTTTACAGAAGTAATTTCGGTCATTTCATTGACTCAATGTTTGAAATCGGATTTCTTAGTCGCCATTTTGCACTTGTGATCACTTGTTTTTGTTTATAATCCCTTTCCTGTAATAAAACTGCCACTACAGTAGTTTGATAATCCTGAGGGCCCTCCTAATATCTATATCAATGCCTCCGGGAAACATTGGCTAATGATCGCTAATCACTTTTTACCTGTGGTTTTAATTCACACCCGACAGTGATCACAAGCTCAGAATAATATCTTTAAAACATTAAAGTTCCCTGACAAGTGTATTCATTATTTATTTACTTTTCATCAAAGACAGTCATCAATTCTGATTTATAAATTAAATCTAAATTTACGTAGAAAAAAGTATTTTTCATGAGTAACACGTGTGCTTTATTTACTATGTAATACGCATGCGTGAAATTGTCTTCAGCAAATTTAATATTTAATCGTAAAATGCAAATTGATTTCATGCTAAATTAAACGAGTGCAACTATTATCTGTTATATTCAAACACTTTTAAAGGTAATAAAATAAAAAAGCCATAAAAAGCCAGTGATTTCCTGTCAATTTGATAAACAAAACAAATCCCGGAAATGAATCCGAAATTATTCGTACATTAAAATATCGCAAACTTCCGGTTTTAACTTTTGTCAAATCGAAAGAAACGTAAGCAATGTCTGAGAAATTAACCATTTTGAGTCATTAAAATCATTTTAATTTTAGACTGTTGCCTTCCCTAAACTGTCCTTCATGGTAATGGTAAGACATTTACTTAGTAAATGCGATGAAACAGCAATACAAGTTCGCCATGTTCGTTGATGCTATGAATATAGTCAAGTTGATATCGACAATTTGAAAAGGGGCACCAACTTTTCAAACATCTCAAAATGACCGAAATTGTCTGGAAAAATTTCCGGATCCTTGCATTGGACCCCAAGGGAAAGCACTTCAAAAACTATGGGTGGGTGTTATTGTACAATGAATTCAGACCGTCTAACAGAAATTCTATAGTTGCCTCAATATGCGGTTACCCTATTTTCAAAGTGCCTTCTCTTGGAAACATGTATGTAAATTGAACAGCCCTAGTTAGAAATATATCCAACATGTATAAACTACAATGTTCACTTCAGCAGTGAAATAGTGTAACCTACCATCAAAAGACCAGAATTCAGCTAATTGGTTCAAATAAGTTAAGGTGGATTTGATTACTGTGGATTCATCTATTTTCGTGGGTATCAATTTTCGTGGATCGAGGAAAACTTGCATTTTCATGGATATTTGATTTCATGGTTTTACCAATCTCTGCATACAAAGCCTACGAAAAACTTGTAATTCGTTGAACATTTGAATTTGTGGTTCACTTGTACCCATGAAAATTGGTATCCAACAATTAACAATGAATCCACAGTAAGTGAAGTTTCATTATGTTAAACTTACCAAAATTTTTATAATTATTTGCAAACCATTCTAATAATGGCATCTGTTCCACTAATTCTAACTCCACACCAGTCTGAAATAAAAATAAATTGTTTTTTTTTCAAAATAAGATTTAAAAGTATTCTCAAATACTCATTTGAGAGAGAAAACTCTGTGAATAAGGCTGCGATAATAAATAATAACTTTACAGGCTTGCCTTTAAGCAATATTATTAATTCATGGTCACATTTCTGAACCATAATTAACAAGTTGCCATACTAAAATGTCTTACCTGCTGCAATATTTGAATTGCAAAGAACTTTGAACCTGAGGTCAGTCAAATTGAACCAGTCAGGTGAACATGTTCATGTGAAGAGTTTGCATAAAAAAATATTTCGACCTTTTGCTTAATTTTTGAGATACAAACATAAAACTCAAAACATAATACTTGAGTTTGAAATTAATATTGTTACCTTTCATCATACTTGCAACATTCATATATGGTTGAATGTCCATTAGATGTATGCAAAAATATGCAGCAATATATGTTGGTTGTGGGATGATTTTGGAAGGTCCATACTTACCCTCTCACATCCATTTCAATGGAATACTATACCAATAAGATATTAAGGTATTTGTAAATTTTCATCATTGAAAAAGAAAGAAAATTTCTTTGCAAGGAAGGACAAAATGACTAGTATTTCTTATATTTTTTTTTTTTCAAATCCATCACCTATTAAACACACTCTACATCATCTTTGTACCATTACTGTATAAAGTGAATAAAGATAACCTTATTCAAATTAACTTCCCGGATTCATTCAAAGCTCACTCACTATACATGTTGAGAGAGGTCAAGTTCACAAGAATTTTTGTTGTCTCTTGGTAGCATGTTTGCCTCAAGTGTGTGCCGGAACAAACCAAACACTTGGAAATTGGCATTTGCTGATATGATAAGTTGCAGCATTTAGAAACTAGAGTAATAGAGTGATCGGGAAAGAATCAGAATAATGTGTCTGTCACCATTAGTGAAACTGTATATTTATTATACATTAACTACTGAATCTCTGATCTCCTCATATCTAGCAAACTTACATCTTTGTCAATAAAATGTGTTTTATCTTTTTCTTGCTCTGGTTTTAGGAATAAAATGTTTTCAACTGAAAAAAAGAAAAGAAATATATTTATCAATGCATTTAAACAACATACACTTTGGCAGTTGCATTGGATCATTAAAGTCATGGTCCAAATGTAAGGAATGTATTCAATCAAAACAACAGAAACATTTGAAACATAAAGGCATTTTTTACTTTTTCCATTAAGAATTGTATGTATATTGTTAAATGAACCAACTTAACATTGATTGTTGGTGTTTAATGCTACTTTCAGCAATACTGGTTTTTTCGTAGTGGTCATTTTTTTTTTGGTGAAGGAAGACTGAGTGCCTGTAGAGAACCACTGACTTTAAGACACTAATAAAATTCAGTTGTTTCATAATATTGATGACTTCTTTTTAAGTACTTTCTCCAAAGAATCATATGCGAGATTACTAAAATTACAGCCTTAGAAAAAAGTTCTAATTTCAAAACACTGCAATTTTCTAACCACATTTTCAATTAAATATGTCAAAAAATCACGACTTTTTTAAACCCTATTTTAGTTCATGCTATATTCACTATCAACAATCAGTCTGATGTTAACAAATCTATAATGGACCATCAAGTACAATCAATTACATCTCTCCTGACTGCTGGTTATGACATTAATAAGTCAGCAATTTTTACTCAATGCATTGGCTTCACCATCTACGTAAATTATATCCAGCTACGAAACCTACCATCTGTTGAATGATTTTTGAGCACATATCGTGTAATATCCAAATTTTCCCACACTATTAATGTATCTACAGCTCCCATTTCTAATCCTTTCAACGTGTCATCGACACCAAAACAATATTTTCCTGTGTCTTGTGAAATTTCATCAAAATATCGACCTGAAACAAACACACAGAAATATAGTTTTATTTGAAAAGATGTAATTTGTTTTATATCGCCACAAGTGCACATACATTTCTGTTGTTTCAAAGCAACAAAAGTAAATATTTTGGCAAGGCAATATAAAATTGATATAATCTGTAGGGTTTTTTTTTAGAGAAAATTCCTTCTAACTATTGTTTTGCTTTTTAAAAGTTTGCGAGAAAAATATCGTCTGGATATTTACATACATTTGGAACGGCACACACAGAACTTTAATTTCAATTGTTCCCTTTTTGTATGAGCTGTCCTGAAGTTGAAGAAAGCTTTCCAATTTGTAATTTTTACAAATCAAAACAAGTTTTTTGATTGTACACACAAAATTTAATATCCCAAGTGTTTTAGGTCATATCCTTCACCTTGGTTCAATTATATTGTCTGGTGAATCAGTGCTCCTTGCTTTCAATGAACGTGTAACCATTTTTGTGTGTCCTGAATGTAGGCCATTAATCTATATTGATAGTTTACCTATGAGTTTCTTTTCCTGTATAAATTTGACATTTGATAAGGCATCTGCAGCCAATTCGATTGCTTGGTTAAATCCATTTTCTCCTCCATAAGATACATCAACAACTTTGATTATTTTTGCTTGTAATCTCTGCAGTTAAAAGAGGTTTCTATAAAAACATTGCATCTATAATACAAAATTCAAAATTCATGTAGCTGGTAAATATTTACTTGCAAATGGATCATTTAGAACCTTCTTTTACATTTAAACACCTATATAAAAGATGAAGTTTATTTTCACTGAACAATACAATCTTATTTTTTTATTCTATAGCATAACCATAAATATAACTTACAGGATCAAACATATCTGATTGACTAAGTTCTGTTTTGAAGTCAGCTGATCCAGCCAGCACTAAGCCAGCTATGTTTGGTTTATCGTTTGTGATGAACATCTGTACTGCTACTTCTGCAACTTTCCGCACATAGTTGTGTCGCTTTTCCATTCTTAAACGTGCAAAACGCAAGGCTGATTGACCTCCTCTACCTGAAAAGAAAATGCCTTGAATGAAAATCATCTATAAAACTTTACATAGCATACTATTTTTACAATGAAAAAGCCTCATTCAGTAGTTAATCTGGAGTACTGACTTTCTATACAATTTTCAAATTTTAGGGTAGTAAGCCATAGTTCTTGTATTTTTTTTAATAATAACATTTCTGTTGAATTGGACCAATATTTCCAAAATTTCAAACACTTTTAGTAACAATTCTTACCGTGTTTTTTTGGTAGATCTACTGTGAATTTGTGTAGGACTTCTCTCGTGTTTCCTGACAATGTTCCAAATAATGCACCATTTCCGTCCATTACAATAAAACCAAATTTATTGTCATCTGCTAATAAAGCTGTTAATGCCTAAAAATAAATATAACAAAATTCAACGTTGGGAATTGATAAAATGTTGTACCTACTGTTAAAAAGAATGTCCTAATTAGATTTATCTTTTAATATTCATTGACTTTTTAGTTCATTTTCTGCCACAATTTGTTCATTTTATACCCACAACCAAAAAAGACAAAAAGAGTACAATTTGTGATCACTCAAAAAGAGGGGTTCATCTGAAAATCAAGAATATTATTTAAAGATGCTGCAGTTGACACAATGACATTTAAAACTAAACACAGTAAAAAATGTTCGAATAAAATATTTCACTAATAATGTTAATACAATGAAAATGTAGTAACTTCCTTTTTCTCGTGTTCTTAGCAACAATCAGAATTCCAAGAATACTTGGAATAATATTATATGACCATTTAGAACCCTGTATTCATTTATGACTACTTTTACAGCAAACTATCAGTAAATTACATTATCTTCTTATATTACCTCTGTGTGAAATTTGTTATCACAAAGATATAGTGATGTATTGATTGGTCTGAAAGGTTCAAAGTCTATGTTCACTTTCTTTTCTTTTCCTTCATCTGTTACTATAGTTCCACAATATATCACAAGTCCATTTGTCGGAACTGTTAAAAGAAATAAATGAATAATCATATGGTTTACTTTTCAAAGTTTTGCTATGCAATATAAGTATCATTGTTCCTTAAAACTATTTGCTTTGAAAGTTCTTAAATTTTAAAAAACTTATAATATGCTCTGCAGGACGCAGCTTGATATGACCGCAGAGGTCGAACCATGAACAGTTGGGGCAAGTATGGACACAACATTCAAGCTTGATACAGCTCTCAATTTGGATTGTAATCAAATATTTTGACACAGCATAGGTTTCTGACACAGAATGAATGTGGTCTAAGAAGTTAAAAATTTTAAACTGGACATTTACCTAGCTATTATGGTCCAATATCCAAAATCTAAATACATGTTTAGATTCAGCAATTAAAAAAACCCCAAGAATTCAATTTTTGTTGAAATCAAACGACATATTTAAAGTTGAATTATGGACCCTATGAACCACAATGTGAACCAAAAATCTAAATACAGTTAGATTCCGCATTTCAAAGAACCACAACTAGTAAATTTTTGATGAAATCAAACAAAGTTTGATTTTGGTCCTTTTGGACCTTAATGTGGACCAATTAAAAGGGGCCCAAAATTCAAAATCTAAACACAGGGTTAGATTCAGCATATATTAAAGAACCGAAAGAATTCAAGACTTTGAATTAAACCCCATTGAAATTGGTCAAGAAATAAGCAATTAAAAATAAACTGCTTCGCTGAGCGCAGCTGGATACGCCCGCAGAGGTCTAACCCTGAACAGTTGGGGCAAAAATGGACACAATATTCAAGCTTGATACAGGTCTGAATTTGGACTGTTTTAAATATTTGACATATTATAGGTTTCTGAATAAATGTAGTCAAAGAACTTGAAATTGGTTATATGAATTGAATTATATTCAATTAAAGATTTCTTGCTGTTGTGCAATACACTGTGCTGTTGCGCAATACTTAGTAAATCTGTTGTCAGACTATAAACAAAAAAATAAAGTTCCACACATGACAGAAATTTATGAAAAAAATTACTGCTCAAATCATTTTTGAGTTATTGACAGAACTGGGAAATCCCCCCTCATTTAATGAATACAACCCCATGAATCGGTAACATAAAAACTGAAATTTTAAAAAATCAAAAGGAGAGTCACGTCAATAGATATAAACAATTCAGCAAAGTTTCATGAAGACTGTTCAAAGCGTTTCTGAGTTATTGTACGAAAAGTGGAAAATCACCCTTTTTGTAATGAATAAAACCCCATAAATCAGAAAACTATAGTCTAAAATTTTTAAAAATCAAAAGGCAGCTCATGTCGATAGAAATAAACAATTCGCCAAAGTTTCTGGCAAATTGGTGAAATTGTTTTTGAGTTATTGTCCAAAAACTGGAAAATCCCCCCTTTTTTAATGAATAAAACCCCAAAACTCGGAAACGGTAATTAATCCAAAATTTATAAAAAACGGACAGATGCTCAACGGTATACCATAATACGTCCCGTAAACGGGCGTATAAAAAGTATTAGAAAAGTATTGTTTTTGGCCCCCAAAATCAATCCCAACCTTCCTTTTTTTGGTATGGAACCTTGTGGTACAATTTTATAGAGATCCATAGATTTACACTCAAGGTATTGTCAAGAAACCAGAAAATCCTTATTTTTGGTCCCTAATTCTTAAAACAGTTGGAGCCATAACCCCCAAAATCAATCGCAACCTTCCTTTTTGAGGTATTGAACATTGTGGTACAATTTCATAGAGATACATACGCTTATACACAAGTTACTGTCAAGAAACAAGAAAAATGATTGTTTTTGGCACCTTTCATACCCCTAATTCCTAAACAGTTAGGACAATAACCCCCAAAATCAATCCTGAGTTTCCTTTTGTGGTATGAAACCTTGTGGTACAATTTCATAGAGATCCATACACTTCTACTTAAGAAACTGTCAGGAAACCAAATGTCTTCCATCTATGATGACTACATCATCATACGAATTTTGCAGACATGTAAAAAATCTACTCATACCTATATCAGATGATCTTCCAGAACAACATTTCATAGACATTATGAAAATTAAAGTCTATAATGGCCAATGGTACAACTTAATTAAAATATTCATAGACATTATGAAAATTAAAGAAGTTTGCTTTCAGTTCCAATGGTTTAATTTTTAACATCTGGGAACAAATAGGAATGAAATTATTAATTTTTTTAACTTCTGACAACATCTGCTGTGCTAAATGAATTTACCCCACACCCCCTTTACCTAAAAAACTCTTATATTCATTAAAAGCAAAGTTCTTAAAATCTTTTTACTTAGAGATTGTAAGTATTGTACCTTTATTGTAGAGTTTTAATCTCTGTTGTACAGATGTAATAGCACCCAATACAGATAATCTGTTGACACGACTTTTGATATTTGAAGCTGTTCCAAATTCATCTGCCAACATCTTGGCTACTCTTGATATTTGGTCTTTTGGTGGAATGATCAATGAAATCATACTTGTTCCATTTCTAAAATAGACAAAAATGGAAATACACAAAATAATTCTACTCAGGAACATAGGAAGGCTACACTTAAGGTATATGTGTTGCTTGTTTTATTCTAAATTAATTACTATTTGCCAATTCTAGCTCTTCACCGACATGTCTGTTTTTGAGTAATGTTACCAAATTATAATTCAGGGTTAAAAAATAGACTTCCTTTTGAGATAAACGTTGCCATTTGGCTGTGAGAAGACGAAATAATTTACGGTTGACCCATTTGGAATGCCTGCTACTAATGATTCTGACTACAGAAATAGGAGTATTATAACACCATTTTTTAAATAATTCAATGTAGATTTACGACATAACAAGTTTCAGAGGGATAGACAACAGCAGAAAAGAAATATAACTGAAGTTCGTGACTAGAGTGTCATTTCTTAAAAATATGAGTTGGGTACCTTGTGTTATATTAAAGTATATAGGTATTTTTTTTATAAATATATATCTTGCCATTTACACTATATTATATTTATCAAATTCTCTTTAGTCTTGTTCAAATCAATTTTATTTCATGCCTGAGCATACCATTCCAGTATAAACAGTACCCGTCTACAAAGTTGATGCTTTCACAATGTTAATCTTGAGAAATAAATTGTCTATGTCTTTGAATTTATTACTTATAAATGAAAAATTGCTGTTTCAACAACTTGGTGAAAACGGAAAATTAGCTATAACAAAGAAAACGGAAAATTAGCAATAACAAAAGAGAATGGTATGAACATGTATGCAGGCAACTAGTATAGCTTATGGTGGTCCGGAAAAGCGAAGTGATAGACCAGAAAGCCACTTCTTAGCCCCAATCGCCCAGTTACGTGATCCCTGGTGACATGACACAAATATCCTACTTTTTGAAGGCTATTAACTTTCAACTGGATGAGATTTCAGTCATGGTGTATTTGGGGAAAATGTAATTTAGTCTAATGTTAGTGCAGTGACATTATCATCACTGAAAATTGATACATGTTTTGTGGTATAATACCCATAATGGGGATAATACTCATTTATGAGAATTTTCCATAACCTTACAGGCTGTTTAATGCAGTTCGCGTCAGACAGTACGATGTGCGCAGTTAAAAAAAATAATTAGTGTTACACACCCTCGCGCTGCTTCCAAACTCTTGATCAGCTTCTTAATCTTCCAAATCTCTACATTCCGATCAGCGCTGGTTTCAGAACCATCTACTCCGTTTGTTGCCATCTTTGACAAAAAGTTTTGGTATTAACCACTCCGTATGGCGGGAAGATTTCTTGCTCAATCTCCCCTTGTATTCCTATAAGGAAGATTATTTCACAACAGTTTAGTCTGTAGGGTCTATTATATTGATTAATTAGAAAATTCACAAGAAAGGAAACCTAAGGACAAATATAGCAAATTTTTCACTTCGTGGTGTAATGACAACTTCCCATCCACCATTGACCATGTGAAATCTCTGACGTCACTTCGGAGGAAATGGATCTAAATTTTCTATTTTTTCTGAAAAAATAACCTAAAAAAATCCGAATTCTTTACATTTATTTAATTTATTGAACATGGAAATCCTCTCTCTATATGATTCCCCTGATAAATCAGTATTTTTCATGACCTGTTCTAAACTTTGACCTTTTCCTTGAGTTCAAAGGTGTAGGTTCATAATGGCTGCGCCCATAGAACGTTTGTCAACACTGATTTCAACTTGTCACTTGTTGTGTAGGGCAGGGCAGGGGTGAGGGAGTAGCGAAAGCATGTCTAAATTTACAATACACTACTAATGGTCAAGTATAGATTCAAGATTTTATTATCCAATCATCATGACCCTCAACTCAAGAGGCATACACACAAAAATTATACAACAATTTTACAATGATTATCATACTCATCATAGCATAACAAATTAATATGAGGCAGGCGTTACCTGTGAAAGGGGACGAAGTCTGTATGAATTATTTTTTTAAATTTAAACATATTTTAACTACAAAATCTGTTCAAAAAGAAACGGAAATACCCTTACGTTTCCGATTTCGGTTCCGTTGTTCGGGATTTTAGTTGTGACGTTATGTTATGACGTCATATTCAATGTTAACAAAGAAACGCTATCAGGTAACGTTTTTTCATATCAAGCCATTCAAGGAATTATTAAAAATGGAATTGGTATTGCGTCCCTTCCTATATTTTACTAGACTGATAAATATATATTTTACTCAAAGACTCATGCAAACGAGACCGGAAAAAGGAAGTAGATTTCTGCGCAAATGCGGGAAAATAAAAAAGTTAAAAAAAAGTTAACGATTTTGAGTTCATTAGTAGAATGAAAATTTCGGGAAATTTTCCCGATTTTTTTTTTTTTTTTTTTTTTTTTTATTGATTTTTCTACTGTAATAGGGGACTTCGTCCCCTTATAATTCTATCATGGAATATGACATAGTTAATATTAGCATTCATTTGAATAGGAAGGTTTTCATACCTGTCAACCTATGACAATAAAAATGCAGGTCATGACCTGCATAGAAGAATGAAATCTCAGGTCATAACGCGTACGAACTTTTTCGGGCTGAATTTCAGTATTTAGGGGACATTTTTCTTATAATCTGTATCAAAGTTTCCAAAACATGTCCACATGGTTAAGTAATTTAAAATTGTACATATCATTTCATTGCACTTGGAGGCCATTGATAGACATGTGTTACATTGCCTTTATTCCTGTTCATAATCATTCCATGACATACAATGTGCCAATTTGTGTTTTCTTTGCATACATTTGTGCAGCTCTTAAACAGTGGAACATTCATATGTTGATATTAGAGTATAATAAAATAAAGTTAAACAATTAAAGGAGGTATAGATGAAAAAAGTCATTTTCAAATTTTTTTATTTTTTAATTGTTCTAAGGTAGAACAATAAGTAAAAGTATTATTCTGATATGTTTTTGCATTCGATTCATTTTAGATTTAATCTTTTTACAAAAAAAACATAAGTTTAAGGAGTATATTGTGAATTGACAAAAAAGGGGAAGTAACTCAAATTGTTTTTAAAACAACTTTGAAATACACAAATTATTTACGACCTAAAGCTAAGGTAATTCAATTGGTGTTAATTAACAGTGTGTTTGACACCAAAGCTGTCAAGTGAAGCCATGCACTGAGATGGGTCACTTGAGCTGAGTTTACACAGCTAGTTGAACTTCTTGTCCAGAAAGAATTACGAATTTGCCGGTATTTCAAAGAAATCACTTTATATCTAAGCAGTCTGAAGGCTTAGGAATCCGGGTGAAAAAAGGTTATTTTCCGAATTCCCGGGTTATTTGGTCACCCGGCGGGTGTTCCGGGTGACCCCTCAGAATTGTGAAAATCTCGGGTCACACCCGCAGGATCTGGGTCAGTTGACAGGTATGGGTTTTCTGAAATAAATTCACTTATTTTCAGTGTAATTTTTATATCTTTCATAGTCATTAACCATATAAATCTGTTAAGACAGGACAAGTTAGAAAAAAATGGACATTCTTTGGTAATATAGTCAAGAAAAAATTGTCTTTGCTGATTAAAAAAAGAACATTGTAAAAGAAAATGAATTTCATCCTCAACATCATCAGAGAAACATCTGTCACATATTCTTTCTTCATAAGGCACACTTGGTTGAATGTATCGCCCAGTTTCAACCTTTAACTTGTGGTTACTTATTCTGAACTTTGTGTAGTTTTTTACTTATTTTGAAGTCTTGAATAAAATCCAGATATTTCTCACGTTCAAATGAACATTTAAATTTTAAATATGTGCGTAGTTTACCATTTTCCATGATCATGTCTTGTATCTGCCCATACTTTTTTTGTAAAAATTTGAACGGTATGTTTTATGTTTACTGTTCAAAGTGTGGGGCTTGTATCTATTAAAATCAGATTTTGAAATATCAATATTTACAATATTTGACACATGTAGATAATATGTGTACCAAGTGTGTATTCCTTGATAATGTAGCATTTTATTTTCTATTTACATGTAAGCATTTTCCAAAAATGAGTTCTTAGAATTTTCTATTTTTATACAAGTCTAGTTTACCAGGTAAAAATAAAAAGATAGATTGATCTCTTAAAAAATCTCCTTTTCCAAAGTCATCAAATACAGAAACAAACAGGAATCTAGAAAAAAATTGCTATAAAGCAAAGGTTGTTGCCTATAACAGATACAGTTATTTTTTATTAGCTTATCACCGCACACACAACGAGCAGATTAATTGCAACGAATCACACATAAATAAACATAACACATCATATAAAGAATACACAATGATTTGTTTTTCATTTCAATAATTGTAATATAATGACCACCCCACTAAATAGGTAAAAGTAATGGGAGTAAATGCTGATTACCAATTTATTAATCTGAGGATCTCTAGCTGGACAAAGGGCCATGTGAGCTATTGCCATTACAACGCATTCCTCGTCATCGTAATAAACCTTAACAAAAATGTTTTTCTCTGAAATCACTGGACCAATTTCATTCAAACTATGATTAAATGATCCTTAGTGTATAGACCAACATGCTGCCATGACTTTAAATAAAACATAAGGGTAAAATGCATTTATTGTCTAATATCTTGAAAACCTGACCCAGGTATAATTATGCTCAAAATTTTGACTAATTTTCAAGTTTATGCCTGTAGTTATTATTCAGATTTTTGACAGATGAGCTATTCAGTATCTTAGAAGCCTAATGTGTGTATTTTTATACTGCAACTTTTTAAAAGGGCGATGTATAGTGACGGGGGAGTCCAGTCCAGTCAGTTTGTTTCCTCCTTCTTTCTCCCTTCTGTCACACTTTTGCTCCTGAACTGCTTGACAGAATTTTAAACAACTTATACAGAATCTTACTCACATGATGGGCATTTTGTACTTTTGCACCTATTTAATTTCTTCATCTGAATTATGTTTTGGGGTTTACTTTGACATTAGATGGACATGGACTTTGCCATAGCTGCACACTATAGGAGGGTCTGAATAGGTGTCCTGAATTTCTGTATACTTAAATTTTAAGGGCATTATATTTATACTTTATCACCCTGTTATCCTCTATTCTTTATATTTTTGCTCATTTTTCTGTATTCATTATTTTTTTAGCCCATTATTCTCTATTCTGTAAACCCCTACCAGACCTTCCTATAGTACATATATGTATTCTTTCCTTCTCCTAAGCCCCTTATCATAATCAAATGAAATTCTCAGAATCTTTACTAAATAGTGCCGTTGTGCACCTCCTGTTTTGATGTATGGTCAGAATTATTTAGGAGGTTTCCCTTACCAAAGTATGGACTTTGCCAATTTTTATTTGGGGGGCACCAATGTTGTATACGCAACTCTTCCTACCCCAATCATTACAATATATTGAAACTTTCTCTCCATATAAAGCTATAATGCCATTCTGCATCTTTTAATCAGAATCATTTTTATGAGTTTCCCTTTATACCAAAGCATGGACTTTGCCATTTGCCATTGCTTTATTTTACAAAATCACTTCTCAGTTCTGTATTAAATGCAACATAATTGCACACAAAGTATTTGCAAGAATAGAACATTGAGTTACTTTCTAAATGTACTAAACTTAGGAGTAGTAATGTAAAATTGGACAAAAAAAAGCAAATTCTATTTTTGGTAATAGTGGTAGGAAAAATGTAATATAATGTATTGGGCTCCAGTAATGTACCCCCTTGGGTTGGAAGGTCGCTTGTAAGCAAATTTAAGTAAATATTTACGTAAGAATTTGATTAGTTTTAAAGGTCACAGGTGGTTTTGAATAAGACGTCAGGTCGCAAGCCAAACCTGCAAGGTCGCAGGTCATATCGGACCATGTTGGAGCCACATGTATTTTTCATATATATTTTCAAACCCAATTAAGAATTGAAAAAATGAAAATTAAAGATTGTTCAAGATCTGGGGAAACCCCAATTGAACAAAAGGAAAAGATTGACAGGTAATTGCAAGTGTTTGTGATACCACTACCCCCAATAAAAGTTCTCCCATTGACTTCCATTGCAGCTGAAATAATAAAAGCAAACGCTATCAAGCAGGAACAATTCCACACTACAGTGTCACAAATTTACTTGATAAAAGTAGTTAGTATAAGGATCTAACTCTTGTTTCTCATTTATTTTTATCTTCTATAGACAATGATAGAGATAAGAATACTCAGTACCATTGGAGACCGTTTTTTCCTCTTATTGTTCCCCATGTGAAAATCTAAATGTTCTCTAATAAGAATAGCTATAGGTTTAAGGACTTACCCAACTGTTTTTAAATGTTGTTTTCTACTTTGATTTATCTCAGTTTTCATTCTATTATTTATCTCTCAGGATTTTCAGATGAAACAGGTGAATCTGAGTTAGTGATGAACAATTCTTGTGTCTGACAAGTTTCATTAAAGATGCCATGGATACACAGTCATCAAAATCGTCAAAATGTCTAGTTGTTTTGAGTGGAATTCCAGGATGTGGTAAAAGTACTCTTGCTAAACTTTTATATGATAAGCTTGGCAGAATATATGTGGAAGAACAACGGAGTTATTTAAAGTCATCAAAGTGTCTTGATGTTATAGTGGTGTCTTATGATGAACTTATTCCAGAGAATATACCTCTAGATGATAAGGCAGGTATACTCATGTCATTGTCAATGTATATATTGCATTGCAATTCCAGTCCAATTCTGTCAATGGATATTTACAAGAAAAATAATATGAATAATTTGGGCAATGGATTTTTTACTCTGTATTGAGAGAAACTTAATATTGATAAATACAGCGCAATGACAAACTATATTCTCATGGATTGGAGCAATTACAAAGTTCTATAAGATCAATGGGATAACTAGCACTCAAAGTGATGAGTTGACAAAGGAAATTTAAGAGGTTTTTTTTCAAGAATGCAGAATGAAAACTCCCTTAAGTTTCCTTCTGACATGTCTGACCACGGGGGGACTTGTTAACATTTTTTATTAATGCTGCTCTGGCTAACCCATGAAATGCATGGCTTAGGCAGGATTTTTTTTTTTTATTTTTATCATTCCTTAGTTGTTAATTTTGAATTCTGGCTGTTGTAGCTCAACTAGCTGTACTTGCCAGTAGGAATGAATTCCACCACCCATTGGATAAACTTGAAAAAAAATATTTGAATTTAACTAGACCTAAAAGATGCTAAAGTTATACCCATGCAATGTCCCTCTTGATGATAAACATAGAGCTGTTACCACTAGTTATAAAATATGAACAAAACACCCATGCAGCGATGTTGACCCTTTTCTCTGCAAAATTGTATATAACCTCCTGAGACTAAACTAGTCATTGTGATCCTTTAAGGTCTATTTTGAGCTCTCCTAGTTTAAAAAACTGACATCCATTTCTTGATCATTCTCTTATGAATTAGATCAACAAAATATCAGATTTTCAATCCAGATCTGTAATTTTTTTATGCATATTAAAAAGTCTTCTGTTAGGCTATGAATGCAGTAATAAATAATTTCTGTCAAAGATGAAACAACAAAATATTTTTTCTTTTAGTCTCAACAGACCTGGAAAGAATGCAGGGAGGAAATACTTTTTTGTATTGACTATCTTCTCAAGAAAGAAATATCATTGGAAAGTTTAACCAAGTCTCCACCTGGTGTTAGTGATGTATTATGGGAAACGTTTTATGCTATTGTTAGAAAGCAGTTCACTTCAGCAGAATCTGTTGTCATAGTACTAGATGACAACATGTATTATACAAGTATGAGGAACAAGTATTTCCAAATAGCTAGAAAGTGTAAGTAATAAATAGAATAAAATGGATCCATTATGAATTGCAAAACTTTATCCACAATTAATAGAAAGACACTTAATGCAAAATCTTCTTTTCTGAAATGGAATGGCAAGCCTAAAAGAAATTTTCTCTGAATCTGAAAATTGAAAAGTGACTAGTCTTAAAATGTATTTTATAGTCAACCAACTGATATGGCGCCTTTAAATTGTCATAGATTTACTCAAGTACAGATTCTATTAGTATTCGTACTTGAAATTTATAAAATTAAATCTTTTGTTTCAAGGAGAAACCATTTACAAGACAGCAAGCAAAGTCTATATAAGCTAGGTACAATATACTGTATTTGGTCTTGATAATAACAGATTTAAGATATTGGAAAGACCAACAGTACTATTTACGTTAAACATATTATACGAAAACCTAAAGCCAAATATTCTATGACTTTTTAACAATTTTCCTGTGTATAAACATTCTTTATTCATGTTGAATATATATACAATGTATTACAGATACTTGTGGATTTTGTCAGCTTCATCTTGCTTGTAATGTACAAACAGCTCTGAAAAGGAATGTGATACGTAACCAGCCAATCACAGAAGATGTAATTGTAGCTATGGCAGCTAAAATAGAGCCACCAAATACACATTACAATAGTTGGGAAACTTACAGTATAGTCATAAATACTGACTCAGAGATAGAAAGGTATATACATTTATCATTATTTTAATATACTGTAAGCCAACTTCTTTTCACAGATACTCTTTTTCCAGTTTAGTCCATTCTATCTGACTTAGCAATGATTTATATTTGCGACTTCTAATTTTCAAGATGTATTTAAATAGAGGAAGATCCTAAAAACATATTCGCAACGATTTATATTTGTATCATTTTCTATTTGCAAAAGTTGCAAAACTAAATCCTATTTGAAATATTAGTTGGTTTATAGTATATATTTGGTTTATTGATGAAAAAGACAAAATTCTCAATCATTACATTAAAATAAAAAGAATAATATAACATATCAGTTGCAGACATCCTTGAAACAGACTGCATAAACAAAGAAAAATTCTTTACTGACTTGATTTGATTTAAACCTTTATTGTGCTTTTACTGTTTTTAATTAAACATTTCATAATCCTTATTTCTTCCTTGTTTAGTCAGTTACCTAGGATAATGTCATTGGTGAAGACAGCAATGTTAAATCCAGTTCAACCAATAGAGGAAACCAATCCAGCATTAACAGCAGAGAGTCGTCAGATCTGTTCAAGTAACGTCATCCACCAATCAGATCAGATCTTACGAAAGATTGTTAGTCAGAAAATGACAAATTTAAAAGGTATGTATAAAAATGGCAGATTCTTTAAACATCTGTTTGTTTCTCCATGTGGTTTACTCCCCTGTAAAGTCATTCTCAGGTAATTGTTCTTATCACATCACATTGGTTAACTTCTTGTTCAGGATTATGCTCTAATTTTACAGTACTGTTAAACGACAGTTTATTTGGTTTATCATACGTATTGTAATGGATGTGATTTGATAGTCTCCCTTTAATAGTTTCAAATTAGTATTTTCTTAACTAAAGGTTTCTTTTATGTTTAATTTGATCTAGACATACTTAAAAACAAAGTAGCTTTATTAATTTAACTATAAAAGTATTCAAATTTCATGTTAACTTTATATTATTTGATGAATATTCGTTTATTCAACATTTCTTCAATACCATTTCATTATTAATATCTTTTTAAGTGATAAGTTTTCCTTAAAACTTGATCAGGAGTTGCTCTGGTGGAGAGAAGTTCACTCTCCACGTGTATATATGAGCCGACAGTGTAACATTTCCACTCTTCTCTAATATACAGCTCGCAGGAATCCATTGATTCACTCGAGTTAATTTTCAGCAACTACATTGGCATTATTTTAATACAATTTTCTGAAATCTAAAACACAATGCAAAGTATACAGTTACATTTACTTTTTATACGACCGCAAAAAAATTTTTGTGGTCGTATATTGGTATGACGTTGGCGTCGTCGTCGTCCGAAGACGCATTAGTTTTCGCACTCTAACTTAAGTTTAAGTGAATGGATCTCTATGAAATTTTACCATAAGGTTCAATACCACAAAAGGAAGGTGGGGATTGATTTTGGGGGTTATGGTACCAACAGTTAAGGAATTAGGGGCCAAAAAAAAGCATTTTCTAGATTCCAGACAATAACTGTGGAACGGTGTATGGATCTCTCTGAAATTATACTATAAGTTTCCATACCACAAAGGGATGGTTAGGATTTGCTTTGGGGGGTTATGGCTCAAACCGTTTAAGAATTAGGGGCAAAAAAGGGGGAAAAACAAGGTTGTCCTCATTAATGGACAAATACTTTAATACAAAACATAATTTAAAGCAGTGTAAGGGAGATAAATCAAATACATCATTGAAATTATCTCCCTTACACTGCTTTTAAATTATGTATAAAGTAATGGTTAATGAACAATTAAGATAATTTAAAACAGTGTAAGGGAGGTAATCCAAATACAACGTTTTGGTTACTTCCCTTACACTGCTTTTAAATTATGTTTAAAGAAATGCATATTTATAAAGGAAGACCAGTATGGCGCATTAGATTTGTAAAATCTTTGACCACATTTATTTATTTGTTTTCCCGAATCTAACCGTGTATTTAGATTTTTAATTTTGGGTCCAGTTTTCAAATTGGTCTACATTAAGGTCCAAAGGGTCCAAAATTAAACTTTGTTTGATTTTAACAAAAATTGAATATATGGGGTTCTTTGATATGCTGAATCTAAACATGTATTTAGATTTTTGATTTTTGGCCCAGTTTTCAAGTTGGTCCAAATTGGGGTCCAAAATTAAACTTTGTTTTATTTCAACAAAAATTGAATATATGGGGTTCTTTGATATGCTGCATCTAACCATGTATTTAGATTTTTTATTTGTGGACCCCGCTATCAAATTGGTTCATATTGAGGTCAAAAGGGTCCAAAATTAAACTTTGTTTGATTTCATCAAAAATTTAATTATTGGGGTTCTTTGATATGCCAAATCTAACCGTGTATTTAGATTTTTAAGTTTGGGTCCTGTTTTTTTAAATTGGTCTACATTAAGGTCCAAAGGGTCCAAAATTAAACTTAGTTTGATTTTAACAAAAATTGAATTCTTGGGGTTCTTTGATATGCTGAATCTAAACATGTGTTTAGATTTTTGATTATGGGCCCAGTTTTCAAGTTGGTCCAAGTTGGGGTCCAAAATTAAACTTTGTTTGATTTCAACAAAAATTGAATATATGGGGTTCTTTGATATGCTGAATCTAAACATGTATTTGGATTTTAGATTTTTGGCCCAGTTTTCAAGTAGGTCCAAAATTAAACTTTGTTTGATTTCAACAAAAATTGAATATATGGGGTTCTTTGATATGCTGAATCTTACCATGTTTTTAGATTTTTTATTTGTGGGCCCGCTATCAAATTGGTTCATATTGAGGTCAAAAAGGTCCAAAATTAAACTTTGTTTGATTTCATCAAAAATTGAATTATTGGGGTTCTTTGATATGCCAAATCTAACCGTGTGTTTAGATTTTTAATTTTAGGTCCCGTTTTTTGAAATGGTCTACATTAAGGTCCAAAGGGTCCAAAATTAAACTTAGTTTGATTTTAACAAAAATTGAATTTTTGGGGTTCTTTGATATGCTGAATCTAAACATGTGTTTAGATTTTTTATTATGGGACCAGTTTTCAAGTTGGTGTAAGTTGGGGTCCAAATTTAAACTTTGTTTGATTTCAACAAAAATTGAATATATGGGGCTCTTTGATATGCTGAATCTAAACATGTATTTAGATTTTAGATTTTTGGCCTAGTTTTCAAGTTGGTCCAAATTGGGGTCCAAAATTGAACTTTGTTTGATTTCAACAAAAATTGAATATGGGGTTCTTTGATATGCTGAATCTTACCATGTTTTTAGATTTTTTATTTGTGGGCCCGCTATCAGATTGGTTCATATTGAGGTCAAAAAGGTCCAAAATTAAACTTTGTTTGATTTCATCAAAAATTGAATTATTGGGGTTCTTTGATATGCCAAATCTAACCGTGTATTTAGATTTTTAATTTTGGGTCCCGTTTTTTGAAATGGTCTACATTAAGGTCCAAAGGGTCCAAAATTAAACTTAGTTTGATTTTAACAAAAATTGAATTTTTGGGGTTCTTTGATATGCTGAATCTAAACATGTGTTTAGATTTTTTATTATGGGACCAGTTTTCAAGTTGGTGCAAGTTGGGGTCCAAATTTAAACTTTGTTTGATTTCAACAAAAATTGAATATATGGGGCTCTTTGATATGCTGAATCTAAACATGTATTTAGATTTTAGATTTTTGGCCTAGTTTTCAAGTTGGTCCAAATTGGGGTCCAAAATTGAACTTTGTTTGATTTCAACAAAAATTGAATATGGGGTTCTTTGATATGCTGAATCTTACCATGTTTTTAGATTTTTTATTTGTGGGCCCGCTATCAGATTGGTTCATATTGAGGTCAAAAAGGTCCAAAATTAAACTTTGTTTGATTTCATCAAAAATTGAATTATTGGGGTTCTTTGATATGCCAAATCTAACCGTGTATTTAGATTTTTAATTTTGGGTCCCGTTTTTTGAAATGGTCTACATTAAGGTCCAAAGGGTCCAAAATTAAACTTAGTTTGATTTTAACAAAAATTGAATTTTTGGGGTTCTTTGATATGCTGAATCTAAACATGTGTTTAGATTTTTTATTATGGGACCAGTTTTCAAGTTGGTGCAAGTTGGGGTCCAAATTTAAACTTTGTTTGATTTCAACAAAAATTGAATATATGGGGCTCTTTGATATGCTGAATCTAAACATGTATTTAGATTTTAGATTTTTGGCCTAGTTTTCAAGTTGGTCCAAATTGGGGTCCAAAATTGAACTTTGTTTGATTTCAACAAAAATTGAATATGGGGTTCTTTGATATGCTGAATCTTACCATGTTTTTAGATTTTTTATTTGTGGGCCCGCTATCAGATTGGTTCATATTGAGGTCAAAAGGGTCCAAAATTAAACTTTGTTTGATTTCATCAAAAATTGAATTATTGGGGTTCTTTGATATGCCAAATCTAACCGTGTTTTTAGATTTTTAATTTTGGGTCCCGTTTTTTTTAATTGGTCTACATTAAGGTCCAAAGGGTCCAAAATTAAACTTAGTTTGATTTTAACAAAAATTGAATTCTTGGGGTACTTTGATATGCTGAATCTAAACATGTGTTTAGATTTTTGATTATGGGACCAGTTTTCAAGTTTGTCCAAGTTGGGGTCCAAAATTAAACTTTGTTTGATTTCAACAAAAATTGAATATATGGGGTTCTTTGATATGCTGAATCTAGCCATGTATTTTGATTTTGGACATTGGACCATAATAGGTAAATTAAAAAAATTGAAGTTCTTAGACCACATTCTTTCTGTGTCAGAAACCTATGCTGTGTCAAATATTTAATCACAATCCAAATTCAGAGCTGTATCAAGCTTGAATGTTGTGTCCATACTTGCCCAAACTGTTCAGGGTTCGACCTCTGCGGTCGTATCAAGCTGCGCCCAGCGAAGCATTTTATTGACATTAGTTTTTGAATTACCATTCTATTTGAATTCATTTGAATAGAAATACTTTTCTTTTTCATTTCGTTTGCGAACTATTTCGATTTAATTACATTTTGTTTTTGAACTTAACTTATGAAATACTATTCTTATTTGATTTAGTTTGACTACCGGTATGTTTTATTTGAATGTTGTACATTTGTAAATAAATTGTTGAGTTCTATTTGATTTATGTCTTTGTTCAGCCAAATTCTGATATCAGGTATCCCGATGATTGAATAGGGACAAAGTACCGACCCCCTTCTGTTACAGTATTTAAAAAGTTAAAATTGCTATTTGCTGTTTTCCAAAATAACAATATTAAATTTTCAAAATTTTGCATCCAAGTAACCCATTTCCATCAATGCCTGCACAAAGCATAAATCTTTTTTGCCTGCTGAATGTCAGGTTTGGGACAGGTTGGAAAATAGGATACATGTTTTGTGTAATCAACCCACTTTTGAGTGCACATTTGCAATGGAGGGAACCCATTTTGTGGAATTTAACTCCTCCTACAGTTTCAGTCTTAAGCCTTTAATTTTTTTCAGAATGCATGTGCATTGTATGTACATTGAACATGTGCACCTCACTTTCTTTTTTTTGAGTAGTCATTTTGAAAAAAAATCAGATTTGCAAGATAATGAAACTTACCATTTTTGTGCAACATTCTCTTTCGAGGATAGCCATTCCAGGCTTTAAACTTTATAGAAGGATGTATATGCAGTTAAGCTGTATAGATTTTTAATTATATTTACTTATATCTATGGTTCTCATGGTTAACTGTACTGTAGGTTCCTATGTTCTGTTAAAACCAACATTTCTGTGCCATAAGTATTGCAATACTGTATGATTTTACTTTTTTCTATCAAGGCATTGCAGAAGACAAGTCAACATTGCAACAACTGTCTAAGAAATACATAGATGTAAGAAAAACATGCTTGGATAAGATAAAAACTGGACAAGTTTCATTTCCTGTGGCTGTGGATGAGCCGAATGTTTCATGTGATATAAACAGTGAATTGTACCAACAGATTCTTAGATTGTTTGAACAGTTGTTGAAAGAAATAACTTGATATGAAATAAAACATCAGCATACTTTGGTTAAAACAATCCAAGGAAACAGAACCTGTCAAAGACATGATATGCATTACTCTAAAAATTGCTGTATAAACCAATAAATTTCCTTAATTGCCATCTATCTTTAATGTGGAAACAGGACTACACATTTCTTAGGCCTAAATTAATATATTGTTCGTTTCCCCAATCCCAACCCTGCCAAGCCAGGTGTGGGTAGGTAGGTAGGTAGGGAAATAATATTATTTTTCCAAAAAGCTTGAACATTATCGGACGATCTGGCAAGCTTGAAAATCCAAAATGATTAAAATAATATTTGACTTAGTTTTGACAATAAAATTTTACAAGTAGCACCATTTTTGCAGGGTCGGTCGGGATTGGGGAAACAAACAATATTCTATTTTAGGCCTTATAATGCATCATTATGAAACACTAATGTTGATTATAATTGATTGATTGATTGATTGGTGTTTAACGCCACTTTCAACACTATTGTGCTATTTCGTGGCGGTCAGTTTTTATTGGTGGAGAAATTGGAGAGCCCCGAGAGAACCACCAACCTTTGGTAGGAAAACTGACAATCCTAGTCAATTAAGATTGGAGTGAAGTGCACCTGCCCCGTGCTGGATTTGAACCCACATCCCAGTGTTGACTGGCTAGTGATACAGTAATGATAATAGATTTAGCGAAACAACATCATAAGCAATCTGAAATACTCTGATCAGTGATGGAATGGAAGTTAGGTAACAAACTTTTATTTTTTATGAAGTTAAGACACACATTTAAAAGAATGTCTCAGTGATAGCATTTAAAAATTCACAAAATGTAAGTGACCAAAAAACACATGCTTGATATAGTGTGTTGTACTGTTATCTGTTGGAGACTTTCTTCTGTTGTTATTTTATCTTTTTTGGGGGATATTTTTAATACAAATAACTTTTGCATATTAAAATTAATACAAATTTATTTCATTTGAAAAGGGCATCATGTTTCTTGCAAAAAAAAATATTGTAATTTTTGTCTGTTTCTTTTTGCATAAAAAGATCATTAGTTGTACTCAAAGCTATATTATTTCTGTAGCTCTTTCATTAACCAGAAAACAGATGTTACCTCTCGAGTAAAGATTGATTGATTGATTGGTGTTTAAGCCCACATTCTGCACTATTGTGTTATTTTGCGGCGGTCAGTTTTTATTGGTGGAGGAAGCTGGAGTGCCCATAGAAAACCACAGACCATCGGTAGGAAAACTGACAATCCTATCCTGAGTAAAGGGAAGTGCGTCTTTGACATGAGGTAGCATGCTGACCATAAAAACAGAAGAGCATCAGTTTGATCCACTTCCAGGTAAAACCAAAGACTTACCCTGTATTGCTTTTTAGCCACGCACTCATCACTGATGAGTATGAGCAAATTAGGGTTGCATAAATGTGTCAGGATACACAGAAAGATACCTTGTGTGATAGCATGTTTGAATTTAAATTAAATTTTTGGTGAATTGGTCTAGTATATGCCACTGTAATTAAGCAACTATCATTTTTATTCAAGGGGAATGATTAAATAAAGACAACCAACTACATACATGTACAAAACAAGAGTGCACATGTTGAAATGTCTTGCCTGCTTTACTGACCATTGATTTTATGTTGATAGTCCTAAATATAAAGTTTTACTACAAGTATCACATAAACTTAACATGATCAAAGAAAATGAGGTCATGGTCAGATAAACCAAGCCAGAAATACATGTACACCTTAAAATCATTCCATACACCAAATATAGTTGACCTATTGCTTATAGTATACAAGAAACAAACCAAACCATGAAAACCTGATTTTGAGCAAAGAACCATGAAAATGAGGTCAAGGTCAGATGAACCCTGCTAGACAGACATGTACACCTTACAATCATTGTATGCTTTAAATATAGTTGACCTATTGCACATAGTATCTAAGAAACAAACTTATCCAGGAAAATTTAATATTGACCAATGAACCATAATATGAGGTCAAGGTCAGATGAACCCTGCAAAACAGACATGTACACCTTACAATCATTACATGCTTTAAATATAGTTGACCTGTTGCATAAAGTAACCAGAAAAACTTAACATTGACCAATGAACCATGAAAATGAGGTCAAGGTCAGATGATAACTGCCAGACAGACATATACACCTTACAATCATTCCATACACCAATTAAAGAACCTTAGTGAGCGCGCTCACATACCACACGTCCCCACATTGTCATTGGAGAAATAAAATAAGTGTAAGAAAAAAAATTGTATCAGAAAAAAAAATTGAATCATAATTTCCTGTCAATATGCACATCTACATAGTATGTCCTTATTATCTACACAGTTTCATGAAATTCTGTTGTGTGGTTTGAGAGGAGTTGCGATGACAAAAGGTTGCAGTAGTATATTGGGCAAATAAGTTCAAAGGGGCGTAACTCTTGGAAAAAAAATTGAATCATAATTTCCTGTCGATATGCACATCTACGTAGTATGTCCTTATTATCTGAAAAGGTTTCATGAAATTCTGTTGTGTGGTTTGAGAGGAGTTGCGATGACAAAAGGTTGCAGTCGTATATTGGGCAAATAAGTTCAAAGGGGCGTAACTCCTGGAAAAAAAATTGAATTGTAATTTCCTGTCGATATGCACATCTACGTAGTATGTCCTTATTATCTGAAAAGGTTTCATGAAATTCTGTTGTGTGGTTTGAGAGGAGTTGCGATGACAAAAGGTTGCAGTAGTTCATTAAAGTAAATAAATTCAAAGGGGCGTAACTCCTGGAAAAAAAACTGAATCGTAATTTCCTGTCGATATGCACAACTACATAGTATGTCCTTATTATCTAAAAAGGGTTTCGTGAAATTCTGTTGTGTGGTTTGAGAGGAGTTGCGATGACAAGAAACAGGACTGACAGACTGACGGACAGACGGACGGACGGGTCAAAAACATTATACCCTCCGCAACTCGTTGCGTGGGGTATAAATATAGTTGACCTATTGCTCATAGTTTAAGAAAAACAGACCAAAACACAAAAACTTAAAATTGAGCAATAAACCGTAAAGATGAGGTCAAGGTAAAATAAAACCTGCCAGACTGACATGTACATCGTAAAATATTTTTATACACCAAATATAGTTGACCTATTGCATACAGTATTCGAACAAGAATGTGTCCATAGTACACAGATGCCCCACTCGCACTATCATTTTCTATTTTCAGTGGACCATGAAATTGGGGTCAAAACTCTAATTTGGCATTAAAATTAGAAAGATCATATCATAGGGAACATGTGTACTAAGTTTCAAGTTGATTGGACTTCAACTTCATCAAAAACTACCTGACCAAAAACTTTAACTTGAAGCGGGACAGACGGACGAACAGACGGACAAACGGACGAACGGACGCACAGACCAAAAAACATAATGCCCCTAGGTGGGGCATAAAAACAGACCAAAACACAAAAACTTTACTTTAACCACTGAACCATGAAGATGAGGCCAAGGTCAGATGACACCTGCCAGTTGGACATGTACACCTTACAATCATTCCATACACCACATATAGTAGACCTATTGCTTAAAGTACTATCCCTATGTCGAGCTTTCTGCAGGCTTGACAAAAACCCCAAAAAGGCAAATGGCTCATAAATGATGGCAGACATCACTGAAAAGGGCACTAATGTATTGGTTATGTTAGTGACTTGCAAGTCATTACTAGGTAGTTGATTCTATCAACTCTGTGTTATCACACCAAAATTTTCGAAAACTGACAGATAAAGAAGAATTTCAAGCTTTATACAATGTTCCACTGATGTATGTTTCACTACTGCACTTCCTGCGAAACCAACAGTCTGAGATTGCTCTGACGGCCCTTTTTAGGGCTTGTTGGGCCCATGGCATCAGACCAATCTCAGATTACCATCAAAGTTCATTATTTGATTATAGATCAACATAACTTGATTGTACTCTTAGTAGGTCTTCCTCATTATAAGAACGAATGATTTTGTACTGTATATTGTTGATTGACAAATGTTTTATTAACCTGTCAGAAATCCCTCCAAGCCTTCTGCTTCTTTCAATGCTATTTTTAAATGCTGTGTATGTTACAATATTTCTACAAAGCTTGAAAAGAAATGACATTGTACATTCTTAATGTGCCTGTCCCAAGTCAAAGTCTTTTAATCCTGTGGTTGGGTTGGTTTCCTGGCTGCCATAATGGTTCTATACTGGGTTTCTGTAGGAAAAATTCAGTTATTAATTTGGTGAAGTACTGCAGGTGAGCGGCTGCACAGCTGCCAACAGTTTCTGTGTAATAACTTATGAACTGTTCAACCAATGCTTTTCAAATTTTAATATGTTACTACTGATGGCAAAATTGAGGTCGGGTTCGATATTGACAATTTTCCCTTGTACCATTCACTAATTATTGTCCTTGATAGACTGGAAAATGACACTTTATTTGGTTTCTGTATTATAACTTATGATCCATTCAACCAATGCTTTTCAAATTTTAATATGTTGTTCTTAAATACAAAATGGTGGTCTAGTTTAAAATTCATGGGACGTAACAAATGTAAATTACCATAAAGATGGTAAAAGATTTTGCTTCAGATTATACCTTTGTCATTGTTTTCTGAACAATTCAGGGCACATTTTGGTATTTTGACACAAACCTTAATGAAAACTACTATATAACAAAATTTGTTTTTAAATCATTCGATTTTCATGAAAAAGGATTAATGAAGGCCATGGTTTATTTTGTATTTATATAAATTCCTAACTCTTTTTGATACTGAAAAAAAAATTAAGAGGATTGAAAATATATAACACAAAGAATAATAGCCTAGGAATATATTTTTATCTTGCCTCAAGTACAGGTTAAACCCAACAGAAATTTAACATTACATATTGCCTCTTGGCATTACATTATACAAATTAACAATACAATCCATTGATATTTTCTCTGCTGCTCTCATTCCATGCACAACAAAAAGAAAGAAAAATATGGTGCACAATATATATGGGCCAATTTTTTCCCTAAAAAAAATTTTGGGGAGGGGGAGGCAGAGAAAATTGCTCAAATTCAAACATTTTTTACTCATCTTTTGAAGTGAATTTTGGGAATTTAATATTTTCCCTTTTCTAACATCTTTATATTTCAGGAGTATGACAGGTTGATATACAGTGGAAATTAGAGGGATGTATATTAAAGAATTCATACCTCCTAATCTTCGTTTCACTTACATTGAAAATACTTGTATTGATAGTTTTTAACAAATTTAATTGCACACCATAAAGATGTCTGTGAGGTGTGGATTTGGTGAAAAATATATTATTTAGGGAGCTACTGAAATATTTCAAGACCTCCAAAATTCAAATTCAGGATATCCATATAATAACCAAGTATCATCTACAATGAAGTGGCATACACGTTTTTATTTGATTTACTTCACCAAAAACTTAATGTATTTGCATTCAGTAAAGCACATGAAATATAACATTATGATATCTAATATTTAAAATGCAAACAAAATTATAATGACAGTGTTCTCCCCAGATATTTCATTTAGCATCCTGGTAAACAGGGGAAATTGAAATACCATCTTGTTTATAAAAATTATAGTATCACATCCATAACATAATCTATAAGAAAACCACTTCAGATAGCATCACATTTAAGATTATAGCATCACATTACCATGATACTAAAAGGCCCTGGGGAGAACACTGAATGAATGCCATAATTTATCTTTAGAGCAATTATAGAAATAACATGATCATATACAAGATACTTTTTTTCAATAAATTAAAATTTGAAGCGCAAATGAAAAACATGCTGATGTTATTTTAAGCTATATGCATCAAGATGTATTACAATAGAGCACCAAAGAAGCCGTCAATAACAAATTCATACATACAGAATAATTTTGTTGACAAAAGATGTAAAAATTATATACAATATTGTTATCATGTGAGATGTTGCCTTTGTAAAACCAGATGATTGAAAGCTGTCATCAACATTGCTGTCCATCAATGAAATGCAATGCATACAATAAATAATATATTATTTTTTCTTAACCATTGAGACCAGTCACCTATCCATTTACTAGATGGATGAAAACTGTATTGATGCTGGTTTGTTTAAAACTCGCAGAACTAGGGCAGCCTCAACTAGTTATGCTTTTTCTGAAATGATGAGGAAAGGCTAATGGATTCTTTAATCTTACTTAGCCCGATTAAATATCCCTTTTATTTAGGTTATCTGAATTAAAAATCAACCTTCAACATACAAACAACTCCATTAATATTAATTTATATACTGGGAGCAAATGAACATTACATTAAATTTTATTTATATACCAGTAGCTATTTTTAATGATTTAGAAATCAAGACAAGAAATGGCAGTATGTTCCAAAATTCAGATCCGACTTCTGCAACTAAGAGCAACTCCAGTGCGTAATTCAAGAGTGTTATCATCATTTTAGTATATCGCCATGAAAGGCAAATATCAATTCAGAAATCAATCATTAGTTTAACTTAAAATGACATGCTCATATTTGTATTGGTCAGTCTCAGCATCTTCATACAAAATATTCACTTATCCCATGATGCAAAATTACATTATTTGGTTCAAATTACCAGTAGTTTCAAATAAGGAAAGTATTTGATGAAGTTCAGAAAAAAATTGCAAAGTATGGACAACAGGTCATTTTATACCAATATTGTTTTCATCTTATCTGTCCATTATTTCATCAATTTGTCCAACAAATATTTTTGTCATACTTTTGACAGGTACTATTGACCAAGATGACTTCATATTTGGTCAGCAGTCTGACAATGATGAGTTGTAATGTGTGAGCTTTTTTTTCAGATATGTGAGACACTTATACTTCCTGTTTGCCAATACTTTAAATTTTTCAATATGGTGGATGAACTTCAATCTATTTCTTCACACCTTTCTCCAATAACTATTGAACAGAATAATTTCATATTTGGTCAGCAGCTCAACAGTGATGAGTAGTTATGTCTGAGCTCTTTTCAGATCTGTCAGACGCCTTTTAATGTTTTCCATATACTTTGAATTAAGAGTGGGTGTATGCTTTATACAACAAAGTGCATCTGTCTTTTCCTTTACATTACATGTCCTAAACAATATCTAATCTTCTGTGATGAATTTAATACTGTGAGGTAGATACATTGTAATTTGTTAAATAAAATAACATGATTTTTATGACCCATCTAAAACAGTGTGCTGTTACAAATGAATAGAAAATAAGTTATATTGAAAGCATCATAAAATGTTATATATGATTAAACAAAAAGTAAAAAAATGTCTGGTTAAAAGGACAAAAATAATTTGAAATTTTCAAATTGTTATCAAATCTGAAGTTAAATTTCTCCTCAATGTAAAGTTATTCTTGATTGCTACAAATAAAGAACTCTTACAATGCTATCAATATATGTATTCTGATTAGTGAATCAAAATGAAAACAAACAGAACAAGATATGAATAGATTCAAAGTGCATTGTTGTGCATTGCCTGTAAAACAAACAAAAAAGCTTTAAAAAAATAACTAAGCTGCCTGATTTTTATTAAAATCAACAGCAGAATTTGGACTCTCATAATACTGTAAGTATATGGTAGTGGATATACAAAGTACATGCAAAAATTCTGAAGAGAAATCAGTTTCAGGTTTCTTCCAGAATGCCTTAAGACTAAGGCCTCACAATCTTTTTGAAAATTAGATATTCAGATAATAATATAATAGAATGCAAACTACTTTATTCTATAAAATAAATAGCATATCATAAAACTTATCTAAAATATTAACATTTCAACAATAATAAAATTTCAAGGTTGCTAGTATAACTGGCTGCACAGGGCTTCATATACTGTATTTAATTCAGATGTAAGTATGCTAATACAACTATAAACAAAATCCACAAACTTAGTATCATAAGTACCTATGGAGAAATGGATAAAATCAGCAAATTGAAAATTACATGTTCATAATGATGACAGAAAAAACACTTGTATCTCACTTTGCTTCACTTGTTTTTAATGAAACTTTGAAACTTGAAAGGCCACTGTTCTATAAAAGAAGCACAACCAAAACCAATTAACATAAAGGTAAGCTCAATTTGCATTTCTTCATTACCAATTACATTTATTAAAAGTCAAAAGTCAATATATGCAGGCATGACAAAACAAATGTACACAAATTGAAGATTATAATTAAGTACAAGAGCAGCAGTGCTGTCAAAAGAAATCAATTCAACATGTAAACTAGATTTAAGAATGATTATTATACATACCAGATCAATAGCTCATACCTGCCAACTTTTCAAAATCTCCATGGGGGATTTTAAGCATAAGAGGACCTAGTGCATTTTGTATACATGTCTAAAGTATATTCAATAAGATATACTATAATTTTTTAGGAGTACTAGAACACACCCGTGACATCGCGGGTCTGTGACTGAATTAAAGTACCTGTGCTTTATTTTTAGCCTGGATTTTTAGTATTCCCATTGTCATCTGATAAAGTCATGCTTATTTTAAGGTGCACAGTTTTCTCTGCTTTCAAAATCTTTCTGTTTGAACCCGTCCTGGTTTTCTCACTACAATATAGAAGTGGTACTCCAGATAGTGGAGGGAAGGATAAAGAAGAACTACAACTGGAAACTACATGTGACATATACTATTGGTATCGGTATCGGATTCGACTAAGAACTTGTTAATTATTGGTAATATTGATTATGTGGAAAACAAAAGGGCCTGGGATGGTGTCATTTTTATTAATCAACACCATTGTACTATATTAGTTATATCTAAAGTTGAATTGATTGATTCGTCGTTTTTGCGTTATGCCGACTAACAAATTGGACCTCGTTATTTCAGTAGTATAGATATATGTACTTAAATGCCATTAAACTCATTTGAATAACTATTTGTATAAAGTTCACATAATAGAGGATTTAAATAGTCAGGCCAACCCCTCCCATTGGACATATCCCCCATAAATTGGGATAGTTGGCAAGTCTGATAGCTGTAAACAACAAAGAAGGGCAGACAGTTGTTACACCTTTGAATGATAGAATAAAGGGCAAGGGTAAAATTGTATGGGTCATTAATAAAGTTTGAAAAACAAACCAATGAGGGACACTTAAAGCATTTTTGATATAGGGCCTTTAAACTGAATTTGATAAACAACAATCATATGATTAAATTATTTTCACATTATAGATTAACTGAAAAATATAAAACCAATATTTTCTGTAATGATAAATTATTCTTCTCTTTCAATAAACTTTTCTATAATCCTAAGGAATTTCAACACATGTATATTATTGGAACAGAAGAAAAACAATAATATAGGTTCAACAAATAAAAACAATTGAACATCTCTGAATGATGTCAAAATATAAGATTGATGTTAACACAGTGTGTAAAATGTTTTACACATAGTCCATACACAGTCAATTGTCACATGAAAACCATATTGTCTGTAATGATTCACTATATGATAATTACTTTCCCATTTCACTGAATTTTCTAAAACATTCTACAGAATATTTTGTCTATACATCAATTGCATAAATATCAGCCAATATGTCAATGGCAACTCTTCTCATGAATGATGATAATAAAACAAAAGTAATAAAGATATGTCAGTGTAGTCCATGTTTTTCTATGTATCTCTGTCTAGCAGTTTCTATCATAATTTTCTTTCTCTCCTCAAATGACTGATGTCTATCACTAGAAGATTTAGGGAAATAATGGGCACTGTATTTCTGTTGTGCTGGCTGCAAATTAAATATTAGAATTATTAGAATATTCTGATATTAAATTCATACAGTTGTAATTGTAACAGATTGAGAAATGACCCAATTCACATGGTATATTTTGCCATTTTCTGCATTACCAACTAGATGTGTCGGAACAACACAAATGGTCACGCTCGCAATAAAAACTTGACACCATTTTTAGGAGTGGAAATTTGAGAATGAAAGTCTGAATAACTTATTTTCACGAAATTTTCAAAGTCCAAAGCCCATAATTTTGGCACAAACCAGTGGAGTGGAACCAGACAGAAAATCAATCTGTAACTCGTCATAGTAGACCCGCATACTAAAAATCAGCTCAATATATGAAGGGGTTTAGAAGAAAAGTCTGTATAACTGGTATTTTCACAAAAAATCCCCAAGACCCTAATTTCGGCACAAATCAGTGGAGTGCAACCAAACCTAAACTTGATCTGTAACTCATCATAGTAGATTCACATACTAATAAACTACTTCGCTGAGCGCAGCTGGATACGCCCGCAGAGGTCCAACCCTGAACAGTTGGGGCAAAAATGGACACAATATTCAAGCTTGATACAGGTCTGAATTTGGATTGTAATTAAATATTTGACATATTATAGGTTTCTGAATAAATGCAGTCAAAGAACTTGAAATTGGTTATATGAATTGAATTTATATTCAATTAAAGATTTCTTGCTGTTGTGCAATACATTGTGCTGTTGCGCAATACTTTGTAAATCTGTTGTCAGACTATAAACAAATAAAGTTCAATTTCTTCTCAATGTCAAGTTTGAAATTTATGAAAATCAATAGGGAGATTACATCAATAGCTATAAATAATTCACCAAAGTTTCATGAGAACTGCTGAAAGCATTTTTGAGTTATTGTCCAAAAACTGGAAAATCCCCCCTTTTTTAATGAATAAAACCCAACAATTCAGAAATGTAAAATCTAAAATTTATAAAATTCTAAAGGGAGCTTACATCAACAGATATAAACAATTCACCAAAGTTTCATGAGAACTGCTGAACGCATTTTTTAGTTATTGTCCGAAAACTGGAAAATCACCCTTTTTTTATGAATAAAACCCTGTAACTCGGAAACGTAAAATCTAAAATTTATAAAAATCAAAAGGGAGCTCATGTCAATAGAAATAAACAATTCACCAAATTTCTTGTAAGTTGGTGAAAGCATTCTTGAGTTATTGTCCGAAAACTGGAAAATCCCCCTTTTTTAATGAATAAAACCCCATAACTCGGAAACGTAAAATCTAAAATTTATAAAAATCGAAAGGGAACTCAGGTCAATAGATATAAACAATTCACCAAAGTTTCATGCAAATTGGTTAAAGTGTTTTTGATTTAGTGTTCGACATGTTGATGACGGACGGACGGACAGACAGTCAACGGTATACCATAATACGTCCCGTAAACGTGCATTTAAAATTAGCTCAATATGTGAAGGCGTTTAGAAAAAAAGTTCGTATAACTGCTATTTCTATGAAATTTTCAAAGTCCAAAGCCCGTAATTTTGGCAAAAATCAGCGGAGCGGAACCATACTTATACTCGATCTGTAACTCATCATAGTAGACTCACATACTAAAAATCAGCTCAATATATATGAAGGCATTTAGAAAAAAAGTCTGTATAACTGTTCATTGCGGAATGACTGACTGACAGAATGACGGATAAGGGTATAACTATATGGCCCCGACAACTTTGTTGTGGGGCAATAAAAACAGAAAATTGGACATTAAGAATTTGTCTGCTGTGAAGTACATTTATGAAGAAATTAAAAGATATTGTGACACAAAATCCCTACATGCACTAGATGAAGCCACAGGTAAAGAAATAGTGCTTTTATAGCTCATCTCAAAGTCATTGTGAGGTCTCTTATAGAAAGCAAACCTCACACATCACTGCAAATTTAAAATTACCTTAGTAAATTCATTTAATTAATGAGAATAAGGTAAGGAGTAGGCTATCAAAAATCATAAGTAAATAAATGTGGATAGTGTCCACATGTGGACACAGATGATGCCCCTGCTTGCATATCATATAGTTATAAAGGGACATAACTGAAGAACGGTAAAAGTGATGCTACCCAAATTTGAACCTGATCTGAGTTTTGTGGTAATAAGCATTGTGTGTAAGTCTCATAAGATTTGGTTGAGGCTAACTTAAGTAGAGAACAGAAACTAAAAATTCAGCAATTTTTCTATTTGTAAACACGCATAACTCTAGAACGGTTGTGTATAAGTTTTATAACATTTGGTTGAGACAAACTAAAAAATTCAGCAATTTTCATGTTTATAAAGGGACATAACTGAAGAATGGTATAAGTGTTGCCACCAAATTTCATATTTAATCTGTATTATGTAGTAATAAGCATTGTGTATAAGTTTCATAACATTTGGTTGAGGCAAACTAAAGTTAGAAAACGGAAACAAAAAATTTGTACTTGATCTTAGTTTTGTGGTAATGAATACTGTGTATAGGTTTCATAATGTTTAGTTGGTGCTAACTTAAGTTACAGAATGGAAACTAAAAATTTTGCAATCTTTCCATTTATAAAGGGGTATAACTCAATAATGGTTAAAGTGACACTACCCAAATTCAACTTGATCTGTGTTTTATCAGTGGAAGTTAAAATTAAACATTGCATTGTATAAAGCATTGATTGTAGTTGATTCAACTATAATCATGGACAAAGGAAGATAACTCTAATTTTGAAAATTACTTGATATTTAGAAGAAAATAAAAATTTTGCAGTTTTTCCATTTATAAAGGGGCATAACTCTAGAACGGTTAAAGTGACACCACCAAAATTCAAACTTGATCTGTGTTTTGTGGTAATAAGCATTGTGTATAAGTTTCATAACATTTGGTTGAGGCAAACTTAAGTTAGAGAACGGAAACTAAAATTTTTGCAATTTTTCCATTTATAAAGGGGCATAACTCAAGAACGGCTAAAGTGACGCCACCAAAATTCAAACTTGATCTGTGTTTTGTGGTAATAATCATTGTGTATAAGTTTCACAACATTTGGTTGAAGCAAACTCAAGTTAGAGAACAGAAACCAATTTTGGGACGTACGGACGTATGTACGTACGTACAGACGTACAAGGGTAAAACTTAATGCCCCCACCGCTACGGGGCATAAAAATAAAACCAGACAACATCATGATGAAACGAAAATCAGCAGTACCAAAAACACTACATATAGGTAACTAAAGATTGAGAAACCTGACTCAACCAAAAACCAGAGGTGTTTTCTGACAATCTGAAAGGGTAAGCAACTCTATCTTCACAAATGACACCAACTGTGGTGCTCATTACATATTTCATTCAGGTGATAAGTCACATTTGATTATTAGTCATTAACAAAGAAATAATGATGGACTGGATTGTGACTGTGACAGATGGAACATATCCATATGCTATACAGATATTTTTTAATGGTCTACCAAGTCAATACAATGTCTTTAAAACTTTCGAAACAATGACATTAAATTTATAATCTTAAACTCCTTGTTGAGTTGTATCCTTGTTAGCAGCAAACATCTACTGTGGATTCATTACTATTTGTGGGATACCAATTTTTGATGAAGAAGGAATATATATTGGCGTGTATACCATAATACGTCCCGTAGACGGGCGTTTAAAAAAAATCAAAAGGGAGCTTTCTTCAGTTAATTCTTATGTTATGTTAAAGTTAGATTGGAATTGGTTAAAGAGAATTTGAGATATTGTATGAAGTGTTAATGGACAGACAGATGGATCGACATTGGTATACCATAATACGTCCCATCTTCGACGGGTGTATAAAAATCATAATTTTCAAAAAATAAGTTATTGTGAAGTGATTTCTTATCCAATTTTCAGGATTTTTTTCCGAATATCGTAATTGTTGTAATGAGACAGAGTTAAGCACAAACATATATTTATAGTATAATGTTGTAAATTGTAGCCAATGTTAGAAGCTGAAGTCAATAGTGCAGTACAAGAATTGATTGATAGATGATTGCTTAGCGTTGCTGAACAGAGTTGAATTTTTGTTGAAAAATGTTAAAAGTCAATTGAAGTCATACTGCACGACCAGAATTGATTGATAGATGATTGCTTAATGTCAAAGACCAGAATTGAAGTATTTGTCAAGCAACTATGATGATGTTAACGTCTCTGTGACTGTAGTTTTTCTTGCTATCTCTAGAGTGAAAATAATTGAGGGAAATAATTGCTAATTTGGCTTAAAGAATAGAATATTAAATAATAATCCGATAAGAAATGACTTTTTTTAATTGTGATTTTATATGAATCCTTAAGATAAATTTTAAGGTAACTACTCACTTATGTCATAATACTAATATCTCACTTTATATGGTTATTTTCACTTTTTGCAAATGAATATTTCTATCATACAACGCATTAAAAATTATTTCAAAATTCTAAGGATAATTTTTTTTATGAACCTTCTTGGGAAACAAATCAAATGAATGTTCTAATTTTAAAGAGAGATAGCTGATCTTGCATAATTAACCATGCTAGTTGGATTGACAATTATTCCACATACAATATCCTTAGTCTGGTAAAGTTGTTAAAAAATTTAACAGAGAATATCAAGAAACTGCTATCAACACTAAATTCTCCATAAGATGTAACTAAACACAATCCCCGAAAAACATTTCTTAACTTTTCATTCATATGAACATGAGGTGAGGTTCAGACTATTATTCTGGGCATCTAAACAGCTCCCCCCACCCCCCTCACAATCTCGATCAATGGAATTATCAAAGGTACATAAATGAGGGCACAATTATTATCTTTACATTAAGCCAAAAATAAAGGTTTAATTATTCACTGTCTTCCAACTGACCTTATTTTAAATCCCCCCTACCCTCATTTTTTTTTTTTACAATTTGCCACTAAGCACTATCAAATCATAATTTCTCTCCAATAAGCTCAAGGTAAAAAAGTAAAATAAAACAAATTCCCAACCTACTGACCCTAATTTTTTATGTGACGACAGGTAAGACATGTATATTTTTAACTCGAAACTGAATACTTAGGCTTATAACATTTAGTCTTGTGATGTAAAAGAGATAAATACTACTAGTACTTACAGATACTTGTGTGTTGACTTTATCTCTGATTTCTTGTGATACTTCAGGAATACTGGAGGGTACTGTCAGAATGCTGCTATCAGAAGCATTACGAGGTATTACTATTTTACCTTCTAATATGTTAGATATGGTTCTATCAATATCTTTTGTTTTCACTGTAATATAAAAGTGAGAAAAGTTATAACTTCCAAATTAGCAATCTTTAATTTGTTTATGGGCTGGGAGAGTGCTCAATGGCCAGTTTGAATAAATTGTCAGGAAGATACTTATTCTTATATAAAATTTGTTTTGAACACTTTAATTGGAGTTAAGCCTCATTCTAATCATTTGGAAAATGTCTTTTTGTATACCCCCTTAACCATAGTTTGCATGCAATAGAGATATAGAATTGCAAGTTGAATTCTGCTTGTTTCATTTGGTATGTCTTTTTCACCAATTAAGCTTTATTCAATTAAATCCGAAAGACTTGGAAGAAATGCTAAAGGTACAGTACTTTGTCAAAAGTGACTATAGCAAATAAAATATTACTGCATACTTATATTTCCTTTTAAATAATAATTTAAAAAAAAACCATTTCAACTGTCTTACTTGTATTTTCACCTTTACAAGCAGAAATATCTGAAGTTTGTTTTCACATTTTAGGATGATTTCATGATAATTGCTATTGATTATTTATTATTTGTAAGGCACTGATTTTCATGGATTTCCTCTGGAGAGGTGAACCATGAATAAAGTTTTCAACAATATAGAAGTTTCCTGTAGGCACCAACCGGTATGTAGAATTGTTAAAAAAAATCCACTAAAATTGGTTCGCATGAAACACTAACAGATCCAAGGATCCAAGGAGCCCTGTATTGCTCACCTGCCATTTTTGTATAAAATTTGTAGAATGCAATAAGAATATTTCTGATGAAATGTGAAAAAAGATTTCAGCCATGTTGACTTATTTGTAGATCTTGTCCTGATGATCAGTTCTGCAGTAATAGTTACTAGTTAACTTTATCTACTATAGTTTTGGCAAAAAACACAAGAGATGTTCAAAAAATGGTCTTTCAAAGGCAGCAACTCCTATAAGATTTATTACAATTTCACTCATGTTATCTCTTTTGTGGATCTTTTCCTACTGATCATTTTTGCATGTCTATTATCTCTCTATCTACTGTAGTTTAAGCAAGAAACACAAAAATTGGTAAATGTCTTATTTCAAGGACAAGAACTCCCATAAGAGGCTGAATGTCAATTTCAGCTATGTTGACTAATTTGTACATCTTGCTCTGCTGATCATTTTTGATGTTTACAGTTTTTCTCTTTCTTCTATAGTTAGTTCCAACATAAAAACTCAAAAATTGGTAAAACATTACTTTCAGGAGCATGGTTGAATGATGATTCATGTTGACTTATTTGTAGATCTTGCTGATCATTTTTGATGTTCATGATGTTTATAGTTTTTATCTATCTTCTATAGTTCCCACAAAAAACATGAAAATAAGTAAAATTCATCTTTCAAGGGCAATAACTCCTATATTAAAGGAGCTGACTGACAATTTCGACCATAATAACTTAATTTTGCTGCATATAGTTTTTCTCTACCTTTTAAAAGTTTAAAAGATAATAGACGTTACTTGCATTTTATCCCCATCTTCTATGTTTAGCCTTGTAAGATATGTTGGTGGGCTGGCATAATCATTTACACATTTTTCAAACTAGATACACAAAGGTCAAGTTTGGTTCAAATTGGTCAAGTAGTATCAGAGTAGAAGATTTTTGTAAAATTTAAAGGACTACGACAAAAAAGACAGATGACAGACACCAAGCAATGAGAAAAGCTCTTGTGGTCCTTTTGGTTAGTTGAGCTAAAAATGAATCGACTGCAGTTTAAAAGAACCAATTATTCGAGCAAGGGTTCTAATTTGTGATATCACAATTACCATAAATAAAATAATCAGAAATACAATTTTGTTTAAGGTATGACAGTTTTTCAAAATTATGACAAAAAGCTGAATTTAAATGTACAGAAAAGATTTAAAAAAAAAAAGAATAAAAATGTTCATTGATATTTTCACTCAGAAAACCATATTTACTCAGTCAAACCAGCTATTATGAATGATGATATTTAAACATTATAGACTGTGACCTTATTTTATCAAATATTTACATTTAGTGTAAGAATTTAAATTCTTCTCAAGGAATTGAGTTCACTTTGGATAACAGAATGCATGATGAAATTACATATAAAACAGATGGAAAATATTGTGATATAAATTGAATTTAGAGAGACTAAAAAATTTCTTTTGAAAAGTTTTGATCATTTGACTGCACCTTCTGTCTTATAAAATATTTAAGCTAAAAATTTTGTCATTTAAAATTTTGATAAAAGTATTATCTCAACAATATATATGCAACACTTATAATGAAACAATTATTTCAAAACATTATGTTGGCATTTAAAAAGAATGATCTTTAACAGATATAGTGTATGACATTACAATTATTTTGCCATGAAACATTTTAAAGGTCACTTGTTAAAATTCATATCATATACCCTATTGTTTTTTTTTATTTCAACAGGTCTTTAAATTTACTGAATACCTGAATAGATGACCTTCAAAATCAGCTTAGTTACAAACCAGGAAGTAGAACCCATCACAAACAGTAAACAATTGAAATGGCGTTCTCTGGATCAGTCAAGAAAAGTCAAATACCTATTAACTGCCAATTTTGTGAAACTCAGAAATCTATTCAGTGGAAATGCATTGATTGTAGCCTTTTAATTTGTGACAATTGTAAAGACAAAATACATTTAAAAATCAAGAATGCAAAGGATCATAAAATAATAAATATCAAAAACATTGGACTTTACACAGAAGAATTGGATTTTACTAACATTAAGTGCCAACAACATTCAGGACAATTATGTTGCCTATTTTGTGCCATATGTAACCATCTCGTCTGCCCTACATGCTTTGCTAAAGTCCATAAGACACATGATTTAATTGAAATCAAAGAAGCATATGACATTAAAAAAGATGAATTGAAGAAACTGCAAACTAAAAATCAGAAAGATAAAGCTGAAATGGAAACAAGAATGAAAAAACTACGCCAACTGAAAATTGTTGAAGATATAGAACATGAAAAAGTCAGACAAGATATCAAGTCACAAGAGAAAGCTTTGAAACAAGCAGTTGAAAAATATGCTGAAAAACTCCAAAAAGAATTAGAAAAGAACCATATATTTCTTCCCAATCCATCGAAGGAGATATCAATAATATTGCAAGATCCATTAAACAAGCAGATGTAAGGTACAACGAAGTTGAAGATTTTACTGATGTTGCCAAATTCTTCCAAGAAATTTCAGGAATGAAAACATACATAGACATATCTTTACAAAAAAATATGTCTAAATATAGTTCTATACCAAAATTTATCCCAGGGGAGATCACTCAGTCTAATTTTGGGTTTTTTCAGAATGATGACAGTCCATCAGGTGAATTAAATGTTGGTATGAACATAAACAAACAATATCAACCTAATCTTTCTATAATAGGTGATATCGCTCCATGCCCTGATGATTCCCTATGGATAAATTGTAGTCAAGATGAAGTGTTAAAGAAAGTAAAACCTGAAGGATCCAGTCTGAAGACAATATCTACCTTCAATATCGATGTCTACAGTATGGCAATAACGAAATCAAATGATCTTCTTGTAAATGTTAAAGTGGGGTCCAGACTAAAAATTATCAACAGCAGCACTGGTAAACTGACAGACTCTGTGTATGATTCATCCCCATTCATTCCTTCTGCCATCCATGTGACACATAATAATAAAGTCATAATAGGAGGGTTTAATGATAAACTAGATACAAATGCCGTAATTGTGATGTCAGAGATGGGAGATCAAGAGGCTGTGTATGAACATGACCAACTTAATCACCCTCTATTTAGAAATCTCAGGAGTATAACCAGTACAAGTAATGGTAATATACATGTGGCAGATTATAAAATAAGTGATGGTAAAGGTAGAATAGTAGTGCTAGGACCAGATGGTGATGTTATCAACACTTATACAGGACATAAAGTAATCATGAAGGAGAAACCATTCAAGCCAGTATACATAGTGACAACACCTAGAGACAATGTCATGGCAGTAGGTTTAAACAATCACATGCTGCACATACTAAATAATTTAGGAGTATTTTTGACTTGTTACAATACAAGAGACATAGAAATAATATATCCACAGTCCTTTGTCTTCACACCTACAGGACAGTTCTATATAGGATGTAGCAGGAAAAAAGGCAGTATCACTAAAGAAGCAAAATTATATGAAGTGAACATTCATGGCTGCTGAGAATTTTATGATTTTACAAAGTCTCTAAAACTAAGTCCCCATAAATGTATACCCATGGTGACTCACTCAATATATCATTCATTCCAACTTGACATGTCAAACAAGAAAATATGTGGTTTCGGTGTGGGAATCTTAACCATTATCAAGAATATTAAATGACTAAAGAATATTTATTAAATGTTGTGATGTACACAATTTTGTTTCTGTTATCTATTTAATTAGCCTTGAAAATACTCCATGGTCACTATCTATGCAAACAAAAAATACATTATAGACAAAATATATAGAATGCTATTTAGTATTTGAGGTCTATCTATTAACTGTGTAACAATATACTTCCGAAAACTTTTGATACAGCATGTGATTTAATGCACTCAAACCTTACCTAAATTATTATCAAATGTTCCTACGGTTCCGCAGTTATATCAAATGTAAACATTACTGAGACAAGTGGTGATGATCATGTCAAACTACATTTGTATCATAATTAAGGAATAACTAATAAAAGAACAGAGTTCCAATGTCCCCCGCATTGCACATATTTTAATCTATCCAAGGTCAAAGGGTAATAACTAAAAAAAACAACTTTTTTTTTGTTCTTTAAAACTTTTTATAAATATCTTAGAGAAATGAAGGCTTCAGAGCAAATACAATGCAATTACCGATATAATTAACATTTCCAAGGGGCATAACTCGTTAAAAATATTTGATCAGCACTTATTTTCAAATATGTCAAAGACATTGCTGATATAAACCTATGATATAAGTTTTATAAAATTCTGGCAAGAATTGTACACATGAGAGTGCCAACAATGCAATTTTCCAAATTATCAATATTTCCAAGGGACATAACTCTTTTAAAAATAATTGATCGTCACTGATTTTCGTACTCGTCAAAGACATTGCTGATATAAACCTATGATACAAGTTTCATAAAATTCTGGCAAGAATTGTACACACGAGAGCGCTAAGGATGCAATTTTCCATATAATTAATGTTTCCAAGGGGCATAACTGTTTTAAAAATAATTGATTGGCACTGATTTTCGAACTCGTCAAAGACATTGCTGATATAAACCTATGATACAAGTTTCATAAAATTCTGGCAAGAATTGTACACACAAGAGCGCTAAGGATGCAATTTTCCATATAATTAATGTTTCCAAGGGGCAAAACTGTTTTAAAAATAGTTGATCGGCACTGATTTTTGAACACATTAAAGACATTGCTAATATAAACCTATGATATAAGTTTCATAAAATTCTGACCAGAATTGTACATACATGTATGAGAGCGCTAACAATGCAATTTTCCATATATTTATATTTCCAGGAGGCATAACTCTTTTAAAAATAATTGATCGGCACTGATATTAGAACTTGTCCAAGACATTGCTGATATAAACCTATGATTTAAGTTTCATAAAACTCTGGCAAGAATTGTACAAATGAGAGCGCTAACAAGACTGGACGGACAGATGGAAGGACACCCGGTATTTCTATGTCCCCCACAATGCCTTGCGCGGGGGACAACAACTGTGTCATTTGTTTAATTGGTATACATACTCTATACAATTAAAATTACCACTTGCAGTGTATTGAGTATACATGTATAATGAGAACTGTGAAAATAAGGTCAAGGTTTAATGACTTGAATAAGATTGATTGATTCATTCATGTTTGCTCAATGCTGTATAAGCATATCAGACAGTTATGTACACCTTACAATCTAAATACCACTACACTATTTACAGACTAAATCACTGACCATTTGAAGATTAGGCTAATGAGGAGTTAACACGGCAATATCTTAATCAGATATGGGGAAAATAAGGACATTGCTTAACTAATATGAGCTCTGTCTTAAGGACACAAACAGACTTCATATAAATAGTCTAGGTATTTCCTATTCTAGAAAATGACATAAAATCAAGTAAACTTAAAATGCACATTTTTACAAAGTCATTATTGGATTGAACACATTTTTTCTAAAAAATTTTGAAGTGTAAACTGGGGATGATTAACTTATACACTAAATCAAAGTCTGAAGGACTACTATAAAAGTTTGTGAGTCAGCAGTCAGATTACAAATCAATAACCCCTAGAAAAATGTTTTTAATTCTTTTATTCTTAACCTTTTTTTTCTTTCAATTTCAATTTCTTGGAACCCCCTGCTTTGGTTCATGTGTATCAAGCATGAATATATCACAGTGAAATTGACATAATGTTAACCTGGTTACGAAAAGTAGTTTTGGCAACAGGGTCTATGAAATGTAAAAAAAAATGCAAGCTCATCACATTCAAGTTTTTGTAGATATGCAAATAAGAATGACTGAAACATTAGAAAAATGTGTGATGGTGACTTGATCAAACTAGGCATCTACTAAAAAGGAACTATAAACACACAAAATACAAATCAGACAAATAAAACAATGACCCTACATAAAATAATATAATTAAACTGATAAAATATGAAAAGAAACTAGATGGAACTGTGTTCAAATTAAAGTGTTGTGATTAGGTCAAAAGTAAGTTCAGAATGTTGAGCTCTACCAATTGTTCATTGACGTCAAAACTGTCAGGCGACATCTTACAGGAGTTATTGCCTTAAAATGACAAATTTTACCATTTTTTTCATTTTTGCCTATTATCTTGAAAATTATAATAGATAGAGAGAACCTCTAAGTTGCAAAATGATCAAATGATGAGAAAAGCTCACTTGGCCCTTTGGGCCAGGTGAGCTAAAAATAGGTTAAAATCATCAAGGAATGGTCTAACAACAGACAGTATCTTGACACATTGAATATTTTTCCCCTGTCAGATTTTCTCCATCTTCGATTATTCTGATTTTTTATTTTAATACCAGGGGCAAAGCTTTAATATCCTCCCCAAAACGGAAGAACATGGATGTGACTTTAAATCAATAGTATATCATAACCGAATCTTAATGCTTTATTTTTTTTTGGAAATTTGGTTATGAAGGCTGATCTTTGATCATTTCTGTTCAATTTATTTCCATGCTCTTGTTACTTTGAAAAAATTTATACCTTAACATGTTGTATAAACACCAGACATTGTTGAAGAGTGTTTATTCCATAAATTATAAGGTACTGCCATGTAAACTGTAAGAGATGTTGCATTGACATACATTTGTGACATATAGACTTTTTTTTTATATTTGACTTACTGTTCCATTCTGAACATCTCTGATACTTACATAGATCTTTCTCTATAACAGATAAAGGTGTATCAGGTAATACTTCTTTAACTTGCTGTGCCATTCTGAACATCTCTGATACTTACATAGATCTGTCTCTATAACAGATAATGGTGTATCAGGTAATACTTCTTTAACTTGCTGTGCCATTCTGAACATATCTGATACTTACATAGATCTTTCTCTATAACAGATAAAGGTGTATCAGGTAATACTTCTTTAACTTGCTGTGCCATTCTGAACATCTCTGATACTTACATAGATCTGTCTCTATAACAGATAATGGTGTATCAGGTAATACTTCTTTAACTTACGATGCTATTCTGAACATCTCTGATACTTACATAGATCTTTCTCTATTTCAGATAAAGGTGTATCAGATAACACTTCTTTCACTTGCTGCGACATTCTGAACATCTTTGATACTTACATAGATCTTTCTCTATTACAGATAAAGGTGTATCAGGTAATACTTCTTTAACTTGCTGTGCCATTCTGAACATCTCTGATACTTACATAGATCTTTCTCTATTACAGATAAAGGTGTATCAGGTAATACTTCTTTAACTTACTGTTCCATTCTGAACATCTCTGATACTTACATAGATCTTTCTCTATAACAGATAAAGGTGTATCAGGTAATACTTCTTTAACTTGCTGTGCCATTCTGAACATCTCTGATACTTACATAGATCTTTCTCTATAACAGATAATGGTGTATCAGGTAATACTTCTTTAACTTGCTGTGCCATTCTGAACATATCTGATACTTACACAGATCTTTCTCTATAACAGATAAAGGTTTATTAGGTAATACTTCTTTTACTTGCTGTGCCATTCTGAACATCTCTGATACTTACATAGATCTGTCTCTATAACAGATAATGGTGTATCAGGTAATACTTCTTTAACTTACTGTTCCATTCTGAACATCTCTGATACTTACATAGATCTTTCTCTATAACAGATAAAGGTGTATCAGGTAATACTTCTTTTACTTGCTGTGCTATTCTGAACATCTCTGATACTTACATAGATCTTTCTCTATTTCAGATAAAGGTGTATCAGATAACACTTCTTTCACTTGCTGCGACATTCTGAACATCTTTGATACTTACATAGATCTTTCTCTATTACAGATAAAGGTGTATCAGGTAATACTTCTTTGACTTGTTGTGCCATTTTGGACACCTCTGCTAATTCTGCAGGATTAGGCTTAGTTCTTTTGTTACTAGAAGCTGAAAATAAAATTTGTTTTAAATCTTAAGTGCTCCTAATAAACTAATTGCATTGCAGATTTTGTATTTAAAAACAAAGAGGGGAACAGATAATTTTATTAAATTTTTGAACTGGTTAAAATTTTTATCTGCAGAAGATTTTAGTCATGATCTACCTTTATTGGTAACAGCTGTTTGCAAAGTGCACTTTAAATTTGTGTGAGTCTGATTTCTACTTGTAGAATTGAATTTTCACTTTCCTCTGAATGATTCCAAATCTTATTTTGACTTGAAACTCATAAGAAAGTCTGATAATAATGCATTCTTATCCTTAACTTGTAAAATTACTTAATATTCTAATACAAGACATTTATTTTTTGTATTCTGTTACTTATGGTTGGGGAAAAATTTTGCTCCGAAAATGTCTTCATGTTAAAACCCTCCAAAAATTCATGGCTGCAATAAATAGTACCAAATACACAAAAATAGATTGATTGATTGGTGTTTAAAGCCACTTTCAGCACTACCCCACCAAAGAGAAGAAAACAGCCTAAGGCCACCAATGGGTCTTCAATACAAAATGAAATGACAGCAAATGAATTTCCTCAGAGTGTAAACAGTCAATCATACCAAATGAACTTTAATTCTAAACAATAACACATACCTTTTTTTTGTTTACTCTCACTGTCTAATTGTTTAATATATTTTTCTTTATCTTCAAAAGTATAATCTGTCATTCTAACGTTTAAAGTTGAGGATAGTTTTTCCCGTACTCTGTCAGCAAACTCCTCAACAGACTCATCTGCAGATTTCTCCATTGCTGGTAAAATTCTAGAAAATCAATAAGATATCATCACAAATACAACATACAAAGAGAATTAAATAATACCAAATCTTTCAGTATGTGACTTTTATTTATTCAGTTATAAAGCCTTATTTCTAAACCACTGTGGCTGATTCATAACAAATTCTAAAACATGTCATTCAATTCATTTATTTCATAAAATGCTGATTATATTTGTTTTATAACAGTTCTTATTCATAATTGAACTGTATTACTAAATCACTTTTTGATTATAACACCTTGTAAAATGAACAGGCTTAGTTTTACTATGCTGCATGATAATCTGCCTGTCTCAAACCATGAATCTCATGTAAGGTTGTCATTGTGGTTAAAGTTTTTGCCTATAAAAAATTTGGTGTTCACTGTTGATAGCAGACCTCCATAACCTATGTTGAGTTTGTTACATGTCTTGACTCAGTGATATGTTTAACTATGAAAATCATATGTTGACCTCTAAATTGTAAGGACTCAAACTTTGTTAGAATATATAGTAATAAAAATACTCTAACTGAAAACTTACTTAATTTTAAAAATTGTGTATGGAAAAAACATGCTCCAGAAAAAATCTGTCCACCTATTGCTGGTCAATGTTGTCTGAAAAAAGGAAGAAAACAATATTTATTACCAGTGAAAACTAAACTAAACACCCCTTTCATGATTTACTGGAACATGATGTATACATCAATTTTAAATGTGTCCGTCAGTGAAGAAATAAGTTAATTTCCCATAATTATTAGCATCAAAACACAAAAAAATTGACATCATAAACCAAAAGTAGTTATTTTGCAAATGTCATATGGTCAGCCAGTAAAAAATTAAAAAGGTCATACGTAATTAAACTCAGAACTCAAAATTATCCCTATGTTATACTTCAAGTCCACCAAATCATGAAACAGATATAAAATACACAAATAAATTTACTAATTTTTTTTATTTCTTGCATTGAACAAACAAAATGAACATGTTAGCCAATGCTAAGAGAAACTTCTAAATAAATAACTTTTGATATGAGTAAAACAATAAACATGTACATCAATAATAAATGATATGATTTGATGGTCTTTCCACAAACAACTTTTTCATAGTTTCTTACAAAATAATTGATTTTATCCCTTAGCAGACGACAATCAACAGACAATGTGACTTTCTTCTTAGTATTTAATTTTTGACTGAAACATTAAATCTACAGGACAAATTGTACTCTTACCAAAATAATAAATTTCACAGCATAATGAACATTACTGTATTTCTAGATGATAATTGTGTATTTGATATCTGCATTTACACCAAAATCAATACATGGGTTATCTAACTTGTTTCCAATTGTTAATATGATAGCTGTTGAATCAATATTGCTTAAACAGGACTAAGACAACCCAATATGTCAAATATGGTAAACATTTTTTATCCTTTTTTTGCCATTTTGCCTATTAGCCTTTTAATTTAATAACAATATAAGGATTTCACTAGCTAACTTGTAGAAGAAATATATCATTTGTACTGGATTTTTGTTTTAATAAAATCATATCATTTTAAAAAATGATTTTCATCTGATGATATCCTTTATTAGGTATTAATTGTATTGTTCTAAAATTTGATAAGAAATCTTACCACCATGACAGAAAACTACAATTTCATTTAACTTCTTTCAAAATATGTGTATGTAGTAGAAATATCTCTTACTGATCATGAGGGTCCAGGGATGTTGCAGTCAAACAGGTTTTAGCATATAAAAAAAAATTCATATAGTTAATCTTTGTGATCTGATTTATATAAAATTTGTGACTCCTTCAATATAATATAATAAGCAACCAACAATCAATCAATCAAATTAATTGTTGCTTTAATAGTAGGAAATTGCATGAAATCAAATTCTAAAAGGGTACAAATTTTTTTTAAAGGAAAGATATCCTATAAAAATTCCCAGCATACTTCAAATTGTTTCTGTGCTAGGAGTGACATGCTAAATTGACTTACTCTTTTTCCCAATTACACCTTCCATTTTTTTAAAGATCTTGGTCAATTGATCACTATTCACACTTATAATAGACCATATGCTAATATAACCAGGTTAACCCTTCTAATGGTTCATGGTGTAATACCCCTGGATAATGTGCAATAATGACACTTACCACTTTGACATCCAGTGGCCATCTAGTCGCTTGTATTGTCATCTAAAAAATTAAAAAATAAATTACAATTTTAGACAGACATGATGCCAGGACCACTTTGCTTCAATTTCATTGATTGTAAGGAAGAAACTGGACAATTTTAATCTATGTTTGGAATTAACTTTTTTCAAACAGAAGAAGGGATGAGGTAATCACAAAAAAAAAAACATGGAACAGAACAAGAACTAAAGCATAAAAAAAAGTGTTATTGGTTTTATGTACATGGAAGGATAATTGTGAACAGTACACAACATTAAACACCTCATCAGATAAAAGAAGTGAGTTGCCACTAGTGAAGTACACTTGGGTTGAACCTTTCAAATGTGATTTACTTTGACAAACTTTTAGCTTGTTTTTTTGTGTTTGGCAAGATCTTGAATTGAAGATATAATACTGGTCTAATGCATCAAATAGTTTCTGATTTTTTCCTTCTAAAAACATACTCAACTGTACAAATATTGCTGTCTTATAACGAGATTTTGTAAATTTTGTTTGCCTTTAATAACCATAATAAGTTTTTGCTCATTTTAGGGGAAATTCTATTCAAACATACATTTTAATAAGTCATTTGGTCTCTGGTGGATATTTGTCTCATTGGCAATAATGCCATACCTCTTTATTTTATACATAAAGAAACTAAAGCTTTGTATGTTATTATATTCTATTCAGTTTAAATTCTAAATAATAGTGGTGAATAATTTACTTACTGGTTGAATAATACTGCTACAACTAAATGGAAATTTGCTGTAAAAGAAAAATAAATTTCACTTAATTTCTTTACTTGTCCAATAAAGTTGTATCTAACCAAATAAAGAAGTCAAAAATGAAAACTGAGTTCATTTATTTTATAGGTGTATACATAATCCTGATAAAACTATCACCCAAAAGCAAGCATCTTTTGGGTTAATATGATGTATGTTTATGAACATTTAAATGAATTGTGGTAAAATCACATTAAACAGTACCAAATTTACTGCACCAGATGAGAATTTCAACAATTAAAGGTTTATCAGTGATGCTCATGACAAAAATATTTGTAAAGCAAAACCTAATAGAAACATTTAAGAGCTTATACAATTGAAAAGAACCATATGTAAAGTTACACCAGGACAGTAAAAAACCTGAAAATTTTGTTCTTTTTTTATTGGAAGAATGAGTGACACTGAGTTTGACAAATAACTCATTTCGACAGACTTGAAATGATCCTGGAGTTACTTTTCTGTCTAAACATATGTTGCTCAGAACGAGCACAAACAATAAATAATTGTGAGAAGTGGATGGTTGTGATACATCAAATTGACTGAAAATTCCACAAATAAATTTACATTTATTTCTACAACTTTTTATCAATTTATAAAAAATATAAACTACTTACTCAAATTTTAATAAACCTTTTCTGCCATTTGTAGTTGTTTTCTCTGGCCAGAGAAGGACTGGAAATTTATTGCTGTCATCTGTTAATTAAAAAAGATTTTATCTGAAAATTCTATTTTTTTTTATCAGAAAATTTATTGTCTAGAATTTTAGACAAATTTAGATCACAGAGTAGAATGTTCTTGTATATGTGGACCTCTAGATGCTTTTTTTCACGTTATTGCGTTTTAAGTTAATACTGTTTTACTGAAGTATGACTAAAAATCAAATTATCAGACAACAGGTGAGAATACAAAACAAACATTAATTTGAGAATACTTTACTGAGGTAAAATTTGATCTTACAACTAGACAGATATCAACTACTTGCAATAACTCAAGACTATGGTCTATGTTCAAAGTTTCTTTAGTCAACTTGTGAAATGAAACATATGATCTGGCCATTTGTGATGAAATTTGTCACATTTGGGTCCATAGACATGATAGAAGGCATGTCCCTAATACATTATCACATTTCTATGCTTAGTGAACTGCAAAATCTGGGTAAAAAACTAATTTGGCATATTTTTTTAAAAAATTTACATTAAAATGAACAAGTATAACGAGTTTCAAGTTGATGTGACCACAACTTCACAGAAAACTATATTAAATCAAAAATTTTACATAATGCAAGATAGACAGACAAAAAACAGGAAAACATAATCCCCTACTATTTTAGCAGGGAATAAAAAGTTGATACTTGTTCATAAGCAATAAAATTCCTCCTTCAAAAACAAAATATGACATACAAAATTAATTATTATTTGAAGAGTCAAGCCAATTTTTATGTTGTGCAGTTATTACACTGTCCCAGATTGGATGGATGGTTGGGTCACCACAAACATGCTTAACCCCTTCTCATGTCTGGATCCTGTATTTCAGTGGTTGTCATTCGATGCTGTCTTTCATATTTGTTTTTTGTTTGCTTTGTACATAAATTAATGGTTTTCTTGTTTGAATTGTTTGACAATTTTTCATGTCAGGGTCTTTTATTACTTACTATTGCTATATGGTATGGGTTTTGCTCATTGTTGAAGGCCTTATGGTGAACTATAGTTGCTTACATCTACACCATTTGGTCTCTGGTAGATAGTGGTCTCTTATTTTTATACACAAATGTATGTGAAGAGAAACGAATTTTCATCTGAACAAAGAAATCAATATTTACCTGTAACATATTCTTTAATATTTTTTTCAAAGGTGTCTGTGCCTTTTGAAATACCAAAGTTTTTATATGCAAATATCCACTGTTCAAACCCTGACAGTCCTTGATAATCTGGCTGTAAATAATATAGCAATTTGACAAAAAGATAATAGATGTAGAATTATAGATCTCTATTCCTATAATTTAAATAAGCTCACAAAGAAAATGTAAATATTAAGTCAATATCAGTTTTACCTTTAAGAAAGTATTGAAAGAAAAATAGTTCTTTAGAATTTACTTTTAGCCTTTCAAATAAAATGGTACTTGCTACATTTGAATTATAAAGCTTCTCCTCAACAAAGTCTAATATCCCCATTTTCAATTCCAGGAACAAAGTTTTTTACTTACAAGAGTCATATTTTTTTTTCTTCTAAATTCTTATTCATAGATTCATGCATACTTTATTTTGATTTTTTTTTATCAACAAATAAGAAATATTTAAGATCACACATCTCAAGCACAGTGAAACTATACATCATTGTTTTCTACTTTAAAAAAAATATGTCCATTCATTTTGTGGGCTTGTTGAGGTGTGAATTTAACTTACTGCATGGCAAGGCTGTATGAAATCAATGATCATGTGATCCAAATGTGAAATATAATTTGCTACAAGTATTTTTGCTTTTTTCTTTTCATCTCTTTTGTCTTCTTGTACCATAATGTGTATTCCAACAACAGCAAAAATTGATTTCAAAATGAAGCTGAAATAAATAAGTATATACATTAAATAAAATTCAGGCAATGTTACACTTAAATCTTGTACATATCAATATAAAAACAGAGATGTGGCATGATTGCAAATGAGAAAACTATCCACAAGAGATCAAATGAAATGGAAATAAGGAACAAAAGGTCACTGCACTCTTGTGGCCTAAGTTTGGTGTCAGCACTGCAGCAGGTTTGTGGCCATCATTTTGAACTGGTTCATCACTGTGAGATGAGTGACTTCTAAATGTTTGGAGAAATGCTTAATGTTAATTTAATATCATTTTTCTATTGGCTTTGGTTTTGGTTTTGATTATGTAAGTGTCATTCTTTTACAATGTTTAATTGAAAATCATATTCACTCTCTTTCACTTTCAGATATCAGACTTATCTAAGACTAAGACCATTATTGACTTGGTTTAAATTTTTAATCAATGTTGAATTCAAAAGTCCAAACTTTTATTGCGAGGTTTTTATTAATGTGAATAATGCGACTGAGTGAGTATAGCACTAATAAGAACTCACATTCTGATAATTGAAAAAAACATGTAGATCTTTATGAAGATTTTTTTCGAAATCACAATAAATAAATTCGCATTTTTGTCCATTCCTGAAAAATCGCAATAATAAATGCACGCAATAATTTCTGAATTCACAGTATATATTCATAACAACAACTACAAAATCCCATTACTGTAAAAGTTTTGCAGTTTTTATAATCATACTTGATTTGACTTATAATTGGTAATGGCTTACTCTTCAAAAGTGTCTTATATTCATATTAGTCAAGGTATTGAATGAACATTTTTATTGGTTGAGTTTTGTAATTTATTGTTCGATCGTTTTTTTTTCTAATTTGAGTTGTCTCAGCTTATAATTGTCTTGTTGATATCCAACTTTGGTGTCATATATTATGCCAACTTGTAAAGGACAAGACGCTTAAAGGTTATAAAGGACAAGGTGTGCAGTTTTCAGAAGACAGGTACATTGACAGGATATTTTGCTTGAAAAAAGACAATTTGATCATGTTTAAAGTTAAAAGATAGAAATATAATTTGAATAAATTTGAATTTCTAATTTTCTTTTTCTCGATTTACAGAATTTTTATTGTTGTATTAAAAATGTAGCTGTTTTGCAATAAAAGTATTTAATTGATTGATTGGTGTTGAACGTCACATTCAGCACTATTGTGCTATGATGTGGTGGTCAGTTTTCATCGGTGGAGGAAGCTGGAGTGCCGGAGACAACCACAACCTTTGGTAGGAAAACAGACAATCCTAGTCAATTAAGATTGGAGTCGGAGACTCACAACCTCAGCATTGACAGGCTAGTGATACAGTAGTTCGACTACTTAGACCACTTGGCCACCGAGGTCCTTAAAAAAAAAAAATTTTTAATATTATCTTTCATAAAACAAAAATGTATAGGGCAGGACTATAAATCAAAATATTTTTTTTTCCAATCAGGGTCCCACAGGGGGCATTTACAATTAACAAATATGATAATATAAGCAACAAACATGAGACATTGTACATTATATAACATGACAGATATTATAATAGACAAATGAAAATAGCATTAAAAACAAAAATACATTAAAAGTACTCTTGAGTATTTTTTTTCCCTTCCTTCCTTATCACTATTATTATTTCTATGTCCAGGAGTGCACAAAAAAAAAAAAAAATAATAATAGAGTTTGAACATACTTATATTATCTACAAAGGTGGAAAATGTTCATCTGCAGGAGACACCAAGGGACGGTGCTCTAGGATATACTGTTGATTGTGATAGGCAATAACAGCAATCCCCCCCCCCCCCCCCCCCCCCCCCCCCCGTGTCAGAGCTGAATGGTGCACAGAAAAGGTAGAGGGGAGCCCACAAACAGTAAAGGGGAGCTGCTCCCCTGTATTTTGGGTTAGCTAGGACACGGATATGTGTGATGTACATAAACAAACCTGGTAGCAGCTGACTTTGGCAATATACATGACACCAACAAACCATGAAGTGCTATGAATAATCTAATAATAACTAGAACAAGTCCAAATGGGAAATAAAAAATCGTCAAAACAACTGATCCAGGATCTGGAAATCTGAAAAATAAATATGTAGAATATTATACTTCATATATACACATTGTACCTGGGAAAACTTGTTCATTTTCTCAAATTTGTAAAATTTCTATGTCAATTTGATGGTTCATCATGAAATAAAAATAATTTGTAAGGGTTCCGCGGAACCCAGTGTCTCGCCTACTTTTGCTGTTAATCGCAGGCTCAACAAAAATGAGGAAAAAAATTAATAAAAATATTCCTCTCTATACTATCTTTTGATTGTAAGTAGCTTCTGTCCAAGTTTGGTAAAAATCCAGGATAATTTATGAATCTAATAAATGTTTTAAAAACATAAACTGCAGAATGTATGTAATGTTGACTGGAAGAAAATCTTTTCTTCTAAGTCCATTTATAAGTAAAATACGAAAAAAATGGAACAAAATTTTATCAAAATTTCCTTCTAGATACTAGCTTTTGATCATAAACAAGCTTCTGTCCAAGTGTGGTACAAATCCAGGATAGTTTAAGAAAGTTGTTAAAATTTTAAAAACTTTAACAACAGAGTGAATGTAATGTTAACTGGCAGAAAAACTAAGTCCATTTATAAGTAAAATACGGAAAAAATAGAATTTTTTTTTTACAAAATTTACTTTTCAATATAATCTTATGATCATAAACAAGCTTCTGTCCAAGTTTGGTAGAAATCCAGGATAGTTTAAGAAAGTTATTAAAATTTCAAAAACTTTAACCACAGAGTGAATATTAGTTGAAGGCGCCGCCAAAACCAATCCAGCCCCAAGTCAATCCTGGCCCAAGTTGTTGCGGCCCCAAGTTGATCCGGCCCCATAATAAAATAATGATTAGATATTATAAAAGTCAGAGAGTCTTGTGAAGTATACATATACGATTCAGGGTGAGTGGCAATTTGCACATGAAAAAGTTGTGTAATTTCGCTGATCAGAGGAATATTTTTTTAGGAAACAGTATTGATGATCAACACAAAAGGTAAGTAAATCTTTCTGGAAGGGATTCAGCAAATCAAACAATGTTTCTCGATTTGAGTAGTTTTTATAACTTTTAAAAGAAAAAAGTTTGCTTGCATTAGCTTTGTGATCTACCTGTGTGTAACCAATGTGCTAATTACACCAGTTGCTGAAAAGATTATTAAGATCAAAGGTATATGAAAAATGCTGATTAATGTTGACTAATGATTGTACTAACTTCTGCAAAAGAGAGGCGAAATCTACCAAAGGGACATTCAAACTCAAAAGCAAATTACCAACATGCAATATATGTTTTGAGTATAAGGCCAACTAAAATTAGATTTTTATCCAGATTTTTGAAAAAAATGGGGCGGGTGGGAGGATTTTATTTTTTTAATTTTTATTTCCTACGAAACCCTTTTGTGACGTGTTCTTCATATGTAAGGGTAATATTAAGCTTATATTATGTATAAATTAAGAATTCTACATAATTTTTCAAAATCTTAAATAAATATTTCTGATTGCAACCACTGTTCTACATGTAATTGCCGCTTTAAAAACCTATTTTTAGTAAATAGCAAAAAGGTGGAGAAATGATCTCATTTAGACTACCAACATCAAATTTATTTTGCTTTCTAAGCTATGGTTTGTAGTACCCATAAACATTTGATAAAATGAATCATTGGTATGCAACACAAGTAATATGAGTACAGAGTAAATAAAATGCTTCGCTGGGTGCAGCTTGATACGACCGCAGAGGTCGAACCCTGAACAGTTGGGGCAAGTATGGACACAACATTCAAGCTTGATACAGCTCTGAATTTGGATTGTGATTAAATATTTGACACAGCATAGGTTTCTGACACAGAAAGAATGTGGTCTAAGAACTTCAATTTTTTTAATTTACCTATTATGGTCCAATGTCCAAAATCAAAATACATGGTTAGATTCAGCATATCAAAGAACCCCATATATTCAATTTTTGTTGAAATCAAACAAAGTTTAATTTTGGACCCCAACTTGGACAAACTTGAAAACTGGTCCCATAATCAAAAATCTAAACACATGTTTAGATTCAGCATATCAAAGTACCCCAAGATTTCAATTTTTGTTAAAATCAAACTAAGTTTAATTTTGGACCCTTTGGACCTTAATGTAGACCAATTTAAAAAACGGGACCCAAAATTAAAAATCTAAAAACACGTTTAGATTTGGCATGTCAAAGAACCCCAATAATTCAATTTTTGATGAAATCAAACAAAGTTTAATTTTGGACCCTTTTGACCACAATATGAACCAATTTGATAGCGGGCCTACAAAATAAAAAATCTAAATACATGGTAAGATTCAGCATATCAAAGAACCCCATATATTCAATTTTTGTTGAAATCAAACAAAGTTTAATTTTGGACCCCAATTTGGACCAACTTGAAAACTGGGCCAAAAATCAAAAATCTAAATACATGTTTAGATTCAGCATATCAAAGAACCCCATATATTCAATTTTTGTTGAAATCAAACAAAGTTTAATTATGGACCCCAACTTGGACCAACTTGAAAACTGGTCCCATAATCAAAAATCTAAACACATGTTTAGATTCAGCATATCAAAGAACCCCAAAAATTCAATTTTTGTTAAAATCAAACTAAGTTTAATTTTGGACCCTTTGGACCTTAATGTAGACCAATTTAAAAAACGGGACCCAAAATTAAAAATCTAAATACACGGTTAGATTTGGCATATCAAAGAACCCCAATAATTAAATTTTTGATGAAATCAAACAAAGTTTAATTTTGGACCCTTTTGACCTCAATATGAACCAATTTGATAGCGGGCCCACAAATAAAAAATCTAAATACATGGTAAGATTCAGCATATCAAAGAACCCCATATATTCAATTTTTGTTGAAATCAAACAAAGTTTAATTTTGGACCCCAATTTGGACCAACTTGAAAACTGGGCCAAAAATCTAAAATCTAAATACATGTTTAGATTCAGCATATCAAAGAACCCCATATATTCAATTTTTGTTGAAATCAAACAAAGTTTAATTTTGGACCCCAACACTTGGACCAACTTGAAAACTGGGCCCATAATCAAAATTCTAAACACATGTTTAGATTCAGCATATCAAAGAACCCCAAGAATTCAATTTTTGTTAAAATCAAACTAAGTTTAATTTTGGACCCTTTGGACCTTAATGTAGACCAATTTTAAAACGGGACCCAAAATTAAAAATCTAAATACACGGTTAGATTTGGCATATCAAAGAACCCCAATAATTCAATTTTTGATGAAATCAAACAAAGTTTAATTTTGGACCCTTTTGACCTCAATATGAACCAATTTGATAGCGGGTCCACAAATAAAAAATCTAAATACATGGTTAGATTCAGCATATCAAAGAACCCCAAGAATTCAATTTTTGATGAAATCAAACAAAGTTTAATTTTGGACCCTTTTGACCTCAATGTGGACAAAGTTGATAACGGGGCCCAAAAATCAAAAATCTAAATACATGGTTAGATTCAGCATATCAAAGAACCCCATATATTCATTTTTTGTTGAAATCAAACAAAGTTTAATTTTGGACCCCGATTTGCACCAACTTGAAAACTGGGCCCATAATCAAGAATCTAAATACACGGTTAGATTCGGCATATCAAAGAACCCCAATAATTCAATTTTTGTTAAAATCAAACTAAGTTTAATTTTGGACCCTTTTGACCTTAATGTAGACCAATTTAAAAACGGGGCCCAAAATCCAAAAACTTAATACACGGTTAGATTCAGCATATTAAAGAACCCCAAGAATTCAAGAATAAAACCCCATTGAAATTGATCAAGAAATAAGCAATTTATACGAAGTATCTTCTTTTGCACAATACTGTGCAATTGAATATTTCTTGCTATTGTGCAATACTGTACAATTGACAATTTCTTGCTATTGCGCAATATTGTGCTATTGGATATTTCTTGCTATTGCGCAATACTGTGCAATTGAAGATTTCTTGCTATTGCGCAATACTGTGCAATTGAAGATTTCTTGCTATTGTGCAATACTGTGCAATTGAAAATTTCTTGCTATTGCACAATACTTATTATATAATAATTTACACATCCTGTTTGGTGTGTAACTCCTACCATATCATTATTATTTGCTTTTAAATATTAATCAGAAATAACCAACTTAAAATGGAAAATTTTAAAAGAAAAAAAAAAGGAAAAAAAGAAAAAAAAAAAATCCCCCCCCCCAAATTTTTTGAACCCCCTTATGATTCATCACCCCCAAACTCAATCCCAGCCTTCCCTTTGTGGTATGGTACCTTGCAGTACAATTTCAGAGAGATCCATACACTTGAACACAAGTTATTGTCTGGAAACTAGAAAAATGCTTATTTTTGGCCCCTTTTTGGCCCCCAATTCCTAAACGTTTCAGGCAATTACCCCCAAACTCAATTCCAGCTTTCCCTTTGTGATATGGAACCTTGTAGTACAATTTCAGAAATATCCAAACACTTACACACAAGTTATTGTCATGAAACTAGAAAAATGCTTGTTTTTTGCCCCTTTTTTGGCCCCTAATTCCTAAAATTTTGAGGCAATTACCCCCAAAATCAATTACAGCCTTCCCTTTGTGATATGGAACCTTGTGGTACAATGTCAGAGAGATCCATACACTTACACACAAGTTATTGTCTGGAATTACAAAAATGCTTATTTTTGGCCCCTTTTTGGCCCCTAATTCCTTAACTGTTGGTACCATAACCCCCAAAATCAATCCCAACCTTCCTTTCGTGGTATTGAACCTTATGGTAAAATTTCATGGAGATCCATTCACTTAAACTAAAGTTAGAGTGCGAAAACCAATGTGTCTTCGGACGACGCCGGACGACGCCAGACGACGACGACGACGACAACGACGACGACGACGACGACGCCAACGTCATACCAATATACGACCAAAAAATTTTCAATTTTTGCGGTCGTATAATAAAAACTCAAACTGTGTTGAAAATACTAGGGTTGATGCTTTTAAGATTCTTATGCAAGCTGTGCAAATATAATTACAATGTGAAACATGTTTGTTACCAAAAAGAAGTTGTTTAATGACTCTATTGACAGTCAGGGTAATTACTGAAATAAGTGATTTATAAAATCACTTAATTAAGTAGAAAATTCGAAATTTTGTCGCAAATTGTGATTTCGTAGTTTTACCAAAATTTTAATCATATAGGTTTAGATTATATCTTATTATTAGTAAAATTGAAAAAAATGAACCTTTTGCTTCTTTTAAGTAGAAAGGTTTGTGCCTTTGATGCAATCATTTAGCTGTAAATTCTATATTTGTTGAAAAAATGCTATAATGAAGGCTTTACATAATGAACTGATACTTTCTTAACAGATTTTTCCCAGCAGTAGGAGTATTTTTCCTGTAAAATTCAAGGTTTCATCTTACAGATTATGTAATAAAATTTTACTGTTGGCGATCAAAATTTCACTGTGCGGGGGTATTGAAATTAGTGGAGTAATACTTAAAGAAGTGATTTTTTGGAAGAAAATAGAGGTATGATACTTAAACAAGTGATTTTCATATCATTATCCCAGATTCAGTACAAGGTCATCACCTGACATGACCGGTCATCCTATCAACACAGATGTTGGTTCTGATAATTTAACAACATAATTAGTCCCTGGATCATTAGTATTGTATATTTAAAGCTACAATAAAATTAAATCAAGACTAAGTGATTTATTTGTACTACTTAAATAGGTGATTATTAAAGAAAGACAACTCTTACTTCCAACATTTGTAGACAAAATGTTTCTTGAATCAGTGATTTAGAAATCATTCATTTAAGTAAGTCCCCTGACTGATTGAGGGGTTGGGGACAGAGGGTGTTTGCTGTGAAAAAATACGACAGCCTTGGGTATTAAGAGCTTGCTATAATACATTTTGTATGTTGGCTGACTTTTTGTATTCTATATACAGTCATAAATCGCACAATTTCGTGCTTGTGTCAATTTCTTTATTCCAGTCATGATTTTTGTACCATTGTGTTCCACGATTCTTACGCTTTGGATATCATTCAGTCAAATTCTCCTTAAACAAAGTCATTGTATTAATAAAAAAATCCATGGTTTTCTCATCACTGAAATTTGTGACATACTGCGATTTGTGTTCTTGGACACCGCCTATTACTCGTATCCCGAATATTTCATGCCCTTCTCGTAATCAATCTCTATTCTCGGAAGATGTTGTCATCATAGAGCAGCAGCATATGTCGACTTAATCATTTTATTTAAATTACTCAAAGAAATACGAAAACAATTTGCTACAGGAAGTTTTGAATGACACGAAATTATCAGCGGTTACCGGTTACGGAAATAGACAAAATCCAGAAATCGTAAATTTTTTTAAATAAAAAAAAACGGGGCAGCAGGGATGAAAATCTATCAATTAATTTTAATTGGCCTAATCATGCGTATCCAGTATTCTTGATAACTTCTTATTTAAAACAAATATTTGAATAAATGGTCTCCTCTAATGAAAATAACATATTTGAATACGAGTCAAAGGCACAATTTATTATCCTCGTTCTTTGCTGTAATTCATAAAATTCATTAGAATATGTATATAAACTATAAGTCAAAAATATACATGATATATAATTTTTATCCCTTGTAAATATTTTTTTTAAATTGGGGCCGGATCAACTTTCAATATCGGTCGAATCTACTTGTGGTGGATCGACTTGGGCCCGATCAACTTGGGGCCGGATCGACATGAAAGCATCCTAGAGGGGGGGGGGAGAGGGGGTCTCATCCCTATTTCCCGGTTTTAATATCAGAAAATCCCGAAATCCCAGACATATTTTGTTAAAAATCCCGATCCCGATAAATGTGTTCCCCAATTTTAAAGTTTAAAGTTTCAATGCTTACGATTTAAACGTCTCAGGTATGATTGATGTTCAAAGTCTTTCAGCGCAACCAATTCGAATATGTATTATCAATATTACCGTGACGTCAAGCTGCATATAAGCATTTTTGTTCTCATAAATCTTCAGTAGCCAGTCAGAAAATTGGCAAAAATTCCAGTTCAAGTCAATACAAGAACCTATATGACAAGCACTGGAATCGTTTTGTAACGGAGAGAAATTAGAATCTATTGAGTCACCATTCGAAAAACCACTGAACCAAGGATCAACCAAGTTACAGAAATAAACAGAACTACAAATGTCACTTGAGAGATTTATAAAGTAGTCGAAATGCTGCTTTACATTATAAAATTAAAAAAAAAACCCAGATTTTAAGACACTTGTTAGAATAAATGATTATGCTTAGGGCTGTATGCAACTACACAACTGATCACCAACAAGAAGCTGATCGACCGACCTTGGGAAAATCAATAATAATGAATAATGGGTCAATTTTCTAGTAGTGATTGACAGGTATGAATTAATGTTGAGGCTCTTGTGGGGACACAATTTAGAAAAGTAGAAAGTTAAGCTTATTTTATGTAGAAAACATGTTTTAAAAATAAAAATAATCAAGACAGTCCGTGACTTTAACAATTTTGTGAAATTTCTTTTTTTTTGGTCCATTAGAGATTTCAAAATGTACAGTGTTAGTACTATAAATAATCAGCCAGTCTTGATGATATTCGTAAAGTCCTCCAAGATCGAGAAACAGTCCAATTGGTGATAGTCTCCAGATCTCGGGATGTGTAATTACTACGAGAAGACGTATTCTGAGTTTGCAAGTCTACACCATTTTGTTCATCATCGTTATCACTCTCACCGTCGCTTTCTGAGGAGTATTGGTCCGAAATATTCGCATCATCGTCTTTGAAAGTGATTGGAGTGCCCCAAGATGTTTTACTACGAGAAAACGTATTCTGTGTTTGCAGGTATAATTGAGGACCTGATCCGAGCTCAAAGCTTATCTCTAAACTTACTGTTACATGTACTCTGATCTGGATCTACTCTGTTTCTAGATGCGATTCTGATTGAAGTATAATGAAAATGGCACTTTTATCTGTCCAAGGTACAGTTTTTTAAACAAGGCAATCCCGATTTCCCGTTGCTAAAATCGGCCGATCCCGGCGTCCCGAAAATGGTCTCGCCCCCCCTCATCCTAAAACTGTAAAAGGGGTTCCTGCAGTAGCCATAGCAAAACTTATGTCATATGCATGACAGTTTTAGGTAAAGGTTCTGATGAATCATAAAGTTAAAGTTTAAGCTGTGTGCAATGTATATCATGTGTTAAGCCTAAATCTAAAGTGATGTATGTTGGAACCTACAGTAGTCTAGAACTGTAGAAATAAAGTTGAGGCATAACTTGTCGAAATAAAGAAAACAAACCACCATAAATGAAATTTGAGAATAGCATACAATGCATGTAACTAGTATTATCTTGAGAACTTAAAAATAAAATATTTAAACCTGCTAATATCGAATAATCTGTCCATGTTTCTCTAAAAATAGTGCATTTTCAACCGGAAGTACAAATCATCAACCATTTTTACAGATGACTTCTGGGAAATTTTGGACAAGGTGCTTGTAGCAGACAGCAAACAGCTGTAAACAAAGAATTTCCAAGAAGAATAGACCAGAAGCATTTGTTTATTCATCTTTGGTTATAATCATGTTTATTCATGTTATTCATTCTTTTATTTGGACCTTTTTTTGACAAATAGAAGTTCGATAACAATGTCATCGAGAAAGAGAGGGAGCACATGTTTTATCTTTAATAAATACACACAATATTAACATTATCATTGAAGTTTAACATAACTCTTTTTAATTTAAAGTTTATAATTTATCTTGTTACAATAAATGTATTTACACTTTTAAGTATTCAACTTGTGATGGGAGTTTCCCTTAGGCTTAGAACATGTACTAGATACTTAGCCTGAGCGTATAAAGCGGTTGAGCTAGGGAAGTACTTCATTAGCTCAGTTCAAGTGCTGCCTTGTAACACAGAGGTCTGGGGTTCCAGTCCCGGAGGAGACAAAGTGATTTTGTAAGAAGAATCTTGCTCTCCGGTTACATTTGGCGCCCAACTAAAAAACCCACGGTGGTAAGAGAGGATTTCTTAAGCCAGGGTATGTGTTGTTTGAGTCATAATGGTAGGATGACTCTTGAGGTGGTGACAAGACTTCTTCCCTTAGAACATGTAGTAGATACTTAGCCGGCCGTAAGCAGTTGAGCTTGACTAAGGGAGTACTTCGAAGACCGACTTTAGCTCAATCAGTTAAAGCACTGCCTTGTAACACAGAGGTCCTGGGTTCAAGTCCCGGAGGAAACAAAAGTGATTTTGTAAGAAGAATCATGCTCTCTGGTTACAAACTGAATTTGCTCAAAATGAACCTATACAACCAGCGATGATCATGGTGATGCTATTGATGATTATTAGATTGTTCTCGGAATAACCTTCTGGCTGTGGCATCATGCAACAATAACTTTTTAACTATGTTTTCAACTGTGACACAAAATTTTATGGGAAATTGTTTGATTTTAAGTAAAGGTGGACAAATTTACATACAAGTGACGTGTAAATACATCTATACGGGTGTCAACATATATTTGTTCTGCTTAAAAGTTCCCCTGGCACATTTGTTATAAACAATGCCATAATATCTGTTCCAGTTGGAACAAATACTCTATACCCTTTAATCCATTAAGAACAAATACTGAAATATTTGTTCCAGTGGAAATAGAATATTTCTTCCACTTGGAACGGTTAAATTTTGAAGGAACTTCTATTTCATGACACAGAAATAGGATTGTGCAACGTTTCTATAAGTTAGGTCAGTCGGTTTTATTATTATTGTATAAGATTACTTATTCTCATTTACAGTTGTAAAGCTAAGTCATTCATTGCAATCTATTTTTATCGCATTTGATAAGAGTTTATTTGTTTAATGTCAAATTAATCATTTTAATCTGGTGCCCTGTTGCTCTGGTTATACAGGTGCTATGGTTGTCTTAGTGCTCCGGGCTCCAGTTGACCTAGTGCCTGGTTGATTATTTCTTTGTTAAGAGTCATTTAACCATATTTGTAATCGGGCTACATTTTGTACTAGGGCAAATAGAGTGGTATAAAAGAGAGAAATAGATGTAGAGAGGGGAGTTACGAGAGAAGTGTGCGTAGGAGATTCATGATTATGCAAACGTATTGTTGAGCCTGCAGTTTAGATGTTGTAAACTTTATTACTGTTATTTTGTTAACACATTGGATTTGAAATAATACAGTATTGAACTTTTAATCAACTTTGTGTTTATGTTCACTTACAACACTTCGTTCAGACTAGACCAGGATCTATTTATTTATTTATGTGACCTGAGGATTCCCTTAATCACGCTACCAGAAGATTTCTAGGGTAACCCTGTAAAATGTATTATTGGCATTTGTCGTCCGTGTACGAGTGAAAGGCAAATGACTTATACACCCAACAACACGTACAAACACCAACACACGAACACGCACTTTAGTTTAAATAATAATTTCGTCACATTTTTGTCCAAAAAAAGTAAAATACCAAAAATACCAAACACCAAGAAAATTCAAAACAAAAGTCCCTTATCAAATGGCAAAATCAAAAGCTCAAACACATCAAACGAATGGAAAACAACTGTCATATTCATGACTTGGTACAGGCATTTCCTTATGTAGAAAATGGTGGATTAAACCTGGTTTTATAGCTAGCTATAAGTGACATCTCTATATCTGTACTCAAAGACAGTGACAACCACTATATTTGCTAATAATCCAGAATTTGTCACTCACTATAGACCAATTTAGAGTTCCTTTTTATGAATGAAATCATTGAACTGGACTGTAACATCTGGTCCTTGTATGTTTTAATGGTTAACTTTATAGTGATCTTTAGAACAAGAAATTTATGTTTTATTTTGTATGGATACTTTTTTCCAAGGAGAATGAGACAATCTCGAACCTTAGCTTGCTGCAGTTTTAGAAGAATGAGATTACATGTGTATTGAAAAGTTAAACACTTTTTTCCATTTCAGAATTTTTTTTAAAGGGTTTACCTGTATTTTTGTTACTAGGTAAACAATACAATTCCAGATTCACTTCATATGAACCCATGTTTATCTTTTGTAGACTTAGAAATATGCCAGTTTGTCAGGAATGTGAAGGGACAGATTTTGATGAAAGAGATGGGTTGTATTTTTGTCAGATTTGTATGACACAATCACAAGTAAGGATAAAAAGTGAAGGTGCAGGTTTAAAATTATCACCATTTCTTTTTTTTTTTTTTTTTTACAAAAATACAAATCTGGATCCAGGACCAGTTTTTATCTTGGTATTTTCGGAATTATATTTTTTTGTCATTTTTGGAAAATTAGTCATGAACAGTGGGAAATCTGGTGACAAAATATTACCTCCCCTGTAAACACTGAAAACTTGAAGTTTAGGTGAAAAATTCCAAAGGAGTCGATTGATATGCAGCAAAAATTAACACTTTTGAAATTAAGTTACTAAGCAAATTCAAACAGACCTTATCCCGATGTAAACATGATAACCTACTTTGTAAAACAATCTTTAATTTATGACAGACTTTTAAATTGTTATATTCACGCAAAGACAATATTTCTACATTGAATGTTCAAGTGACAAGAGCAGACCGGTGTACTCGAAAACTTCGATGTGAAGAAAAGGTATATTTTGGGAATTTGTAACATGCTAAGAATTTTGTGGAACACTCAGAAAAATTGGTAACCTGAAAGATCTTTAGATTTTGTATGTACATGATTTTTTCCAATTTTTTTTATTAATATGCAGCAAAGATTAACAGATATAAAATTTCAGTTTCACAAGCTTGTAATGCAATCATCTCGATAAATACTGAACATTAAGCATCTTGTATTTGCATGTATATTTCTAATAACACAGTTTAACAAATAATTTCTTTAAAATGTACGATTGTTTTAGAAATAACTTTTGATCAGTATCCTCACCGGCAATATTTTATTATTGATTTTCTCGACTTTATCATAAGAAGAGTGAATTTTCATTTGTTCTCTGCCACTAGATTTTCCACTGTGAATTAGCATGAACAAGTTCTGAGAACTTTAATAGAGATTTATATAATTCTTATGGGGAATTGTTTTATAATAACCATGAGGAACATGAGGAATGCAGCATATGGTTTATTGCTGTAAAAATGTTTGAACTGTCTTAGACTTTTCATGATGACTTTGTTTCTCTCTGATTCTGAGGCAGTTATGATATTCTAAGTCAGAGATGGATTTTATTGTGTCCTCATATCTTTTGTTTTCTTCAAATGATTATGGAACTCTTAATGGCAGCTGTTTTGATTACAGGACTACAGAAGAGAGGAGGAAGGAGAAGACGGAGGAAACTTTTATAATGTATCGTCAATTATTACTAAGAAATCAGAAAGAAAGAAAAAAGTTGGTGAGTATTGTGACAAATGGAAGTTTTTGAAGTATATTTCTGAAATATTGTGATTTGAATTAAAGTTTTTGTGTTGACGTGACAAGACATGACAAAATGAGGTAGAAAACTTGCAACATAAAATCTACCTTTGAGTTCAGGATTCAAAAGAGAGTAATGATACCAAATATAAAGTTAGAAACACTAATATAAACACTTAAAAATATTTCAGATGGAAATTCGGTTTGCAACTTATGCATAACAACTGAAACAGGCTTAAAAGCTATATTTTGGTCATGCTTTGCCAAAATAAGTAATTTAACTTACAACAATAAATGCAACTTTAAAAATTCCACCTGTGCTATTTAATAATATTTTTCAGTAAAAGATACAGCTTTATGAAAAAAAATAGAGAGGAGGACTCAGGAAGGAGACGACTATCCAAAATAGACATTCAGAGGTCATCATATAGTTTTCAATGATGGAAAATCACTCATGCACTATAGATAGCGCTAGATTTCCCAGAGTGTAGACATGTTGTGAATGATTTCAACAGAGACAACTGAACATGGTGGTCACATCTAATGTTCTATAAATTCTTAATACAAACAAAAACATGTTGATCCACTAATATCTCATTTTCCCCAAGATACATGATAGAAATTCATTAACCCTTAATGTACAGGAAATAAATATACTTGTTTTTCATTAAAGCTTTTCTTTTACAGGAAACATGTATTCTTATTTTTATAACACCCTGGCTATGATAACAAACTGTAAACAATTTGCTGTATTTCTCCCAAAATAGAAATATGATTTGTATTTCCCTAGATTCTAAAGATAATTTAATAATACTTCAGAGTAATTCAAGTTGGATCAATTGGTCAAAATATAGGGAAATCCATACCAGGTTTTTTGTGCCAACATGATGCAATCAAATGGCAGACCATGTTGGTTTCAGACATGTATATTTTTGGAATTCTGACTTGAAAATTGAGCTTTAGGGTTTTGATGCCATCCTGTACGAAATATGTAGTAGTATTCCTACTAGATTATAGTAGGAATCTGCCTAGAATGATCATGGAATCTAAGATTCCTGCTACTTCATAGGTGTAGTAGGAAAATTTTTATAGTTGGATTTTTCATTTTCCTTCTACAAATTACTGCTATTAGGTTGAACAGTATTAATTTATTCCTACCAGAAAAATTTTCTACCAGGAATCTTTCTTATTGTAGCAGAATTATTATCTGAACTGGTATTGATTTGTATTTAATTATCATAAACTGGAATCCAGTTTGCTAAACACACTAATTTTGCTGTAATATAAGCAACCAAGTTACAGGTCACAAATTCAAAATTTGGAGGGCAAAAGATTGTTGGGAGCACAATGCTTCATAGGTCAAGTAATTAACAGGGAAATATTGAAATGTAAGAAGAAATCACTTAGCTCATTTAGACTGAAGGTACATGTAATTTGTATACATTTTAAGATGACTTTTTTTCTAACTGGCCTGATATATTTAGTAATTAATCAATTCAAGTTCAATCATATTTTGTTTGTAGAAGTTCGTCTAGGCCATGTGTTTTCAGATCTACATTTATAACACGTAATTTTGTTGCAGCTTCTTCAGAAAATAGAATAGCAAAATTTTGCAGCAAGAAGTTAAATATTTCATGTATTTCCTTTGTTCTTTGTTGTTGAGATTCAAACTTGTGATTGACCCAGTTGTGTATTTGTGTATACATTTAGTATTTTTGGTTATTTTTAGATTCCTGCTAGAAAATAAATTTTTCTAGAAGGACTTATGAAAAATTCCTACCAGGTTTTCTGGTCAGAATCTTATTTTCCTGCTAATTTGAATATTACTGGTAAAAATCACAATATTCCTACTAAAAATTCCTGCTAATTAAAATTTTTCTGCTATTTTCCAGGCGGATTCCTACTACATTCTGGCTAGAATATGAACACTTTTGTAGTAGGAATTCTAACATAATTCCTACTAGATTCTGTGCTAATTCTAGGTGGAAGGTTTCGTACAGGATAGAACTTGAGGCAATCAGCCCTATGGATGTTATTTCTGAATTGAGGATAAAATATTTAGATGATTTTGATTGCCTTGACAGCTACTTACAAGAATGATCTTGCTAAAAATCATTTTGGTCATCATATTTGATATTCTTGAATAGGTTGACTTCATTCACCAAAGCTACTGGTCTGTATATATTCAAACTTTTGATGAAAGAAACTTAAATACTTTTGGTAAAAGCCACAACTGCTTAATTATGAGAACCACTGCTACAATGTGTGGGAAATTCACAGTTATATTATCTCTGTCAATTTTTATCTTTAGTTTAAAGCTGTCTTGCGTCTATATAAGATCTTTTTAAATGATGATTTAAATGTTTTTTGATTCATATCTTACATAGAAAATAAAGGAAGACCCTGGCATAGCTTTGAAGCATTTACAATTATTATAAGGGAACAAGTTAAGGCACTGATCAAATTAGGTGCTTCAGCAGAACTTAAGGTAAGTGATACACCATAGCATTTTCAAAACTAGTATTTATTGGAATAAGACATAATAAAACATTAGTTGAAAGACGTTAGGACAGGAATGAATGGAGAAAATGGAAAAAATGAGATGGGTATAGCCCTTTCCACAAACTCAATTCCTGAATCATGAATTTTACTCTAAAATTATAATTTGAAGTTGGTTATCTCCCTTTTCAGGAAATAGAACTGCTTCGTGGCAAAATGAAGAGTCACTAGCGGCTTTATATCCCTTTTCATTTAAAGATAATATTAAGTTTATATAAATATAACAATTGTTCATTGTATTTTGTTATCTAACTCGATTATACAGCTGGAAATGTTTGTAAATTAGTATAGCACATTGTTTTCTGTTTTTCGTCCCTCCATTGCTCTGCACTGCAGCAAACCAATATTTATACCGGTATACTTCCAAGAAGGGAAATAAACCGTATTTATTAGAAGTGAGTTTCTAGTATCGGGCATTTTATATTCGTAATAACATTTGTAAATATTGAGCTCTACTTAATTCAGGCGAATCTCATTCTCCCCATCATAGTTTAGTAGATGCATGTGTAAAACATAACTGAGTGTTTTTGAAAACGCTGATTCAGATGTGAGCAATCTTCAGTATTGTGCATAACCTTTTTTTTTTTTTTGACCATATATTGAAACTTTAAAATTATATTTCAGGATGTTGTATTACAACTCTGGTGTAACTACTTATCAAAGACTGGGACAGCTTTTCCAGAGGATGAAAACAAAATGGATATCTTCATGAGAAAGCATATTAGACAAAGGTAAAACATTAGAACAAGATATCTTTTATCAGGTTTTAAAATATCACAGGTTTGACATTTATTGAAAAGCTCATGATAATTACAGTATAACTATATGTGAAGTTCTGAAACACAATTGAAAATAGCAAATTAAAAACTCATCAATTTCCAGTATATGTGCTGTTTATCAAATAAGTAATGTAACAGTATTATGTGAACAGGTGCAGGTCCAAGAATTAAAAGGGGTACAGTAAAAAATATTACATTTAAAAATAAAGGAGATGTGGTATGATTGCCAATGAGACAACTATCCACCCAAGTTCAAATAAAGTTGATGTAAGCAATTATAGGCAACCGTACGGCCTTCAACAATGAGAAAAACCCATACCGTATAGTCAGCTATAAAAGGCCCCGACATGAAAAATATGAAACAATTTAATCGAGAAAATTAACAGCCTAATTTATAACAAAACAATTTAAGAAAAACAAATATGACATTATTAAGAAGAAGAAATGCCATATTTTTAATCTTTGTTAAAGAAAGATACAAGTATGCTTGCTCCTGCTTAAAGATTTATTTGTATGTAAATGAGTTTTACATTTTTTAACAGAGAAAGATATCCTGGCTCAGTAGAATCTCCTGATATTCAACCAGTACAGTTTAGGAAAACTTGGAAAAAGAAGTATGGTGTTTCTAAAAAGATAGCTGAAAAAGATATTGTAAATAAGTTTTGTTTTAAAAATTAAGTACCAGATGATTTTTTACAGCAGATGTAAAAGAGTTCAGAACTACACAAAATTATGTTAAAAGTTGGTATAGATTATATCTTGCATTGTCAAAAAAAAGGAAAAATCTTTGTACTTTATGTCGAAATCATTGAATAAAAAGATAGTTTTCCTTAAATGATACCCCAATTCACAAACTATGTGGTAGTATACTGTAAATAAACTCATCATAGATACCAGGATTGAAATTGTGTATGTCTAACCTGCTTTTCATCTCCAAAAGACTCATCAGTGACACAAATCATTAAGAGTGAAGCCAGTTGAAATAGTACTGAATGTCCAGTGAGGTGGTGTCCATTTTGAAAAAGGTCAAATAAAGTACTATGGACAGACAGACAATACAGGTACTATATAGTTTTGCTGCCACCACCTGTGTTATGAGGTACACAGGGAACCTTACTAGACTAAATGTAACTAGCAGAAGATTGAGAGAGTGATTTAGTATTTTGGTTCATTACAATGAAAATCAATGTATGCATGTATATAAAAAATTCTCTGTAAGTGTGTTTCATAAATGTCAATTATTTCAGGAGAATAAAAAATTAATGACTGCTTTACAAAATGAGGAGTTTTATGAAGGAGACAACCCTACAGAACAGGCAGTGGAAGAAGAACCAGATTACAGTTCTGATGAGGATGAGGAGGTTACTAATTTATATTTTTAATATCTTGCTTTATTACATTATACATATGTTGAAAGAGTTTGCTACCAAATTTTTTTTATAATCGTAAAAAAGAAAGTTCCATCTCATTGAATGTAGTAGGTAATTTAAAGTTGGTTTTTGGATAATTTTATATTTAGTTTTTGCATAGCCATGGCCATTAGGCTATGGGGATGTATTAAAATATAGCCACATCTGATTTAGGAATTGACTACTACATATATAGTTAATTTGAACTTTGATGTGTATTATGACAATTAATGTCTCTTCAGTGTTGCTCCAGGTCAAAATATTTCCACATCCAAAACTTATTCAAAAGTTAGAGAGCTGATAAAACCAACCAAAAACGTGGTTTAACACACCTTTCATTTGGAATTGCTGTTTCCTAGTCAGAACACTGTATTGCAATCAACCTCCATTGTTTTCATGAAGATTGTTTGAAAAAAATTCTGCAATACTATTCATTATATGTTGAAATTGATTTTTAAGAATACATTTAAGTTTTATAGTACATTTTTTACGATCTATTTGATGCCCTGCTTACAATAGTCGAGGTTCTTAATGTTTTATGCTCTGTTTATAATCCAAATTTCACAGTTCACGGAACACAGAAACATGAAAGTGTGAAATCAGTTCATGGTCTTGACTCATTTAAAAGAACATGGAATTGTGAAAGTGCAAATGGATTACAATATAATGGAATTATATGCATCTGTCATACAAGTGATAGGTCTAGCTAGCTATAAAACCAGGTTTAATCCACCATTTTCTACATAAAAAAATGCCTGTACCAAGTCAGGAATATGACAGTTGTTTTCCATTTGTTTGATGTGTTTGAGCTTTTGATTTTGCCATTTGTAAAGGGACTCTCCGTTTTGAATTTTCCTTATAGTTTGGTAACTTTGTAATTTTACTTTTATATAGTGTCCTGTAGACACATATTCTTTTTAACTAATGCCATTATGACTTATTTTATAAATTCATATCCTTGTTTATTTAAGAGCAGTGATCCTAATCAGATAAGATACATGAGAAGAAGTGTAGAGTTCATGACTATGTTAAAGACATTATGCTTCTGTTATATTGGAACATTATATACAGACCATCTCGTCACAATATCTGATATTATACGGTTAGTACATTTTTAGCTCATCTGGTCAAAAGGACCAGTGTAAGTTATTGGTATCACTTGACATTTGTTGTCCACAAGCCCATCTGTTACAATGTAAGTTTTCACAATTTCTATATCTTCTTTGAAACTGCTTTGGTAAACCTGGAATTTTCATATAGAAATTCATTAACTTTTTATTCTTAAAACATGACTGTCGAGTCTTCTCATTTGTAAATTTTTTAGTTTTTTGTCCTTTGAAACTACTAGACCAAATTTGGAATCACATTAATCCATTTTTGGAAATCTCTTTCTCATCTTGTTTAAAATTCTTTTGCAAGTTAGAATCAAACTTTGCTGTTGTAATATACATAATTGCCTCATTTTTATCTGCTTGAAAAAAAGTCTTTGCAACCCCAAATCATTATATTGATTGGTAAATTTTGAAATTTTTTCAACCCTGAAACTATAAATTTTTCCCAGGTTTACTGATTTTGGGATCTTTTATAATGATTAGTATTATTGCCTTAATATGTTGGCATACATGACAGTAGTGGTTTAATTTAGGTTTCAATCAAACACTTTCATTTTCTTAGTCAAAATTGGCAGGTATGGAAATTTCTTTATTTTGACATAGTTTTAATTTTAGGCAAAAGAACTTATAAATTTATGTGCTTTCCTTATCTTATCTTTATCAGACAAACAAAACATGGCAGCTTTAAGGCATACTTGATTCTGATTTGTCAAGCTTTAATTTGTTTATTCATGAAGCCAAAAAGACTAAATATCGCCATACTGAAAAAGGATGAAAATTAGTAGAATTTCTAGAACAAGTCTTTATTTTATTCCTGATAACATACATAACAGAAATGATTATCTCTTTCCCATTTTTTGAAGCCCAAGGAACAGGACAGTTATCTTTAAGGAATTCCTCCTACAGATTGTTGTTGTGGAATGAAATGTATTTTTTTGGATCATTTGTTGTTTAAAATATCATTGAGGAATTATTAAGTTGTATTTTAAGAACATTGTCTGGAAGTGAAACAATAATAGAATATTTACTAACACAGACAAACACCTGAATAAGTAATTAATGAAAAAAAAATAACCTCCATCAAATTTTAATATTTGAAAGACGCTTCTCATATTTTAAGCAATAATAAGAAATTGCAACATTATTGAAATAATCTAAAAAAAAATTGCATTCCAGATGGGCAGACCAAAAGGAAATACCTTATTACAAAGCAACATCATTATTACCAACAGATATGAAGTTTTGTGCAAATGATGTACCAACGTTCTCAACAGTATGTTTATATTACAAATGTATATTTTATTTAGGTTTTTTGAAAGCATCAATCACAGTATCCCCATGTACCTATGATAGCATATAACATAAGTGTTTCTTCAAGATCAAATTTACCCTTGTCAATATAAAATCAAACTAAAGCCCAGATTTTAAAATATTTTTGAGAAAAATTCTTTATAATATCACAGATAAAGTAATAGCATTGTGATACTATGCTTCCTAATAGATATAAGAAAATGTGGTATGAGTGCCAATAAGACAACTCTCCATCCAAGTCACAATTTGTAAAAGTAAACCATTATAGTTCAAAGTACGGCCTTTAACACAGAGCCTTGGCTCACACCAAACAGCAAGCTAGAGAGGGCCCCAAAAATGACTAGTGTAAAACCATTCAAACAGGAAAACCAACGGTCTAATCTATATAAAAAATGAGAAACACTTATGAACCACTTCAACAAACGACAACCACTGAACATTAGTAGACTACAAATATATAGCAAATTCATTGAAAAGAATTTTTTTTTTTTAAATTAAGTGATATTATCTTTTACATATTATATCACAAATAAGGGTTTGGTACCATTTATTGCAAAATTATCTGTCAGAGTTTTAAGTAAGAAAAATATCCAAAAACAGTTGAAAATGTGTGATATTTATTATGGTGGATATTTGTCTTATGGGCAATCTTACCAAGTCTCCTGATTATGCCCCACCTAGGGGCGTTATGTTTTTCAGTCTGTGCGTTCCGTTCGTTTGTCCGTCTGTCCCGCTTCAAGTTAAAGTTTTTGGTCAAGGTAGTTTTTATACGCCCGTCAAATTTTTGACGGGACGTATTATGTTATACAAATGTCCGGCGTCCGTCCGTCTGTCTGTCCGGCGTAAACATGACGCACCGTAACTCTAGAATGACTTATCCAAATTTCATGAAACTTAACATAGTTGTTTCTTATGATGGTCGAACGAACTGTATACTTTTTGGTGAAAATAAGATTAAAACTTTTTGAGTTACGGGACTTAGTAACTAAAACAGGTGTGTGTTTTTTTTCACATGTCGCGCCATATCTCAAAAACAATTTATGATTATTGCTTAAAACTTTACACACTTCTTAGTTATATTAATCTTAAGATCTGTATACTTTTTGGTGATGATTCAAAATTTTATTTTTGAGTTATTGAGTATTTTGTTAAAAAGGGGGAGGGGTTTTTCACATGTCGCGCCGTATCTCAAAAACAGTTAATGATTATTGCTTTAAACTTTACACACTTCTTAGTTATATTAACCTTAAGATCTGTATACTTTTTGGTGATGATTCAAAATTTTATTTTTGAGTTATTGAGTATTTTGTAAAAGAAGGGGGAGGGGTTTTTCACATGTCGCGCCATATCTCAAAAATGATTTATGATTATTGCTTAAAATTTTACACACTTCTTAGTTATATTAATCTAAAGATCTGTATACTTTTTGGTTTTGATTCAAAATTTTATTTTTGACATATTGATTTTTTTTTTTTAAAAGGGGTGTTTTCACATGTCGCGCCGTATCTCAAAAACGATTTATGATTATTGCTTAAAATTTTACACACTTCTTAGTTATATTAATCTAAAGATCTGTATACTTTTTGGTTTTGATTCAAAATATTATTTTAGAGATATTGAGTTTTTTGTAAAAAAAAAAGGGGGTTTTCGCATGTCACGCCGTATGTCAGAAACTATTTATGCTTATTGCATAAAAATTCACACACAAGACGATGGGCGTATCATGCCCTCATGGCACATCTGTTTATTGATGAAGTTAAAGTCCAATCAATTTGAAACTTAGTACACATGTTCCCTATGATATGATTTTTCTAATTTTAATGCAAAATTTGAGTTTTGACCCCAATTTCACAGTCCACTGAACATAGAAAATGATACTGTCCCGCTTCAGGTTAAAGTTTTTGGTCAAGGTAGTTTTTGATGAAGTTGGAGTCCAATCAACTTGAAACTTAGTACACATGTTCCCTATAATATAATCTTTCTAATTTTAATGTCAAATTAGAGTTTTGACCCCAATTTCACGATCCACTGAACATAGAAAATGATAGTGCGAGTGGGGCATCTGTGTACTATTGACACATTCTTGTATTTATATGATACTCATACCCCAACTGTACCAAATGAGGTGGAATATGCTGAATGAAGTTAAATATTTTCATCACATATTTCTCAAATACTACTGAATAAAAATATTTTCATATTTGGTCAGCATCTCAACAGTGATTAGTTATATCATATGTGAGCCTCTCTGATCTGGATGACATCCATTGCCTGTTGTTCAATACTTTTAATTATGAGATAGGTATGCAAATTCCCAACATATGTTCAGAAATGCATAAGATAAAAAATGTACATCAATTACAAAAGATTTTTGATGTTACAACATCCCATTTATGTTATAAAAGAAGAAAACTGCGGAATGTATGGAGTTTATCATCCATATGTCCTTTGTGGAATCTTCAAGAAACAACAAGATAATTTTAGAGAAGCTTTACTGTATCTATTTACATAATCTCTTCAAATATAAAGTTATTTCCTTGGTCACACAAAGTGACATACTTTTCCAATCCACTATGTATTAAAAGTTGAAATATACAAACTTCTGTCATGGTTTGTTGTAATGGTAACTTGGTAAATGTGAAACTTGTTTTTTTATTTTCTTAACACTTTGTACCTTAGTATAGTTAGAACAAATGTAAGATCATTTATGGTAACTTTTTAATTAGCACTAATATTTTGTTCCAAATAAGGTTCTTTATGCCCCTTCTCCTTTGATTGGATTTTGTTCAAGTACAGCCCATTGAGTTGTTGTACATATTCTGGTGCCCTAGTGCTTTACATGATGTAATATATTACTGTATGAATTGTCCCTTTTGAAATTGTTAACATGTTGCTTTCAGACTGTTTTAAAGTATGAAAACCTGGAATTTGAAACAGAGAAGTTGATACAGTACTTAAATTTGACAGATGTTCCTGATGTGTCACTCCAACTTCTGACGTCTAAGTACATTGTTATGTTAGATCTACCTGGTATGTTGTATGGGTCATTTTCTTGAATTAAATATATGGGAAAGTTGGTTCTCTGGACAAAATCCTTTGGAAGTATCTGGTCATGTTAGAAGCATACCTTTTAAAAATTGTATAAGAAATTTCTCTATCCATAAATTTCCTGGATCTTTTCCACTTAAACCTCTACGAGTCTGCTCCAAACTTGGCCTTCATTTTGTATAGTGTATGTGTCTCAATAAAAGTTTCACAGCATTAATCAACATGGGATTTGTTACAATAATTAGTTTAATCACAAATGAAGTATAGAACACTCGCAAGGGCGGCTCTAGAGTTCAAGAAAAGGTTTGTGTAATATTCTGTAATTGTAAAAATAGCACTGAGCATAGATGCGAAACTTTTTGGTCCAAATTTGGTAAACAAAATTTTTTTCCAATTTTAATGGAAATTACTATTGATATTTCACCTTTGCAATTCTTTCATTATATAGTACAAAATTACAATACAGTTCAGTAATGTGACCTACATGTTATGCTTACTTGGGTAACATTATTATAAACGTTTTTATGGTCCATTTGTTATAGAATTATTATAGGTAGTGGTATATGACTGATATTTCTCAATGAACTGTTCCGATGAGTAACATTTATTCACACACTTGTGATTTTGATGATTAAATATTTGCAATCAATTACACCTTATATAAGAAAGCCAGATTTTGATTGGTTGATAGCCAGTGTATTTTTCGCATATTCTAATATTTTTTCCTCATTTCAAACGAATTTGCCTGTTTTTCACCACTGCCAGTGAATTTGCCTCAAATACCATGGTACTTGCCATTTTGGATATTCCTTTTTTACCCTCTCGCGCATTTTCCCGCCAAAATTTTTCGGATATGACGTTACATAAAAAAGCGAGCTAACGGGTATAAGTACATGTATAATTCCCGTGGTTCTATGATAATAACCTCTTATCCTCAAAATTATGCATAAACATGTTAATGAATTAGTTTCAATCTAAATCTATTCGGTGTAATTAATCAGATATATCATGTTATGGAGGGGTATTTGCGAAAAATACCTGTTTTGGGACCGAATTTACAGTCCCTTGACTGGTATTTTTTGTAAATACCCCTCCATAACATGATATATCTGTTCAAAATTTAATTTGAAACCCATTTCATATTATAATATTCAGTGGCGGATCCAGAACTTTTCATAAGGGGGGGCCCGCTCCAGTCATGCTTCAGTGATTCCCTATATAATCAACCAAATTTTTCACACAAAAGGGGGGGCCCGTAAATTCAGAAATGATTCCATGCATTTATTATTGCGATTTTTGAGAAATGGACAAAAATGCAAGATTGATTATTGCGATTTCAGGATAGTCTGCATACAATATATGTTTCAGATGTCAGAATGCTAGTTATAATAATTGCAATACTTACCCAGTTGCATTATTCGCATTGATAAAAACCTCATTAGTCGCATTTATAAAAACCTCACAATAACTTCTGAATTTACAATAGTTATTCTATACAGAAAAAATGTCATAAATAGTACTGTTCACCTTTTCATGGCAGGGATACCAGTGTCTTACATACATTTAATTGAATTTTGAAGGTGAACTTCATGGATTTGTTATTAATTTGATACAGCCAGAGCTAAGAAAAGAAGATGATAGGAGATATAATGACATGTTGGCCATGGGTTATATTGTTACAACACTACAGCTATTGTTAGGGTTAGATGATTCAACTGAAAGGTGAGATGTTTCCCTTGTGTTATATTGTTTCAACACTACAGATACTGTTAGGGTTAGATGATTCAACTGAAAGGTGAGATGTTTCCCATGTGTTATATTGTTACAACACTACAGCTATTGTTAGGGTTAGATGATTCAACTGAAAGGTGAGATGTTTCCCATGTGTTATTATGTTACAACACTACAACTGTTGTTAGGGTTAGATGATTCAACTGAAAGGTGAGATGTTTCCTATGTGTTATTTTGTTACAACACTGCAGCTGTTCTTAGGGTTAGATGATTTAACTGAAAGGTGAGATGTTTCCCATGTGTTATTTTGTTACAACACTACAGCTGTTGTTAGGGTTAGATGATTCAACTGAAAGGTGAGATGTTTCCCATGTGTTATATTGTTACAACACTACAGCTGTTGTTAAAGTTAGATGATTCAACTGAAAGGTGAGATGTTAAGCAGGTTATACTGTAACATTATTAAAGCTGTTGTATGGTTAGATGGTTCCAAAGGTAAGATGTTACCCTGGGTTATACTTTTACAACACTACAATTATGGTTGAATGATTCTACAGAAAGCTAAGTTGTTAGCCATATTAATACTGATACAACAGTACAATTATTGTCTATGGTTAAATGCTTCCACTGAAAGCTAAGTTGTTAGCCCCTGATTGTACTGTTACAACACTACAGCAAAGAAATTACTACTGTTACCATAGTGATGGGAATTAGTCAGACTTTTAAGATCATGATTGCTGAATAGACATTGACCAAAGATTGATGGTCAGTACCACAGCTGTTTCTCTCTCTCAGAATGTAACAAAATTCAGCTAGAATAAGATCTACAGTAGTAAGAGATTTTTTTGTGAATTTAAGGAGCCTTTTAAATGTTTGGGAATGTATAAGTTTATGAAATCAAGATTTTCCTTTTCAGGGAGTTGTCAGATATTGCAGTAGAGCTGAACAACATTTTCCATAATAGTGAGTATCATCTGTTTAAGACTGGTCTACAGATTTTTTTCCTTTTACATGTGACAAAAATCCAAACTCCTCTTATCTTTACATTCTAAAAAGAATCTTAATTATCTTATGTTACTGTAAGAACCCAACAACACTTTCAGAGGTCCATAGGTGGCCTGTTGGAAGGATAAATTTCTGTTCCTATCCTTTCTACCTGGTACCCTTATTTACCAGTGCCATTCGAAAATTTCCCATCATTCTTCATTCTGGTCTATCCCCTATTGTAGGACCTACCTATAGATTTTTCTGTTAATTTGCTCTCTTCCTGAACATGCATGAAATATTTTCTACTGGACGTAAAGCAAACAAAAATCAATCAATATTTTGAAAGTATAAACCAGATATACAGTATTCTGTGGAAAGTAGATTTAATTGATAGAATTGAGCAGGTTGCCATCAGAAAATTAATGTAAGTACTGGAGATTCATCAATTGTTCGTTTGATCTTGAGAAGAGACAAGATATATTTTTAGAATATGAATATTCTCTGTTTTTGTAATTTTTTGCTTTCAGAATACAATATGTTTGTATGGTCTGACTGGACAACACACATCTCTAAGAAGATAAAAGCAGCCAGAACAAATATTTCTGAGTAAGATTTTTTTAATTAAACTTGATTGTTGTTTTGAATTTCAAATCACTCTTGGTAGGACAAACCATGAGTTTTTCAGATATTGTCTGTAATAATGACATTTTGGACAGATTTGAGCAGATAAAAAATTATGTAAATGACCTGTTGAATGGTGGTTGATAATTCAAATGATACAGTAGGACAAATTATATATATAACTTTTTTAACCGCTTGAAAATCTCAGGTCAAGCTTAGTCAATATAGCTAGACAATTTTCATTTTTATGATTTCAAGCAAATGATTGTACAGGTAAGGGCATTGTGTTTTCATGCTGTCTGTCTGTCTGTCTGACCCGTAGTCAGTTTTGGCTAAGGGCTGTTTCTTATAAAATTGTGGTCAACATGAAACTTGGTATGCATGTTCATTATGATGTTAACTTTTTAAAATAGATGTTAAATTAGTTTCAACCTTGATTTTGAAGTTCACTGAACATGGAAGGTGATAGTATGATAAGGGCATGGTTCCTATGGAAACATATTCTTTGTTCCTTATGAGATATGTACAGTGGTTTTATTGTCTCGCCTTGACAGAGTCAAAAAGGGAGACATAGGTATGCTGTTTCCGACATCGGCGGTGTCATCAACAATGTATTAGTTTGTGATAAGGTCTAGTTTAAGGTGAACCACTAGTGGTTGGTCAATGATATTTGGTATGCAGTTGAATTAGCACTGGCACATCTCATTTCCATGGAGATTATTTGGCCCTGCCCCCTCAGTCATGGTTTATTGACTTTAAAACTTTTGCTTATTTTACATGTATTAGTTTGTGATTAGGTCAGTTCAAGGGGAACCACTAATGGTAAGTCAATGATATTTGGTATGCAGTTGTATAAACATTGGCATATCTCATTTCCATGGAGAATATTTGGTCCCGCCTCGGCAGTCATGGTCTATTGACTTTGAAACTTTTACTTAGTTTACATGTATTAGTTTGTGATTAGGTCAGTTCAAGGGGAACCATTAGTGGTATGCAATTGTATAAGCATTAGCACATCTCATTTCCATGGAGAATATTTGGTCCTGCCCCCTCAGTAATGGTCTATTGACTTTGAAAATTTTGCTTAGTTTACTACATGTATTATTTGTGATTAGATCAGTTTAAGATGAACCGCTAATGTTAATTCAATGATATTTGGTATATATGCAAATTTATTGGCATTTGCAAGTCTCGTTTCCATGGAGATTATATAGCCCACACCCCCTCATCATGGTTCATTGACTTTTAAACTTTTACATAGTTTACAAGTCAATGTTTGTGTTTAGGTTTGTTGAAAGAGAATGACTTATGATAAGTCTATGGTATTTGGTATGTAGTTGTATTAGCATTGGCACATCTCATTTCCATGGAGATTGTTTAGCCATGTACCTTCAGTCATGGTTCATTGACTTTGAATATTTGCATAACTTACATGTTAAAGTATTGCTATTTTAATTTCAACATTTGCATTATCAAAAGTACAAAAAGGCGAGACATATGTCTGTGTTAACAGTTTATTCTTACAGTGAATCAAGAAATATAAAAGACACAAAGAAATTCATTGAAGATTTTATTTTGTTTGATAAAGACAAGAAATACAATGCAGCACATTATAAAAGAGGTTTGTTTAGTACCATGGGATGGTGTTTTTGTCTCTATCTTTTTCTAAACAAGACCAATACCGGGTCTAGACCTGTGTCACTGTGTACAATTGATTGAAATTTCACTATTGGCAAACAGGAAGTAGCTGCATGGCAGATCTAAAGATGGTTTACACTCTACAACTCAACATTATCAAGCTGCAGACAAATATAAAATCATTCCCTGTCATAGAAGCCAAGAAAATATTAAAAACAAACTAAAAATTTGACACTAATAAAAATATTCCTAAAAATAATGTTTCCTGCATTTTGCTGTGATTGGTATCTCTGATAAAGTACAGTACTGTTATCAAATGTGTATTTGTTGGGTTTTTTTTTAATTTTTAATTCAGGTTTCCTCATGCAATAAAAACACATGATTGTTAATGGTTCCCACCTTTAAATTAATCTAAAGCAATATCCACTTTACAGTGATACGCCCAATACAACAAAGTGATTTTTTAACTTAATCATCAATTGTGTACTTTACAAAATAGAAAGAAACAAAGAAATTTGTGAAAAGCATCCATTTTCAATGTGTTTCAGATAGAACAAGAAGACCAGAGACACAAGATGCCTTGTTAAGGCCGTTAGAAACATTGAACAAAGCATTACGTTCAACCACTGGAACAATCACAGCTGATGCTGATTCAGATAATGATGAGTACAATCCAAACTTAGAGTCTACTCTTGCTGACTTCTTTTTGAACCCAGATAAAGAACTAACAGAACAGACAAATGAGAAGTCTTCAGATTTTAATTTTAAATCGTCTACATTAAAGTTTATAACTCAACCTTTTAGTTTTCAAGATGATCTGGATAAACTCAATCTGTCAAGGCTTTCAATGCATACTTTGTCAGCCGATGATTCTGATCAAGAGCCTGAGAGATCAGATATAGACTTGTTTGAGACGCCAAAGAAAAAAAGAAAGGAGACGACAAGAAGTTCCAAAAGTAAAGATATCGACGAACATGAAAGTGAAAAGTTGATGCAGTTGATTAATAGACTAGGTGAAATTCAGGAATCTAACATTAAAGTTGACCGTAAAAAGAAATATCATGAACTTATATATCAGGCAAAAGCATATCAATGGTTGATTAAAACCTGCTCAGATATGATGGCATGCTCTACTGATATTCTTAACAAAAAAGTAATAGAAGTCCAGAATATTTTATTCAGGCATTGGGACAGATCTCAGTGGCGTAGGAAAAAAAAACTCATTACTTTATTAAAAAAATGATTGTGAATTATGATAATGTCTTTTATTGGCCCGTTGCCAATTTTAAAGCAAAGGTTCGTCCCTTGTCAGTCTGCTTTTCTATAGATACTGTTTTTCTGAAGTATAAGATCTCTTGAAGGAAAAAATAATAATGTACTTATCATTCTTTTAATAAATCACTGTCCATATATATGCAACCAACTTTCAGGACAATTGTTTTCAAACTATTTTTAGGAGTCGGGTATTAGAGATTGATGTGGTCTGTTGTACTGCACAGTATTTTGACAATTCCTGTTATTCCTCTTTATGTATTATACATCCTGAAGAGTCAAATGAATGATCTTAGCAAGTGTTGTTTTAAGGGCTCTATTATATGAAAGACTCTCGTATACATGTATATACAAATTTACAAAGGGAGGTATAGATCGTATGAAAAAATTATGGGCATATTAAAATGAACTAGACAGGTAATCCACTAAATGATCTGATGTTTCCATTTAAAACAAATTTGCAATAGTACCAATTAAGCTTGCTGTTCAACAGATAGCTGACATCATTTAGTTATGTAAGTACCAATATTCATGACTAATTGGCATGGCAGGTGATTACATAAAAGACAAGTTGTATGTATATCTGGCTTACATGAATCATGACGACAGAAAATTTTATCTGGGGTGGTCAAATATTCACCACTTATTTCTTTTTGTCATTCAACATGCAAATGGATTTTAAAATGGTTGACCTATATCCCTATTCCCATGGTTCCTTGGACTGAAATGTTCATCCGTCCCAAACCTCCTGGATGAGATGTTATTCCACACCCCTTTTCCCATTTACTATACACTTACATTTCCATCTACCGCAACCTCGTCAGAGAGGCTGCAATACACACTTCTTATAAACTAATAATTCTATCTCTCCTAAGCTTCTTGTTGAGAACTTGAGACGAATTAAAAACTTCTCATTTAACTAATATTTCCTCCCCCTAACTTCCTGGATAAGAAAACTGTACAGTCCTTTTAAGCCCGAAGCTCCTGTGATTTGACATAAGCAATTACTGCTTCATCATTTAAACACCACTCATGTGAGAGGCCTATCCAAGGGAAGAGCTATAGTGAAAGCTGTTAATTTAAAAAAAAATCATTTCTATTTAAAGCCTCTTTTTCTAACATTATAAATCAAGGGGAATAAATTATTTTTTCTTTGGTACCACTATCACATAACTTATTTATGAGTCAAATCAGGAACAATTTCTTGCAAAATTCTCAAAGACCCTCCCACCTACCTTCCTTAATTCAAATGAACCTCCACTAAGACCTCATCACAATATTAAAGACCAATGAAATGATTTGTAGATCTCAATTTTCTTGCTTATCAATTTAGATATTTACAGTTTCTCTCAATTAATTACAGTTTTCGAGATAATATCTACAATCATCTGAAGTACTTATAAATCATTGTTAAAAGCAATGACTCTGATATGGAGTCAATTGATCAGAGTGGGATTAAGGGTGTGAGGAACCCCCCTATTTATAGAGCTACATATACAAACAATGTATAGTTAATGCTTTTGACAAGTTCCATTGCTAGCATTGCCTTGGGAGGCCCCTCCTTTTTCATAATCCTGGATCCTAATCTGTTGATGGTTTCAGTCATATCTGTATTTTTGTAGAACTTGCATTACTGATAACTTTTTCTGCTTACAATTTCTATATATTATTATACTTTTCAAGATGATAAGCAAAAATTTCAAAAATAAATATTTGTGGGCAATAACTTCAAAAGGAATCAGTTGATGATTTCATCATATTACCTGGTATCATTTTAAGCTCACCTGGCCAAAAGGCCAAGTGAGCTTTTCTCATCACATGGGGTCTGTCGTCGGAATCTGCGTCGTTAACTTTTACAAAAATCATCTTCTCTGAAACCACTGGGCCAAATTTAACGAAACTAGGCCACAATCATCATTTAGGTATATGTTTTAAAAAATGTGTCTGATGACCCCACCTGCTAACCAAGATGGCCAACATGGCTAAAATAGAACATACGGGTAAAATGCAAGTTTTGCCTATTATTTTGAAAACTGCTATAAAAAGAGAAATTTGGACACGAGCAGAAATGTTCAGAATGATGAGCTCTTACTATTGTATATTTACATCAAAACTGTTGTACGACTTCTAATAGGAATTATTGTCCTTAAATGATGAATTTTACCATTTTAAAATTTTTCCCCTATTATCTCGAAAATTTTAATAGATAGACAGAAACTTTAAATAGCATAAATGATTTGCAAGACAAGATCTCCTAATAAGTCAAACAAGACTAAAATCATTAGACGACTCCTTATTAGAGTTATTGCCCTTTAATGAAATTTTTACCAAATTTTTGCGTTTTTGCCTAACATCTTAAAAACTGTAATAGTTAGATAGAAACTTTTAAAGCACAAATGATCAGCAAGACCAGATCTACAAATAAGTCATATAGTCGAAATCTTCAGTCGTCTCGTTATTGGCCTTATTGCCCTTTAATGATAATTTTTTTTACAATTTTTGGCATATTTTGCCTATTATTTTGAAAACTATAATAGGTTGATAAAAACTTCAGAAAGGATAAATTGTCAGCAGAAGAATCTACAAATATGTCAACATGACTGAAATTATCAGTTAACTCTTATTAGAGTTGTTCCCATTTAATGATGATTTTTACTAATAAGTATTGCTAATAATTTAACTGTTTACAGGTTCTGTCTTTCTGTTATAGTTTTCCAGATTATGTATGTGAAACCCAAATTTTGTAGAAAAACAAATTTTTATTCAATGGCAACTATAACAATTAATATCTGACAAAAGGTAAAAAATAAGTAAAAAATCATCATTTAAGGGCAATAACTCAATTCAAGAGTCAGATGATTGTCTCAATCTTATCATACTTGTAGATCTGCCATTGCTGTTCAAGTTGTCTGTTTGCAGTTTCTGCCCATCTATTATAGTTTATGAGATAAAAAGGCATTTTTATACGACCGCAAAAAATTTTTGCGGTCGTATATTGGTATGACATTGGCGTCGTCTTCGTCGTCCGAAGACACATTGGTTTTCGCACTCTAACTTTAGTTTAAGTGAATGGATCTCTTTGAAATTTTACAATAAGGTTCAATACCACAAAAGGAAGGTGGGGATTGATTTTGGGGGTTATGGTACCAACAGTTGAGGAATTAGGGACCAAAAAGGGGGCAAAAATAAGCATTTTCTAGTTTCCAGACAATAACTGTGGAAGGGTGTATGGATCTCTCTGAAATTATACTACAAGTTTCCATACCACAAAGGGATGGTTAGGATTTGCTTTGGGGGGTTATGGCAGTAAGTAGGAATTAGGGGCAAAAAAGGGGGACAAACAAGGTTGTCCTGGTTAATGGACAAATACTTTAGTACAAAACATTAATTTAAAGCAGTGTAAGGGAGATAAATCAAATACATCATTGAAATTATCTCCCTTACACTGCTTTTAAATTATGTATAAAGTAATGGTTAATGAACAATTAAGATAATTTAAAACAGTGTAAGGGAGGTAATCCAAATACAACGTTTTGGTTACTTGGCTTACACTGCTTTTAAATTATGTTTAAAGAAATGCATATTTATAAAGGAAGACCAGTAAAAATATCTGCAAATGTTTTCCAAAAATATCCATATGAAAGATTTGACACTATATTTTAAATTCTATTATAAAATAGATTAAGTTAGCACTATGGTAAATTTAAATGAGTAATTATGGTTGCAAACTCCATTGGAAATTTGAATTATGACCATATCTTGAGGGAAAGAATTTTTTGGGGGGAAAAAGGGGGGGGGGGGGTAAAAAGAAATTGTGGGGGGTCAATTTTTTCTCATTTCAGATTTCAGAAATTAAAAAGAATTATTCTTCAAATATTTTTTTTTTTTCAAATTTCAAATATTGAAAAATTTCAAGAAGTAATCTTTAATTGCACAGTATGGCGCATTAGATTTGTAAAATCTTTGACCACATTTATTTATTTGTTATGCCGAATCCAACAGTGTATTTAGATTTTTAATTTTGGGTCCAGTTTTCAAATTGGTCTACATTAAGGTCCAAAGGGTCCAAAATTAAACTTAGTTTGATTTTAACAAAAATTGAATATATGGGGTTCTTTGATATGCTGAATCTAAACATGTATTTAGATTTTTGATTTTTGGCCCAGTTTTCAAGTTGGTCCAAATTGGGGTCCAAAATTAAACTTTGTTTGATTTCAACAAAAATTGAATATATGGGGTTCTTTGATATGCTGAATCTAACCATGTATTTAGATTTTTTATTTGTGGGCCCCACTATCAAATTGGTTCATATTGAGGTCAAAAGGGTCCAAAATTAAACTTTGTTTGATTTCATCAAAAATTGAATTATTGGGGTTCTTTGATATGCCAAATCTAACCGTGTATTTAGATTTTTAATTTTGGGTTCTGTTTTTTAAATTGGTCTACATTAAGGTCCAAAGGGTCCAAAATTAAACTTAGTTTGATTTTAACAAAAATTGAGTTCTTGGGGTTCTTTGATATGCTGAATCTAAACATGTATTTAGATTTTAGATTTTTGGCCCAGTTTTCGAGTTGGTCCAAATTGGGGTCCAAAATTAAACTTTGTTTGATTTCAACAAAAATTGAATATTTGGGGTTCTTTGATATGCTGAATCTAACCTGTATTTAGATTTTTTATTTGTGAGCCCACTATCAAATTGGTTCATATTGAGGTTAAAGGGTCCAAAATTAAACTTTGTTTGATTTCATCAAAAATTGAATTATTGGGGTTCTTTGATATGCCAAATCTAACCGTGTATATAGATTTTTAATTTTGGGTCCTGTTTTTTAAAGTGGTTTTCATTAAGGTCCAAAGGGTCCAAAATTAAACTTAGTTTGATTTTAACAAAAATTGAATTCTTGGGGTTCTTTGATATGCTGAATCTAAACATGTGTTTAGATTTTTTATTATGGGCCGAGTTTTCAAGTTTGTCCAAGTTGG